TTTCATCTGCAAGCATGCCAGAAGAAGAGGAGGAAGAGGAAGAAAACTATGAGTCTCTTCCACAGATATCTATAACAGATGCTTTGGAGAGTCTATATAAACTCCGGCTTTTCGAGGAGCAGCAGGTGGATGGAAATAAGGCCTTAATCCAGCAACTTCTCTTCCATGAGAGGACCCTTTTGAGAAAGAAGGTTAGCAGACAGCAGCAGAGTGATATACGAGACTTCTTTTGTAATTAGATGACGTCTATATATATATTTATGGCAGCAAGCTCGTATAATCCGATATAAGCAATACTCCGTTATAAGCAATTTCCGCGACCTGCCGAAATAGTTGCTTATAACGGGGTTTTACAGTAGCGTTGTGATAAAGTGTAACGTGACTATCATTCAGATCTACAGAGGACTCGACATGATACGGAAAGCTCCGTTGGGATTGGATAACGCGGTGATGCAGCTGTAAGTCATCTCGTGGGATGCTCGGCAAATGCAGCCCTGGCAGGAGGTTGCGGGGTGAGTTCGTGCTCTGGCCTCTGGATGTTACTTGTAGACAGTGACTCCATAGTGAGTCCAGAGTATGTTCAGCTGTGTCAAGTTAAAACTTCCTTGTTGGCGAGGGCCGTGACGTCAGCCGTCAACTGGCAGCCAGTGATTGAGGACATGTGTTCGGGAGACCAACACGTGCTGACATAGGGTTCTTGCCCTGCCCACACAGATATGATAATACAGGATATTTTGGGAGGATAGTAGTATAGATGGAATATCCTGTGCTCTGTATCTGTATTTATATATAAGTATATATCTATCTATATATATAATATAGAAAAGTATTTGTGGTCTACATAGTACGCACATTGCTAGATAGATACTGTACTGTACATCCGGAGTAGGAGTATGCACTCCGGTTCAGACCCAACCGGGACCACCCGGCGAGTCTCCACGACGCCAATCACGGGGCCCACGCGCCGCGACGGTTGGCTGGGGAGAGATAGTGTAGAGTTGCATTTTAGATAACAAGACTTGTAGGGAATCAAGAAATAACGCGCACAGAAACTCGATAACAAGCGAGCTGAACACTTATAAAAAGCACCATAACCCGCGGGAATGTACTCACCGGCGCTAAACTAGATTGGGCCTGCAGCATTCCTGTGCCTGAGCAACTACAAGTGTTCTTTCGGTCTCCTTTTCATCTGATCTATTCTCTTTCTTTTCTCTCTATTTCACTCTATCATTGCACCTCTCTATATTCTCTATAATCTTCTATAAATACAAATTTCTTAGTCTGTACTCCGTACAGATACTCCCATACCTCCAAAGTCCTCATCTGACCTCCCGCGTCGCATACTCCCGTCAGCTTCGCCTCGGCTGATTAAATCGCTCCTCCTCATTTCGCTCTCCAGTGTTACGTGAGTCAATTCGTGCTTGGTCCTCTGTTCTCACGCCTTCTCTTTTTTTCTCCTCTTTTTTCTTTATTTTATGTCTCAACATCCTCAGGGCTGCTTTGTTTGTTGACAAATCGCCTCCCCCTTGGTTCTATACGGTGCTGACTCAACCCTCAACCAAAAGAAACCCCAGGTCTAGCCACCACCACTTCTCTTAAATACAACTACTACACACATCATGTCTCGTCCAACTGGTCCCTCTAGCATCGCCATGGCTCTTGCTGGCAAGACCGCTTCTGTCGATATCCCCAAACCTCGCTCGGGCTTCACCGTTGCTCGCGACACCGCTCACTCTGCCATGCTGCCTACTCCTCCCAACTCCATCTCTCCTACCCTCCGGCCTCACGTCTCTTTTGGCCACAAGCAGTCCGCCAACCTTGTGGGTACTTCACCCTTGGCCACATCCCACCCCGAATCCGATCTCGACCTGGGAGATGCCGGAGACGACAGCACAGGCGCTATTACGCCGGGCATGTTGGCTAAACACCACTTGCCTGAGATTATGCTGCACCAGGGAGCCTTGGCGATTCGTCATGTCATGGGTTACTTGACCACATCCGTCCCGGGTTTCTCCAGGATTCCTCCTGCGAAGGCCCGCAGACTGGTGGTGGCCGCGCTCGAGGGCCGCGGCTCTGAGCAAGAAGGCGGTTCGGATGGTGATGTCGTTTTTGAAAAGGTGGGATGGGGTCGCTGGGATGCACGACGACGAGGCGAGCCATCCCGCCACAACCAACACCTCGAACCATCGCCGCCCTCCAGTCTCCCCAACTCCTTCCACCAGCGTGGCGTCCAGATTCCCTCCCGGAGAGAGAACTGGAGCCCCTACGGAACCAGTGCCGCTGGCGATTCCGCTGTGTTCTCTTACTCGGAGACAGTGGACTTCGGTCGACACAGGGATGACAGTATGCTCGAAGACGAAGCGGACAAGATGTCCCTCGATGGAGACGAGCGTGAATATGCCTCCTCGTCTGAGGCTCCGGACGACGAGATCCCAGACGGCGACTGGGGCGAGGAGGACGTGACGGATGAAGAAGACTGGGCGCAAATCGGCGCCGACGCTCTCCGTGCGCGCTCACTGAATACCAGCGGTGGATTCCTCGATGCGAAGCAGCAGCCGCGTGGCGGCGGCCCTGCTCCCTCTGCCCTGGCCAAATCCCTTCCCAACAACATCCCTATCCAACAACTTGGATTCACCCTACCGGAGGGTGTCGTTGGCGATCGCGAGGAGCGCGCTGCCGTGGAAGCACTTTTACGACTTGGCTCTATGTAAATTCGATACGATCTCATATTGGCGGGCGTTGGTTTTGTTTGATCTGTTTTTAGGACGCTAGCATATATATATTCAAGAGCAGGGATCGACTGGATCGACCGCTAGCACGGTTTGCATTGGGAATGGACGGATGGCGTTTGGTTGGGTTTGGGAAACGGGATACGATGTGCCCTTGGGGTTTTCAGGGCTTAAACAGATCATTTGGCATAAAGCCAGTTACTTTTGCATTTTACCAGATTTGGTATATCTCCTCTTTTGCACGTGCACATGTGAAAATGTCACCTCATGACTGGATATAGGATATAGTTATACATATAGCATTTAATACTCATAATCTACATATCACACACACTCATCTACTCAGGAATTCAGTTCTCGTATACACCGGTGGCAAAAGTCGCATAGTTCCCTTTCATTCTAGAATCTAGATCTACTAACTATATCAGGGGCAAAAGGATAATTAAGCATATCTGAGTTTATTCAGTTGTCTGTGGCGATTTCCTTTCGTGGATGCGTACAGCATACGATCATCGCCACTATATTCTGTACATCATACCACCGCATAGAGAAGAGTGGTACTTGTGCCGTTTGATATACAGGGGTATATCCAATTGGACTGGTTTTACTAGAACGGATATGTATAACGGTGTTCTAGAAAAGGATTCTTTTTGGTTGAGCAATTTGTATTAGCATTAATATTAGTACAGTCATATCCCATAGCACTAGTACTATTTATACAGAATCCATAGAACCCATAGCGAACTCCAGTAACCCAGCAATCCATATACAATCCCATATACCATACCCATATCGTACACATACCCATCCTTATCCGTAATCATCATCTGTATCCCACCCATTCCATTTTATAAACCCAGAGAAACCTATCGATCCCCATCATGAGCCTCATTAATCCTCCTCCACACCTCCGCCTCAACCTGCACCAGCTTCTCCCCCGCAGTCTGCATCCACCCCTTCGCCATATCCAGGAATCCCTTTTCACCGGTGTCTAGCTCGTCTTGCATTATGTTGTTGTTGGTGTAGGGGTTGGAGTAAGGGGATTGGTACGAGGTTGAGGTTGTTGTTGGCATTGATGGATGACGAGGGTAGACGGTGCTGTAGGGTGTTGTTGTTGAGTTGGGGGGTTGTTGGTACTGCGGATACTGTTGCTGTTGTTGCTGGGAGGCATAACCATATCCATAGCCATACGGCTGCGTAGGAGACTGAATACCCGGGTTGATCTTCGGATCCGCAGTCGCAGTCGCAGCACCTTCAGAAACACCACCCTGCGCAACAACCTCTCCAGCCTTTGGTGGCGGAGGAACACCCTGTTCTTGTATCTGTCCTTGCACCTGCGCCTGTCCTTGTTCATATCCATAACCGTGTCCCTGACCAGCAACAGGAACAGCTCCCGGCTGCGGCGGCGGAGGCGAAGAGTTCGTCGTCGTAGCTGGTGTTGGGTTCGTTGTCTCGGACGGCGTGTAGACGGATGTTGAACGCTCTGGTTCTGGCTGTGTCTGCGGCCCAGGTTCAGGCTGTGATCCTGTTACGGCTTCCGTTGCGGCTGGTAGGGAGGACATGCTGGCTGGTTGGGCGGCGCTGTATATGGGGGAGTAGGATGGGGCGGTTGAGGTTGCGGTTGCAGAGGTTGATGGGGGGAGCTGTTGGTTTTGGTTTTGGATGTCGTCTTGCTTCAAGGGTGATGGTGGGTTTGTGACTTCAGGTGCACCACCGCCTTCTGGTGTGTAGACAACCGTCATCATTGGAGAGCTGGATGTTCGGAGGCAGGGGAGATGAAGCTCGAGGTGACACGACGTCATCACATAGATTTGCACGTGACCACTGACCCACCAATCACATTACGTCTGGTGAAAACTCTTCGGCCAAGGACAAGTTGAACCCCAGATTTTAATTATTTGCATACCGAGAAAAATACGGATTCAGAAGAAAAAAGAAAATTGCTTGCAGACAGTAGTAAAGTACAACGGGTACAAGAGGAAATGTCACATGGCTCTATGATCAAGACCCCGAAAGCGCCCTTGATCGATATTTCTATCAAGACCTCCACACAACATTCAGCACCTAGCAGTTACGCCAGACGCCAATTTTACACACCCTTCCCCAGCAACGATTAGAACTTAATCAATCGTCTATTTGTACTTCTTTCCGAAGAGGATGAGCTGAGCCTGGTCGTAGATGGACAGGACACCAGCACCAGCGACACCACGGAGGATGTTAGCACCAGCACCCTTGAAGAGAGACTTGGTACCCTCCTTGGCGACAATCTGGCGGGCGGCATCCATGGAAGAGGAGTACTTGACGGCCTGTAGCAAGATATGTTAAAAATTGATTGATCAACAGGATTGTAGGATTGATACATACCTCACCAGAGGTCATCATCATACGACGACGGATGGTGTCAAGAGGGTACGAGGCAACACCGGCACCGGTAGTGACAGACCAGCCGAGCAAGAACGAAGCAAGGAAGTTACCCTCAAGAGGACCGACGAGAACAACAGGCTTGATGGAGTCGTACATGCCGAAGTAGAGACCACGGTAGACGATGATTCCAAGAACAGAGGGACCGAAACCACGGTAGAGACCGGCAATACCGTCAGAGGCGAGAGTCTTCTTGTAGACGTCAACGAGACCGTTGAACTGACGGTCACCACCGCCCTTGGCGGACTTGGCGTCGTTGGCAAGACGGGTACGGGCGTAGTCGAGAGAGTAGACGAAGAGGAGCGAAGTGGCACCAGCAGCCTGGGTCAGGGTTAGCTCAACCTTTCAAATGCCAGAAATCAGGGTCAGGAAAACATACACCACCGGAGGCAAGGTTACCCATCATCCACTTGCCGTAACCGTCGCGCTCACGCTTGTAGGCGAACATCGACTTGAAGGTGTCGCGGAAAGCGAAGTTCAGAGCCTGGGTGGGGAAGTAACGGACGACGTTGGCGGTGTTACCTCTCCAGAGGGAAACGACACCCTCGGAGGCGGCGGTACGCTTGAAGCAGTCACCGATACCGGCGTACTTGCGGTCAAGACGGCCAGCCTTAAGCATCTCATCCTGGTTCTGGATGAGGAGCTTAATACGCTCAATGGGGGCGGCAGCAGTCTTGGAGACAGCAGCGGAGACACCACCCACTAGATGACAGTCAGTATCAATTCAGTGTATGCTTTGTTTTGATTGACGATTCTCCAGAATTGAGTCGATTGGTCGAATTATATCGATCGATTGATGGTGGGGGGAGTTCAATGGAACGTACTCAGGAAGTCAACGACGAAACCCTGTGAAAATCTTGTCAGTGTATCGTTCGAAGCGTTAGAATGCTAACCACAGCTAGCCAATTCATATTCTCCAACCCCAGATAGATCCAATGGCCTCTACAGACCGATAAAGTGTTGTAGAGGACCCTGTCCTACCCGGGATGGCAAGAACAGAAACTGACCAGCTCAGCAGCAGGGACACAAAGAAGGGCAACTTACGGGCATGCCCATGACGGACTTGTCGCCCTGGCTAACCTCACCCTTCTTGTCGGCCATGATGACGGAAGTGATGAAAGGAAATGAAGAAAAAGAGGGGAGATGGAGAGTTGAAGGTCAAGACAAGAGACACTTCAAAAGGGGATGGGAGGAGAGAAAAAAAGAAAGAGGGAAAAAAAAATAGCGAGCGAAGGGCTCTTGTAAGCGGGAAGAAGCGAGCGGAGCCACACTACACCGAATCAGGTTTAGTGCGAGAACAAAACAGAGGGAGAAAATTTCGACTCCGGCGCTAGTGCTGGCCCGGGCAACGCAGCCGATATCTCCCGATGTACAGTATCATGTATCAACATGTGTATCAATTGTATCAAACAACAGTTACTCCGTACGGAGTAGTTTAGAAAGGGTTTGGAAATTCACTCAGACAACTCATGAACTAGTTAATTCTTCTCATATCAACAAAAATGCACTCCAGTGGTCTTGTTCTACGGGGCTGTCATCCCGGTAAAGCCTCTCCGCCCGCCCACCGATTGCGCGCCCACACCGGGGGATTATCCCATTGTTCCCTCCGAGCGTCCGGTAGCTAGACCTTTGGATCGCTGAACACCATGGATCATGAACATTGGATACGATAATTCTTTCATTTCAATTGACCATACAGACTCTTGCTTACAGGTAACACTCACTCAATGGCTTCTCCAAGAGGAAATGCTGGGTTTCGCCATGCCGACGGCCTCCGGTCATGCGTGTCACGGGACTTCGGATCTTGATGCCGAGACCATGTGCTTGGAGGGGTACGGAGTACTGCAGAACGCCTTACTACTTGTAGCAGAGAAAGCCCTGATAGATGTGTATTAATTTGGAGCAATGCTGTGCCAATTCTTGATTTACTGCACTAAGAGAGCACTGTAGCTACAATATGGGGACCCTGAGTATTTGTATAAGGGGTGTATCTCCCTATCCCGTGATACAGGCAGCCCGACGCCTAACGTGCGCGATATGCACCTACTCATGCACCCGTACAGAAATCCTCGGACGGAATCTTTTGATGTGTTGATTTGGGTCGGGGCTTTTCCCTCCTTCCTTTCTCTCCTGTCTTTCCAAGTAAAATCCTGTCGTGAAAGGTTTGCGTTGCCACTTCCGTATACTCCGTCTGTCCGATTACAGAGTACTGCTTGCCACGCTCCACAGGTCTCTTGTCAGGTGCGTTAGTGTACTATTCCGCACTTCTACTCCGTACTTATCAAAAGGATTGTCCCTGGGTTAACAATGTCTACTACTCTGTAGTGTAGCATTGTACTGTCCACGTCAAGATCATTGTAGTATGCGGTATATCCGGCTGTACGGGATCTCCACAATTCCCGCATTCGGTTACATTGTGCGATGAATTCTGGTCAGCACTGCTTTCATCTCGTACAAGTGATTTGAACGATGGTCTGGATAGGGCTGCGAGTGCTGCTATCTATGTTCTGCTATATTGCACGCGCCAGGTGTCAATGGATATGTTTCCGAAGATCTGCCCCGGATTCTAGCAGCGCACGGATAGCAAGGCTTTCAACGGCGCGTGCCAAGTTTTCAGCCGTAAAAATAAGGGCAAGGTATTGTCAATCCGGAATGGAACGTTTTGTAGAACAGTACAGCTATAGGACAGATTGAACCGGTTCGTATATAGTTGAAAAAGTACATCAGGCTTTAATTTATGAACGATCAGAGGTATAAATATACAAAACACGACAAATCAGTTCTTGGTCCTTCTTCTCTTCTTCTTCCTGCCACCCTCACGAATATCCACATCACCGCCCTCTTGCTCTTCCTTGGGTGCATCCTTCTCTCCGCCAAATGTAAACTCCGGACCCTCCTCGTTACCAAAGGTATCCTTCCGCCATTGCCTCACCCGGGCCTTCTTGCCCAGCTTCTTGCGGTCTTTCTGCTTCTTCTCTTCCTCGCGGAACGATGCCAGCTTCTTCAAACCGGCAAACTTGTTGAGATTATTATCGTCCGCCATGAGAATATCTCGTGCGCTAAGACCAAAGCTTTGCGGCGATGTTTCACGGTAGCGGAAGCGGGTTGCATTCTTCTTGGTCGCACCGGGGAGCAGGTTGATATCCAGGTCAAGGTTGCGGTCTGCGGCCTCTTCAATACGCATTCGGTCTTTACGAGCTTCGCGCTTTTGGTCACGCTTCTCTTGGGCTTTGCTCTTCTTGCTTGATGATCCCTCGCCATCAGCGGCGTCGTCGGCGTCGTCGGCGTCGACCATCTCAGCGTTGGATTGTTCCATGCTGGGTTTCGGGTTTTCCGCATTGAATTCGGGAACGATGTCTGTGATGTCGATATCGTCATCCCATGTGGGCTTCTTGGGCTTTTTCTTCTTGTCTCCGCTCTCGTCGTCGCTCCCGGCTCCTTCTTCTTCGGCGTAGTAGTCTTCACCAAAGCGCCTCTGCATCTCTTGTTCCCAGTTCTTGCCATCCCAGGCGTCGTCCAGGAACTGAGCCCAATCGTCATCCGTGAATCGAGAGGCGCGGAGACCAGCGACTTCCTTGATCTGGTTGACCTTCTCTTGGAGCTGGTCGACCTTGAGCTTGCGGAGACGGTTCTTCTCGGTTTCGCGCTGCTTCTTCTCCTCTTCCTTTCTTAAGCGCTCTGCTTCTCTGAGTTTCTTACGGCCGCTCTTTTCTTCTCTGCGAACAGACTGCTGGTTCGTAGCATCACGAGCATGGGTAGCGATCCTCTCGTTGGCCTTGTTCGGATCCTCGAAACGGAAGTTGTACGCTTCTTCAAATACTTCTGCGCGTTCTTCCTCTTCTTCATCCTCAGACTCGAATGGGTGAAGCTCCCTGTTGTTGGGGATCCATGCCCTGGATGACATGAAATTCGACAGGAAGTTCTCAGGATCCCTGTCCGCATTCTCCAAATCCAGCTTGACCTCCGACTTTGGTGCAGGCTCGGGAGCAGACTTGCGAATAAGGAAGTTATCTTCATCGCCATCCTCCTCGTCAGCCGACGCCTCCTCACCATCTGCTGCGGCATGCATTTCCTTGACTACCGCATTTTTCAATTCCTCTTGTTCTTGAGCGTAGGTCTTGGGCGGTTGAGGTGCATCGTTATCCTCTGCTAGGGCCGCACCACTCAGGTAGTTCTCCCGGTGGTAATCGCGCAGTGTCATAGGCTTTTCCTGCTTCTTCGAGGTGTCCGGCTGGGCATCATCATTTTGCGAATAGAAAGTGACGTTTGAATCGTACACTCGAGGGTCTTTGGACCGAATCGCGTTCAGGGTTGCGTTGATTTCGGCATCAAGTGCTTCGGTAGCGAGTTCTGCGTTGTCGTCTTCATCTTCGTCGTCTGATGACTCCTCTGAAGATCCACCATCTTCATCACGATCGCCACGTTTTCCAAGGGAAGAGGTTTTGCCGAATTTTGATTCCACTGCAACAGCAAATGTCAGCCCGTTTCAATGGACATACGTAGATTATGAACAGATCCACATACACTTCTGTATTTCCTCTCTTTTCTTGTTATGCTCAAAGCGACGCGCATACTCCTCATTGATCTTGAAGGAGTCTACATCCGACTGCTTGCCAATGGGAACTCCGCCGGACTCGTCGCCGGAGTCGCTGTCGTCGTCGAGCAGCTTGCGCGCCTTCTTCGATGGAGGCTCCATGTTTGCGTAATGGAAAACGGAGTTCCGCGATAATGAATCAATGAATGACAACAGAAAATTTCGTCATCGATAATTGTATGTTGATTGCACCGGAGACGAAGAAAAAATTGACGGTACTAGTGCCGTTCCTGGCAGAAAAAAAAATCTCGGTGCCTCACCGCCCTATATCCACCGCCTGATAAACCAGGCAGCAAACCGAATCACTGACGTCGCGGCAGATCAGCGGCGTGTTCAGTCAGTATTGCCCCCAGAAGCGCCGGAGGATCCAAGCTCCCTAAGCCATGACAGCTGCCAGCCCCTAACTCCCTTTTCGGTCTTTGTTGCTGTATTTTACTCGAACATTATACTGTACATCCCATTGGCAACTCGCTTATTTATTTTCACCGTCAATCTTTCCTATTCGCATCAAGTTTATGGCCGCAGACATACGCTAGATGTCGACTCAGCCGCAAGCTCCATTGCCCCAAATCGGGAAGCTGGTCAGCGTGGTGTAAGTTTAAGGGGGGAACAAAACACGGCCTTTCTTCCAGGAATTGCCAAGAATTTTTGCTAATTAATCCTGACTATCAGTCCCGTTGGGCTCAAGGAGGCTGCTCTCGACTCCCCGACCTTCCGAGCGACTACCCTACACTTTTCGGACCAGATCGAGTTTCTCGAACGATGGCTCGATGGCTACGCGAAATCTGCCTCGAGGCTCACTTCTGAGCTTGCGACCCTCGAGAGTACCGTGGGAAGCTTTCTCTCCTATTCTACAAACCCCCTTGCCGTGTCCGAAGCCGTCCTCGACCATGATTATACTCTGCTGTCAATGAGGAGGAGTGGTGACGGCTCCAGGGATCTTTGGAATGGATTGATCACCAGCACTAGGAAGCTGGAAACGCTTGTTGCAGAACCGATCAGGGTGTTTATCCAGGAAGACTTGAGGAGCTTTAAGGAATCTCGTCGGATACTCGAGCAGACGCAGAAACAGTATGATTATCTCTACTCCAGATATTCGTCGCATAACAAGTCGAAGGAGCCCTCGGCCATACGCGAAGATGCTTTTCAACTCCATGAGGCCCGCAAAGCGTATCTGAAGGCGTCGATGGACTTTTCCGTACGAGCTCCGCAAGTGCGAAACGCCCTCGACAGACTACTGGTTCGGGTTTCATTCGACCAATGGCGGGAGTTCAAAACTATGCACAACAACAATGGCGCAAATTTTGGAAAATGGGGCCAAGAGATGGATCGCATAAAGGGCTGGATACATGAGATGGAAGGAAGCGAGAAACTGTCTCGCCGGGAGCTACTATCCGCCAGAGACCAGATCGAGGAGACTGCAGAGACTGCATTTAGGCCATCTCGCGAGCTGGAAGACTACTCCATATCGACGATTCCATATCTTGGTTCCCGCCCTTTGTCGGGGGAGAATATGACTGCTGAAGCTAAACCGGAGAAGCAGGGGTGGGTTAATCTCCGGACACTTACAGGCAAGCCTACCCGGACTACTTGGGTCAAGCGCTGGGTCTTCTTGAAGAATGGGATCTTCGGTTGTCTAGTGCAAGGCTCCCGGACTGGTGGTGTGGAAGAGAGCGAAAGAATAGGCGTCCTACTTTGCAACGTTCGACCAGCTTTTCAGGAGGAGCGGAGATTCTGTTTCGAGGTTAAGACCAAGAACAACAGCATCATGTTGCAGGCGGAGACACAGAAGGAGCTTATGGAATGGATCTCTTCTTTCGAGGCTGCTAAGCGGAAGGCCCTGGAGCACCCAGCAAGTACGGACCTTTCGGTCTCTGGCAAGATGACAGTCCAAGATCCAGCCTTTTCGATCTCGCAGCCCCCTGCCCCCGAGTTCTCTGCAGATCCGTCCGAATCGCTCACTCCCAACGGTGATGAACAAGGCTCGTCTGATCGTGGGATCCTTTCTCTGCCTGAACGGGAGCCATCCGCTTTCAGAGCCAGCACTGAAATTGGGAGCAGACGGTCTACTGGACCTGATTCGGAGAATTCGCCGCGAGAACATACATCCCGGCTTATCCAAAAATTGGACCTCCATCGCAAGTCAAACAACGCTGCGCAGTCGGCTAGTCCTCTTCCCTCTGTTGGGGGTGGCATAGCGAGCCTCATCACTGCCAGTCATAATGCTATTCCTTCCATGCCAATCGGTGTACCAGATAGCGATTCGGCTAGGGGTCGTAGCCTGTCAGATCGCAGTCTGTCCAATCGCAACGCACCTTACACAACTCTTGCGCCTTTCACCTTGGCAAACCCGCCTGCTCCTACAAACATGAGCAAGGCTGCCGTGATAGTAAGCAATGAAAGGGGAATTGGCCTGGGACAAGCAGATAGCACTGGAGGAATGCCTAGTGGGATGATGGCGAACTTGTGGGGCAGCTCCAACTGGGGCTTTGTGAACAGATTTGAGCACGAACGCCTAGGTCAACCGAATGGTACGGCGTCTGACCAGCCACCGCCTACTCCGATGAGCGATTCTTCCAAGCACACTGGTGCAGACGCAGATACCCCAACATCTACGAAGCCGAAATCTGGGCCTGGACATAGGCAAACTCTAAGTCTTGACGGGAGTTCACCGACCGTTGTAAAGCCGGTTGCTGCGTTTGAACATCCCAGTTTCTACCCCCTGCAGCTGAGGATACAGGATGCCCAGTTCCGGCTGTTCTTCCCTAATGTGAAGCGAGAAGAGCCTTTGGTTCTGGTTTTCAGAGCCACGTGGAGTCCAAATGACCAGCAAGAGTTCCCCGGAAGGGCATACATGACAAGCCGAAATATATACTTCTACAGCAACTATTTCGGACTGGTATTGACTACCAGCATTGCTTTGGATACGATCAAAGAGGTGACTGCTGCCCCTGGAAGAGATTGCGACTTCTTGTTCCTTCATTTTGTCCCTCCCATAGGGACTGACACGCCTGGTCGGGGCACTGTCAAGACGTTCCTTGAGCCACTAAGACTTCTTCAAAGGCGGCTCAATTTCTTGATCCAGGATTCGATAGCTGTCGAGCCGTTGGGATTGGAAGATATTCTCAAGACTCTGACGAAGATGGAGTCGGACGGGCCGGCACGGGACCCTAGCTCAGATAGCTGGGAAGATATGACTGGCGCAGACAAGGCCATCGATGGATCCATCGACCATAAACCAAGACAGGAACTTCGAGCACCGATATTTATCGAGAAAGACCTAGACATAAGCCCACCAAAGGCTGGCAACGGTAGGGATGTGGCGAGAGTCAGACTACCGACCCAACCTGTGAACTATGTGCCTCAAGGCAACCTTGCGCTTGCGGCCGAGAGGACCTTTGATATCAGCGCTAAAGCGTTGTTCCATATCCTCTTTGGTGACAATAGTGGCGTTTGGCAGCTGCTTCTACATGAAAGACAGGCTCGAGGTGAGTTCCACTGACGTGGTTGAAATATGAATCCCGGCTAACTAAGGTTGAAGATATCAAACAAGGGCCGTGGGTTAGCAATGAGTCGCGTCACCTACGACGGCAGTTCACTTTCCAAATAGAAACGGCAGACTTAATTGGTACGTTTCTTCTTGAAAAATCCATTGGGATTATTCCGGCTAACCGTCTTGTTTGTTAGGACGGACCGAAGGAATAGAAATCTCTGATTATCAGATTATTGATGTGCTCAATGACCATCTGTGTTACGTCGTCACTGACAAGCGGACTCCCTGGCATCTGCCATTCAAACGCTCGTTTAGGTTGGTCAGCAAAGTTGTGATTACTTTCGTCTCTAAATCGAAGAGCAAACTTGCCGTCTACACCAAGATCGAGTGGCTGTGGACACCCTACGGCTTGCAAGGTGAGTCTTTGTTTAGTGTTTAGTGCTTACTTGGGACTGAATCGTTGCTAATAATCCCAGGTATCATCAATAACCAAGCGATTGGCGATCTCGGGCAAGATGCCTTGGATCTTGTTGATCTTGTCAACGAGCAAGTGCGAAAACTTGGCGCCCATGGTCGCACGAAGAAGGCCATTTCGGTATTCGGTCATGTAGGTCGCCAGAACCAGGCGTCTCAATTGCCACCCAATGGATCCAACATGAATGTGGAGCCCCGCAAACCGCGACAGCAGAGGAGTCTGGTTCAACTTTTGTTTGAAATGCTCACTTCCTTTGGGGAGACCGCGATTTCGTCGGTGTTCATGTCGATATTCGCCTTTTTCCGATGGACGTGGAAGACTGCAAATGCGAACAAGGTTATATTATTCCTTTTGCTGTCGAGTGTATTCTTCAATATGCTTTATTCGTCACAATTTGCATATGAGTGGAGGTATGAGAGGAACGCAGGAAACTTCATGGCTCGTCTTGGGGTTCACCCGGACAATGTCATGAGCAAAGCGGTTTACTTGAGAGACATCGATGAATTAATTGCCAACTCGACAATCGGACAAAGTCCTGAAAACGTTAGCGATTGCTTCTTCACATTCCACGAGCAAATGATGCGCGGCCAAGCCACCCCGCTCTCTCTTGGAGCAACAAGCCCCAGAGACGCCGTGACCAAGAGCGCAACGAAACGAATCCAGCAGACGCGTGAGCGCCTCGCCACATACCGGCACAATCTCCTCGTGGCTCTTCGCGTGGTGAACAGTATCGAACGAGAAGTCATCCAGAGCGAATGGGAGCGTTGGCTCCGGCAGGAAATCCGACGCTGTGGCCAGGTTGAGGTTCTCCTTGGCAAAGACAATGGGAACGATGAGGCCGAGGTGCAAATGGACACCGTCTTTGCTGAACTGACAGACGACGTTGAGCAGTGGTACGGTAGATACTGTACTAGCTGCCAGAAGGAACAGGATTTTGTTGAATTGAGTGACCGTGGTTATGGGAGTGCATAGACATAACGACTATTTTGGACCCCCCTTATATATAATAAGTTGGTTTTTGGGTTGATTTTATATTTTTTGGTCCCTTTTATTCGATGTTTTTGGAAACGATACCCTGTTGGACCGTTTTGGTTTTTCCAGCGTGAAATAATCCCGTTTTACTTTTGTTGACTATCCTCCCAATGTACATTATTATCTTAATTGTCCGGTCAATCGAGTGATACAATATGAATAGTACGCAACCTGCTTATCCGGAGAGTACAAAAATGTCGTATATGCTATGTTAATTTAATAAAGCATCAAGTTAAACTTCTTCCAATAAGAAGTCCTCGATGGTCTAGTGGTCATGATTTCCGCTTGTCAGCTTAACAACTTGCAAGCGCGGGAGACCTGGGTTCGATTCCCAGTCGGGGAGTTTTTTTTCTTTGCTTTTCTATTTTTGCACCTTACCTGTCTTTATTTCTTCCTTATTTTTTATTTTATTTTTATTCTATTTTACCTCGGTTGATTGCCTTCTTGCATCCCCTGTGTATGGGGCACTCGAGTGGCTGCGATGCAGGGTGCTTTGTAGCAGTTGGGTTGCGCTCGAACGAGGTATATATGCACGGGTCTTATTATATATCTGCGCTGCTCCGTGCTATTCCCGGGATTTGAATGAAAGCAATGGCAACCGTGACAGCAATGCACTAACCGTTAAACTATTGATTATGGTTGCGAGGCATACGCAAAAGACCAATGTACTCAGGCCTGGCTTCAACCAGGACACATTCGAACAACGCCCCTAGAGGCGTTGATACATGAATAGCAAGATTCTCGCCTTGACAAAGAACATTAATGGTGATTACTATCGCACTACGGTGTAGATGGTACTCAGGATATATAGTCATTAAACATCATCACTTCTTATTATATAATCGTAAGATAATGTCTATTTGGCGATACCCTCGCGCTTCAAGTCCTGCAGGTTGAGCGTGTCTTGATCACCAGGACGACGCTCCCCTTGGATTTTTGCCTTGTCTTCCGGACCTCCCTTGCCCTGGAATTCGCCAGCCGTTGCCAATCTGTAACGATCGCGATCGAATTAGCATGCCTTGCGCCTCTTGTATAACATAGAATAGTATGGAAAAAAACACACCTGCCCCGGTCATCACGGCTGCCACCTTCGTCTTCAGGGATAGGTTTGTTGTCGCTACCGGTAGGGACTGCCCCTCTACCGGTCTTGACACCTGTCTCTTGAGGGAACTTCTTGTCGACGAACTCGTTCACGCCGGACTCGAGGGCTGTTTCGGTTAGTGACACCCTAGGAAGGAAAGAAGGCACGTGAATATCACATACTCGAGTCACTCTTGGGCCCAAGACCTTGCTTGGCCTGGTAGCTGTTGAGATCCTGCTCAGCACGAGCAGCCAAGCGTAATGCGTCGGATTCCGCCATTTTGTGTAGATTCGGAGATGTCGTTAAAGGAAGGATTGATAGAGTAGTATTCTGCTTTGAGAAGATGAGTTGAATATGAAGAAGAGAAGAGAGCAGTTCATTATCGAGAGGATAAATATATCCATGGGTGCTCGCCAGACCCATCTCCCATCATCAGGGACACAGAGAGTTGTTGCATCATGCTACATCATGGCGATGTCAATTACCCACCGTCTGGAGGGTTTGGCGCCCCAGAAAGGGTCCACGGAAAAGCAGAATCATGATCTGGACACTTCTCACAGTGGGCAGAAGCTTCATACCTGGTCCACTTGTACGCCATGGCGCAGGGTGTTATTCTTCCAAGGTCTGGTTTCGGCCATAGGACGATGACTTCATCGCCGTCTACAATCCGGGCGGCTGCCCTATGCCCACCGCCTTCTGAATTGGGGAAATATATAGGGTTCGGTCCTAGGGTACTTCGGAGAAGGAATAATGAGATCTTCCGACGGGGTAGGCGGCGGGGAGTCTTTGCTGGGAAAACAATAACACGGGGGTTAGATAGTAGCCGATCCAAGAGCTCAGCAGTCTATCTTTCTTGCTGCGGTTGATTGCGAGAACGGGATTTGGATATCCCATGGCACCTTGAATTCGATAACTCGACCCGACCCGATTTTGCTTGGAATTGATCCCAAAGTCATCCCCGGCAGCTTCAACGCCCGAGCCTAACACCGAGTGCCTTCATCATGGCATTTGAGCTATCTGGGGAGGCAAATCCTTTAGATTTGCAAAATGTCCTCAATGCGCTTATGCTGGCTGCCAGTTCGACGCAGCAGCAGGTGCAGACCGGTGCCCAGCAGCTCCAGAACTGGGAGAAACAAGCAAAGTACTACTCGTTCGTTCAGGTACTTCCTTTTTGTTTCCCGGCCCTATATTAAATCTTCTTCCGCCCTGAAACCTTGCTAACTTATTCAGGATATCTTCCTAGATTATTCTGTTCCGTTCGAAGTCCGGTACCTCGCGATCATCCAACTGAAAAATGGAATCGATAAATATTGGCGCAAAACCGCAACCAAGTACGCTTGTACCGTCCAAACACCTATAATGCAATACATGTTTCAAGACTAACGCCGGGAAAGTGCCATCAAAAAGGAAGAGAAAGACCATATCAAGACAAGAACTTTGCAAGCTGGCGTCGTTGAGCCAGTCCCGGTTCTTGCTCTTCACAACGCATTGATGCTTGCGAAAGTATTTCGCTACGAATTCCCGCAAGAATGGTACGCAACATGCATTCAAACCGCTTGAATTGGTAGCTTTGCTAACACTCTCAAGGCCTGATGGCATGTCTTCGATCATCGCTTTCCTCCGATCCTCCACGCAGCCCGGCGCGAATCCGTTGCAATTACCGCGAACCCTCACCATCCTCTTACAAATCATAAAGGAGCTATCCACAGCACGTTTGCAGAGAACACGCGCCCACCTCCAGTCAGCCTCCCCGGAAGTATTCCATCTTCTGGGAAGCATATACGTGGACAAAGTGAACAAATGGGGTTCCGTTTTGGAGCAGGGTGGTGCTGACGAGGCGGCATTGTTGGAAACAATTGAACAAAGCTTGGTCTCTATGAAGGTTATTCGACGACTCGTTATTGCTGGATTCGAACATCCGAGCCGCGATAAAGAGGTCCAGGACTTCTGGCGCCTGACTCATTCCCATTTCAGCCGATTCCTTTCGTTTGTGCAGGGACAAACTACATTGCCCGAACAGATCCACAGATCGATCGAGAAGCATTTGCTACAGTTGTCGAAACTCCACGTTGATATGGCCAAGACCCATCCCGCTTCTTTCTCCTTGCTGCCAGACAGTATCACCCTTGTGCAATCCTATTGGACATTGGTTGTCAAGCTTGGGGAGGACTATGGGAAACTTGAAGCTGAAGGAAAATCGTTGATGGAAAAGACCGGACTCAGAGCACTTCTCTTGATCAGAGCTTGTGCGAAGATGGCCTTTAACCCCGTTCAGACATTCAAGTACCAAACACCGGCGGACAAAGAAGAGAAGAAGCAGGCAGTGGACCTTATCAAGGCCCAACTGTTCACGCCAGACTTCGTGATCAATGTCATGGAGCTCCTGGTTACCCAGTTCTTCAGATTTAGGAAGGGTGACTTCCAAGAGTGGGAAGAGGAGCCCGAAGAATGGGAGAAAAGAGAGGCCGAAATCGCTGAGGCTTGGGAATTTTCTATCCGTTCCTGCTCCGAGAAGCTCTTCCTTGATCTCGTCATTCATTTCAGAGAACTTCTTATTCCTCGTTTATTGAGCGTGTTCTATAATTTCTCCAGCCCCGAGAATCGCGATGTTCTGCTGAAAGACTCATTGTATTCGGCCATCGGATTGGCTGCAGCATGCCTAGACCGACATCTGGATTTCAATGCCTTCTTGGAATCGTCGCTCGTCCCCGAAGTCCAGATTCAGGAACAGGGATACAATCTTCTCCGGCGAAGGATCGCCATTTTACTCGGCCAATGGGTCCCCGTGAAGCCAGACGAGCTGAACAGGAATGCCATCTACCAGATTTTCCAATACCTGCTAAGCAGACAGGACCCATTGAACGATCTTGTCGTACGAGTCTCCGCTGGCCGGCAACTTCGAAGTGTCCTTGACCCATACGAGTTCTCCCCTTCCGGGTTTATACCATACGCACCATCCATACTTTCAGATCTCATGGCTCTTACCCAAGAGGTTGAGCTCCCCGAAACCAAGATGGCACTTCTGGATACGGTCCGCGCTATAGTGGTCAAAATGGAGGATAATGTAAATGTTTCTGTTCAGACGATTCTTTGGTGCGGCCATGCTAATGTTTCACAGATTACACCCTTCTCGGACCAGATTCTAGCATTACTGCCTCCGCTATGGGAACAATCAGGAGAAGAACACTTGATGAAACAGGCCATCCTCACGCTACTCTCGTCGTTGATAGACTCGCTGAAGCAGGACTCAGCCAAGTATCACCCGCTTATCCTGCCTCTGATCCGCAGCTCAGTCGAGCCGGGCTCTGTAAGCACACCTTCTCCCTCTAGGAAGGCAATAAAGACTAACAAGCTAAGGAAACCCAAATCTATCTCCTCGAAGAAGCCCTAGAACTCTGGGCCTCAATCATGATCCAAACCCCCGCCCCAGCATCCCCCGAGATCCTCTCCCTCCTTCCCGCCCTCTTCCAAATCTTCGAAGACGCAACAGACAGCTTCCCCATGGCCCTCCAAATCGCCGAATCATACATCTTCCTCGCCCCCCAAGAAGCCCTCAGCCACCACATCCGCCTCCCCCTACTCACCTCCCTAGAATCCCTTCTCAAATCAACCACCAAGCAACGCCTCGGCTCCGTCCCCCGCCTTGTGGAACTCCTAATCCGCGGCGCCGGAACCGTCGACCCCGGCAACAACGAAACCACATACCAAGTTATCGCGCGCTCCTTACTAGACAGCTCTTTCCTCGAGGGCCTCCTCGAAGGCCTGCACTCTGCCCACGAAGCAAGCCAAACCACTGGCCCGCACCGCAAACAAACGCAAGTCTACGGCATGGTTGAAACAGATTATCTCTCCGTCCTCGCGCGTCTTGCGCTCGCAAACCCAAAGATCCTCGCCTCCGCAGTCGCAGCGACAACAGGAACCTCCGAGGAAACGACCCTCACCTGGATCCTGACAGAATGGTTCTCGCACTACGATAACATCGGCTCCGTAAACCAGAAGAAACTCCACGCGCTGGCGCTTACTCAATTCCTCGCTCTTAACGGCCCCGACACCCAGCCGCCGCATTATATCCTGAACCACCTGCAATCGTACCTAAGTGTGTGGACAGATATCGTCACCGAACTTGCTGAGGGCTCGGAGGAGGATCCTAGCTTGCCAGGTGATTATTTGATTTTCTGGAATCAGCCGCAGCCCGGGCAGTATCATGAGAACGAGCCGCCGGAGACTGACCGGAGACGGCAGTGGGATAGTTCGGATGTTGTTCATACGATTAACATTCGGGACTTTGTCCGTCAGAAGCTGCATGCGTTGATTGTTGCTTGTGGTGGGGAGCAGCGGTTCCAGGAGGAATGGTTGTTGAATGTTGATCGTGAGGTTGTTGCGGCTTTTGGGGCTCTGGGGCTTTTTTGATTTCGCCAACGCTGGGACATGGGCTCCATCGGTTGAATGTAAGAGATACTCGATTCGTGCATTTGCTAAGTCATGGGTGATATCAATTACATATTACACATACCCCTACAGATATGAAATAATGAAAAATAATGAATTCGACTGTATGTCTTTCGTCTATCACGATTAAAACAAGATAATACCCAATATAAAGCCCAGGGAATAAAAAGCAGTACTAGTAATAAGTAATAATAGGTGTATGCTGCTATGAAAGAAACACCGAAAGAAAGACCGGAGATGAAAAGAAGAATGGAAAAAAAAAATATATATATATATATATAGAAAGATCACTCCGCTTAGCCGCACTGGCCAGGGAACTGTCGGTCATCCAGAGGTTGAGGGAACACACCCTCGGCAAGCAACTGCCTCATGTCCCATTCAGGAGCACCCTCAGTCTTCCAGGTCCAGAACACCCAGCCACTCTTTTGCTCCCAAGCATCCAGTTGACCTTCAATGAAGCGACGGGTGTTTTCCTTGTCCTCGCCAGAAAACTCGGCCACAGTACCAACAGACTTGCCATCGCATGAACCGGCACTGAAGTCAGCGGACATGGTACCGTCGTAGCGAGCGCCGATTCCCTTGCCGTTGAGGTATTTCGCGCAGTCGGTCATAGCACCGGTCCATTCACCCACGATAGCCCACTTGTCGGACTTCTGGAGCTGTCCAGAGCTGTGCGCGCAGACGTTTTGGACATGCGTGCTGACATCCTTTGTCAGAAGCGAGTTGTCGAAAACTTCATAGTGGTGGTTGTCGATGACCACGTTGTTCTCGGACAAAAAGCCGTTCCAGCTGTCCACTGGGTTGAACCCATCGTGCAAGACAAAAGTAGCATCCGGCTTCACTTCATGAACCCTCTGCTCGAAGTCGCCGTAGTACTGGCTCAAGAGGTCCCTGTCCACGCCAGCGGGGATGCTGGGCTCATTGAGAGCCTCGAATATAACATTGGGGTATTCATAGTATCGATCAATCAATCCCTGAATCGCGGCGGTTGTCCGGTCAACAGTGTCTCCTTGTTGCCATTGAACAGGGCCTCTGCGACCGCTGTTGTCGAATCCGTTCTGAGAGCCCGGAGCTAATCACATCTCGTCAGTCACGATCCGATTGCGCTCGAAAAAAAGTAAGCATACCTCCATGGAGATCAACGATCACTTGGAGACCAGCGGACTGAGCCCAGAAAACTGCCCGGTCAAGGAAGTCCAGTTGACCATTAACGTAGGGCTCATCGTTGAGCGGGATGACAGCCCAGTAGCCAACAGGAATCCTGACGTGAGTCAATCCAGCTGCGGCAATCTCATCAAAGTCGGTCTGGCTGACGAAGCTCCCCCAGTGCTTCAACAGTCTGTCCTTAGCATTTTCCTTGCCCAGAACCTCCGTGAGTGTCCACTCGTCAACGGCTGCGTCCCCTACTTCCTCGAAGATCGCTGGGGTGATCCATGGTTCCAGCACGAGCCAACCACCAATGTTCACACCGCGAATCTTGTCAACGTCGTAATTAGCCGAGGGTGCATGAATTTCGTCACTAAGATAGGGGTCAGTAACCGCGTCGAGACCAGAGCGTACGAACAACTTACAGCACACCCAGAGGGATAGCGCCTGCCACTGCTGCTAGAGCAGAAAGTGTAAGAAGAGCCTTATGCGAGAGTTTGGCAAACATGGCGAATGATTCGACCTAGTGTAAAACGATCGGAATTGAGAATGATCGTGGGACCGAACAAACGGGGAGTCCGGTGACTTAAATGGACAATCGTTCAACGACGACGAGATGACAACCAGTCAAATCTAGACAAAGCAGACCTGCAGTACCAAGGTTCTGTTCGTCCAAATGCGGCCTGTTTTCAAACCTCTGGAGGAAGACACGCTCGCTTGGCTGACCGATTGGAAACATACGTCCGGGGAATCGCGTAAACCAGGCTGAAAGCAGGACAAAAGCAGCAACGGATATATAAAATGAATGTAACAATGGAGTCCCAAGCCCGGGAGGAGGAGAGGAACACCACCTCCTCTGGGATCAAGGAAGGGGGGTACTTGTCGTGGCGTAAGGCGATGGCAGCTTGGATCAGTTCCACGCAGCGATCGTGGAGTAAGGTTGAATTAAATCTCAGATCACGGCGGGCGCGAGGCCCGAGGAATGCTGACAAGCACGCGTCTTCCCCATCCGTCAGTTTTCCACGCAATCAGGAAGGAGCAGTGCCATTGCCAATCGAACCGCACCTGCCGCTAGGAATGGTCTTATTTGGCAGTGACGCCCAGGCTTGGGAAGGGCGTCTGGGCAAAGGGTACGTGTAAGCCCACTTGCAAGGGCATGGTAGTATATACTAGACTTGGCTCAATGTCACCCTTGACAGGAGGTGTTTAGTACGGCAGGAGCCCACCCTGTCGGGTGATCCCTGGAATGTGCCATTCTGTAGATTCGTGTTTAGCGGAACTCGCGCTGCAAACGGAAATTTGCACTTTTCTTCCGGGACGACAAAGGATCATTGAAGGAGAAGACGTCAGCTGGTAACCTCGTGGTGGAGGTTCTTGTCGTCGAAGGAAGGGAGTGTATACGGTCACGTGTACTACCGGATGCAGACAACCACCACCCACCACCTATTCACACCCTTTCTGGTCCCTGTTCTTGTCCTACAAGAACATCTTTACTTGATACACTAATTGATTAAACGAAACCGGTGATTCCCGGGCCTACGGATTACCCCAGAGAAACAACCCTGGTTGTAACATGACCTATCACAATGATCGCGCCCTGCAGCCGTGCACAAGGTACTACATACAGAGGCATTGAATGTCCGTATGTGGTTAATCAGGCCTATACCCATCGCGAATCGGTAAAAAGCCCTCGATACCGAGTCCAAATCTCCCCCAACTCGAACTCAGTGGGAAACTTGACTGCAGCCTTAAGGTAGAGGTCATCTCTTTTTCCATAAGTCTCCTCAAATTCCCTTGGCGCACGAAAAACCTCGAAGAAATTCGAGTCCCTGAGCCGTTTGTGTTTTAGGGCCTGATCTACCATTGCTTTCCAATCACAATCATCACTCAGCTCGACCGGGATCGAATCGATAATGTCAACGTCGAATACCAGCCTAAGCTGACAAATGTACACTATGATAACAAACAGCGCGTACTGTCTCAAAATACACGCCCGTTGCTACCCCGGAAATAAATGCCACAGAATGCGGAGGCCATGCACCAGCGTCATCGTGTGTATCAAGAAGAAATCGAACTTGCGCTCTCGGTCGCCGATCCCAATACCCAGCAAAACGAATACGTCGCAACATTGCTCCAACTGTTGAAGAGGATCTGTCGTTTGCCATGCGTTCCAGTGCTCCAGAAGAGCTTCGAAGCGGTTTTGCAGCAGGGGTCCCATGTTGGCGATGCCGGGGTTTGTGAATAGGTCGTCGAAGCGATTATCGTCGTGCACACGCTTGATTATATCTACCAAGCTGGTAGATTTATATGTCGAGCTACCAGGGGGGTATTGGTCTAGGAGTCCATGCAGCTCAGTGTACTCGGTACATCCTAACGACAGGGCTTCCGTGGCCACCGCCGGCGACTGCAATTTCCAGGTATAGGGGAGGTGGATGAAAGGATGACCAACTGACTCGACTTTCAGCTTATACCGTGGCTTGAAGGGGGTACTTGGAACCAACATCCACCAATAAAGCCATTGATAAGAGATTCCAGCCTGGAAAAGAGATACTCTCAAAGCACCTCCTTCCAATCCCCATTATTACGCTTAACCTCCTGATCAAAAAAGTCCACATAAGCGATAGTAACTATACTTGTTATGAGCAGAAACCGACAAAGATCAGTCAGAAAACGCACGGTTTCTGGCATAGGAAATCCCTCCACTTCTCCCTTGTGATGACAGCATCCTGACAAGGGTCTCATCGATTGGAACAAGTGTCTGTATCTCATACTCATAGAGTTCCTTCAATTGTTCAACTCCAGCACCGAGGAAATACACTGACCCCAGAAGCTGCAATTGTCAGGAAAAGAGGATCACGCATCAAAAAGGGACGGTGACATGCATGAGGAAGATTGCTATGAAGAATTAACTTGGGTTTGCGCAGTGGCGCCACAGCAGCGTGGCCTTTCTCAAAAAGCCGATACAGGGTTTCGGCTCGCCAATTGCTTATTTTGCCGTGAAGAACAAGGCAGGGTTCAACACCCTCAGGTCGGCACCCGGGGGCAGGCGTACGGCTGAAGCTGCTGCTTTTTCGTTACTCGACATGGTTGTGATATTGTATTGATTCCGACATGGGGTGGACAATCTTGAATTGCGCGCGTCTTTTTGATGGATTGACGAAAAGAAGGGAGAGAGAGAGAGAGAGAGAGAGAGAGAGAGAGAGAGAGAGAGAGAGAGAGAGAGTATGGGAGAGATAGAAGAGGAGAGAAGAGCGGCGTTTCACATTCCAAATTACACTGCATTACGGAGTACATTGCAGTGCATATAAAAAAGCAAGTTTCCAAAACCCGACAAAAACCGCCAACCCGGCATACTAAACTTGGCATCTGATATTTCAATCATCCGTGGAAAGTGGAACTCACATAGACGACTAGACCTAAAAGGCACGCTAAGTGATCCTAATTTGATACTAGCAGTACATGGACCAACCTGCGTCAACAGTCGCTTGCAACACTTGTACTTCGCATATACATGCATGTCTTACTCTTCCTAAACCCGACGACGCACACTTCTAAACATAACATTTGGAGTCGACCAGATTTCAGTATCCAAGGGACTATCTACTCCGTACTCTGGACTACAGTTTGTAATTAGACACTCGAAACTATCGGCTCTTGTCGGTGTTTGTCGGTGTATATTGCAAATATGGAATAGCACAACACAATAAGAATTCTTTATAGCCTGGGATCTGCAATCAAATCACCTTCCTCATTTCCGGACACACTCTCCCCCCGGTCCCTCCTATAAAAAAAAAAAAAAAAAACAGAGCTTTTCCTCCCCCTCCATGCCCAAGAGCAAAGTTCAACGAAGACGTTTGGCCCTATTGGGCGCCACAGGGCGTACAGGCCACCAGATACTGCAGAAGCTCCTTCAGGAGCCAATCGTTGGATCGATATCCACGTCTATGTTCGCTCAAGGGCAAAGCTTGACTCCCTCTTCCCCCCTCCCTCTCCTCATATCCTCACTTGACTATCTTCCACGGCAGTCTCAACGACAAGACCTTAATCCGCGAGTGTCTGGCCCAGGTCGACACGATCATCTGCATCATCGGCGAAAACGAGAACATCCCCGGCGTCACCGTGCTACAAGACAGCGCCCGAGTAACCCTAACAGCGCTATCATCGCTCAAAACCCCAACGACAAAAACGAAAACACCATCCCGCCTCCTCCTCTCATCCGGAACATGGAACCTGCGCTTCGCAGCGACCCGTCCCGTGCTGCTAGACTGGATGATCCGGAATGCCTTACAACGACCTAATCAAAGCGCAGAGAATGCTCCGCGCTGCACCCTCACTTGTGTCCGTACTCTTAACCCAGCCTAACGTACTACTTGAAGAAACAGCGTCTGGAAGCGTTATTAGTACTGATTTCGCGCATATAGCCGTGTCCTATGAGGATCTGGCGGATGGGGTTTGTGCAGTTGGTTATTGGGAGGTTTGCGGACGATACCGTTGGGGTTGGGGTGTCGAGTCAGAAAGCGAAGAGGCCGGTGTTGTATGTGCCGTTTGTGTTGGGGAAGGTTTTTAGGGGGTTGTTGTTTCGGTTTGTGCCGGGGTATTGGAAGGCTGAGTATGCTGTTTCGGGGTTTGTGGGGCGTTGGCAGAAGCCCAAGAACTGATTTCCCTCCTTTTGATGCAACCAAGGGAAAATGTACTATAGGACCTGGGAAGCATGTAAGTCACATCCATAGACAGACCATATCTAACGAAAGAAAAGACATACCTTTTTGCCCCATCAATCACTAATTAGGCAACACACCCTGCCAATCACCAAACGGATTCCCCATACCCGGCACACTCCACCCAAACGCCATCAACCTCTCCACAGACCCTCGCAACACCCCCCGATGCACATCTGTCATCATATCCTGAAATGAGGCCAAAAACCGCTCAATCAGCGCCTGACAATTCCGCCTCAACAGCACATCCTCACAAGCATCCGCCTCGTCAATCGCAACAACAAGCACATGCCAAGGAGAAAACAACCGAATGAACCACCTGAACGGCTCGCTGCGCTCGTCGTGCCGGAACTGGTCCAGCGCTTGAAGGAATTTTACTGTTAGGAGGAGCAGGCCCGAGCCGCGACGTGTTGCTGCTGGTGGGGACTCTGGGTTTTTGTTGCCGCTGCGGATGGGGCGGAAGGAGAGGAGTTGGAGGAAGGCGTGGATGATGTTGACTAGTTTTCGCAGGCACCAGTCGAATTGGGTGGTGATGAGCTCTGATTGGGGGTCTGGGAGGTGGGCGAGGGCTTTTTGTCGGAAGGTGGTTGCTACGTGTTGACGACGTTTGGTGTCGAAATTTGCCGGCGTGGTCTTGGGGGCGTTTAGTTCTGATACGTCGAGGGCTCGGAAGGCACATTGTGCTTCGGCCATGATGGCGAGAAATCTTGTGTCTGCGTGCAGGAATTGAGTGGCGGCGTCGTCGGGGTCGCCTGTGCTGGGGGAAGATATCTCGGACAGTGCGCAGTTCGATCGCAGCATCGGCTCGGAGCCCCGGTCAAAGGCAGCTTGGATATCTAAAATGCCAATGACATGCCATAGACGGTGACGCATCTCGCGCTCCATCGGTTTTACCGGAAATGGGGGTTCCGACTCGTGGAGGGAAATAGACTGGGCAATTCGCAAGGTGAGGCCCAGCATCGTCCAGGCCCGTCGACCCTGACCATGAGCACGGACAGCTAACTACAAGCCCGTGAGACAATGATTCATGCAGCTAAGCCAAGGAAGTCATTCATACCACAAACAGCACAAAAGCCTGCAAAGTCGTCAAATCCTCCGTGCTGATATAATCCGCTTTTTCCAGCGCAGACTGCGTGGTTTTCTGATATCTCGCAAGGAGGGGTCCTCTTTCCACCCCGAACATATGGAAGCACTGGTCATCGTTGATGGTGCCGATGGTGAGGTAGCGCACAGCCCAAGCCAGTGCTGCAGGTGCCGGATGGTCGGTATCATATTCCAAATACGGCTTTCTGCTAATGAGATAATCACCGAATAACCCGCAGTGTAAGATGGGGACGAGGGAGTCCACTCGCTCCATGTATATTGACATGATTTGTCTACGGTGGTGCAGCTCTTTGTCCCAGTCCTCTGGTTCGGGGATGGGAGAGACAGTGTTCAACCAAGTATCCACATGACTGTCCGTCTACAAGAACGTTAGCGAGGATGTATTATTGGATAAGAGCGACTCACCTGCTGGTTATTCTCATTGAGAAGGCGATTCTCGGCAAGCCCCATGCCAACATCCCACAGCGAGAAACCCGGAAGAACCGACATGCCTCCATCCTCAGCCGAACCATAAGACGCCTGCCCGCTATGCACCAAGCCCTGAACGGTATGCTCCAGCATCGACACACGTTCTTTCAAACCTTCAGCGCCATCGCCATTACCATTTATATCGCTCTGTTTATGGTCTTCTGCATTGGCGTCGACATTGGCATTGACATTGGCATTGACATTGGAATTCGCACTCTTCTTCCTCCTCCCCCCTGACCGACCTCGCGGGAGACGTGCACGTTCAACAGGAACACAAACCGTCCCTGTATTCCGACAGGCCGTGCAGGGACGCAGCTTATCGCATTTAATCTTGCGTCGCTTGCATATTTCACACGTCAACTGGGCCTTGGAACCCAGTGGACCCTGGCCTTGCGCCACAGGGGGAGGAGGATCCATGCTCGTTTCTGGAGCCGGGATGCGCGGATGCAAGCTCTGCGAAACAAAATGCCTCCTGCTTATACAATAGGAATCCGAACCGGTTTAATTCACAATGATATTCTTGACGTAGTGGTATTGGTATTATTGGTATTATGGTCAGACAAGACAGGCTTGCAAGGCTGGTGCATCGCATTCAGACACTTGGGCGCGCGTTGTTGCGTCTGGTCTGCCTTCTGCTTCTCCTCAGCTGGAGCAATGAAAGAACAAAGAGATGTGGCGTTCGTATTCGGGGTTTAGGAAACTCCAGAAGCCGAGCCATTCAGCGCGCTGAATGGCTAGTATAGAGGCTATTTTCGGCGATTGACGCCACAGCAATAACTAATCCGGCCATGGCAGGTTGGAATGTTGATATGGAGTACTCCGTACTCTGTACATAAAGGGGTGATTCCAACGACGTGCATTTTGATCGAGATCCCAGCCATTTTAACATATAGACATCGATCGACCTGAACCATACAAATACTCGATATGCGACGCGACTAATCGATGAGAAATCTCCGCACAAAGTCCTGGAGTAAAATGGCCCACGTTCTCGAACAACCCAAGACATCCCTACAAGCGCCCAGATAATGAACGATGGAGCTGAAACATGAATCTCAGAATCGCAAGCGAAGGAGAATGTGTGGAGATACAAACGGCTGTCATTTCCTCACTCCCTGAAGACGATCCGTGGTTGACATGTGTCGCATAAATTATGTATCCAAAGTTATGTCCTCCGTACCGAGACGGAACGATCGGAAATATCCAGTGCTTCGAGAACAAAAAAGGATATGCGCCGGGAATAATGTCTTTTCCCTGCCCCATCGTGCAGTTTGAAGGATTCAACAGAACCGGTTTTCATAATGTTTCAAGATCAGACCATACGAATGCATATTGCTAAGGTTGGTAGTATGTGTTCTCATGAGTCGTCTCCACAATCATTCCACCAGATTACTATCTCCACAGGATGAACTATTGTTTTTTTGTTGTCGGGGAAGATATGGATCTGGCGCAGTACTATACGCATTTGGGGACAATATACTGGCGACAGACGTTAAGACGCCATTCCATAATAATTCGGACAATATATGATCGACAGGAGTACTCCGTACAGAGTACGAGTACCGCTGTCACGGCAATTAATAAACATAAAAAATGGCAGTGGCTCAACGTCCAACGGATGTTTCAAGGGCGCACCCGAGACGCGCCCCATGGCCCTGACTTTTTATTATCGCTAGACTCGGAGCATAACCTGTCAATGCACGAGGGGGAAAAAAAAAAAAAACGTCCACTAGTTTCTCTCGTATACTCCGTAGTTATCGTACAGAGTACTCCGTACGGAGAATATGCAGTTTTCGACTCGGGAGCTACTCCGTACCACTATGTACTAACTAGTGCTAGCATCGATCGGTTTCAGTCCGGCCGTATCTAACCATTCGGAACCTATCCATCGCTAATACAAACCACATACTATAGTGTATGTGGACCAATCGCACCAATCCGATTCGAATCAAAAAAAGATGGAAATGTCATCCCTGTCATTTTAGGTGCTATCAGTGGCCTGGATTTCGTTTCTTTTTCGTCCCGGTGACCACGGTACCATGTGTTTCAGATTCGGTGATGGAGGTGCTCGTCGTGGGCGAGTCAGACCACCTACAGATCGGAGCCGGGTCGGGCGAAAGATGTGATGAGGGTGACGATGGTGCTGACGATGACGGTGGCTTTGTGGTTTTGTGGGTTGGGTATTCCCGTCTGGGATGCATATATAAAGGTGTTGGGTTCGCTGTGTTTTGGATCTTTATTTCCAGACCCTGTCGACCACGAGTCAAAGGAACAAGACCCTGAAAACCCCGGCGGTTCGCGAAATACAGCCTTGCTTAGATCACTTCTTCAGTTTGCCTAAACCATGAACTCTATTTTTGATACCGACCGGCCTATCAAGCATGTCAGTCGGAAGGCCATTTATACGCGACTGGAAGCTCGAATCGATTATCTTAAGAGCTTTCTCGACTTCAATACGGGTTTGTTCTCCGCAAAAAAAAAAAAAAAAAAAAAAAAAAAAAAAAAAAAAAAAACCAACAGGATTAGTTCTAACTGTAGCAGATGACATCGAGGCCCTTGAATCCGGAAACAAATACATCAAAGCATTAATCCCTGCTGTCGTCAACATGGTCTATAAGAAACTCCTCGAGCATGACATTACCGCGCGAGTATTCATGACATACGACACCTCGAACGAAAAACCCATCGAAGACTTCTTCAACGAGGAGAGTCCCCAGATCAAACGGCGCAAGATGTTCCTCCGCTGGTACTTGATCAAGATCTGCTCGGACCCGACACAGATGGAATTCTGGCGATATCTGAATAAAGTTGGGTGAGTGCACTAGTCTACCTGCTTTGTGTGACCATGGCTAACCTAGACTCTTGTTTAGGATGATGCACTGCGGTCAAGAACGGCTATACAAACTCAACGTCGAATACATCCACATCGGCGCCTGTCTCGGCTACATCCAAGATATCTTCACCGAAGCCCTCATGTCGCACCCCCATCTCTCCCTGCAACGCAAAGTCGCCCTCCTCCGCGCAATCAACAAAATCGTCTGGATCCAGAACGACCTCTTTGCGAAATGGCGCATCCGCGACGGCGAGGAATTCGCCGATGAAATGTCCGAAGTCATCATTGACGACAAAGAAGGGTATCTGGGTGATAAGAAGATCCTTGGCGACGGGAGTACATCTGGCAGCTCGACTGACGATGATCGGTCGAGTTTAAAAAGCAGTATTGTTCCGCCTGGGCATTCGATAGCGCCGTCTCCGGTGTGTCCATTTACGGGCGCTTCGAAGGGGGATTCGGGTACGGAGACGAAGATTTGGGCGGAGTAGATGGTTTCTTTAAAAGCGAAGCATGGCGTCGGGTGTTTTCCTTTAGCGTTATTGTTCTGGTCGTAATTGTATAATCATACATAATACTCTACCTGTACAGTATCAATGAACTGATTACCCAAAGTGGAAAGATGCATAATACACAGGTGTGGAGATACAGACCGTTTTCTATTCCCATTGGTGAGTTCCCCACACTAATGCATTTTAAGATTAGCGTGATTTTATCTCTGACCTTACTCTTCAGAGTTCAAGACCAACTCGAGACATTATTATGCCTTGATAAGGGAAAGAGGAAAGAGACACTGTCTAAGACTGTGTACGAGTAATTAGACTACTAGTATACAATTGAAGTAAAATGACCAACTACCAAATAATTTAGTGCTGACGGGCGGGATATAAGGAGTAAGCACTAGCGCAACGCTCTCGGCTGCTGTCAACTTTATTTGCCGCGGGGAAAATATGCATGATACCGAGTGCAGTGCATAACTATCAATACGAAGAACTACTTAGTAGAGAATAGTTCGATTATAAGTAAACATAATGTTGAGTCAAATTGTTGAGACTTTTCTTCGATCGGATTTCTCCCTTCTCTCTTCTCCCTTTTCACTTTCTTCTTTTTTCTCCTTCTGTCTGTCTGGCCCTTGCTTTGCTGCTTGTATATAATTTGGAGGTTATCCTTATTCTATCTTCTTCCATTCACACAGCAATTCTCCATCAAAATGACCATTGTCCCTCTCAGCGCTCCCACCGGTGCCACTGCCACTACCACCACCGGCAAAATCCCCATCCCCCTCCTCATCGACAACCAATCCATCATAACAGACAACCAATTCAAAGTCCAAAACCCCGCAACCAACCAGATAGCCGGCCTCTGCGTCAGCGCCACCGTCGACGATGCCATCCACGCCGTCGACTCAGCCAAGGCTGCCTTTGCGCCCTGGAGCAAGACCACCCCCTACGCCCGCCGCGACATCCTCCTCCGCGCGGCCGATATCATGCAGTCGCGGAAGGAGGAGTTGATCGCATACCAGATCGAGGAGACGGGTGCTGGGCGGTTGTTCTCCGAGAAGACGTTTGATTTGGGAGTTTCGTTTATGAGGGATACTGCGGGGAGGATTCCGTCGATTGAGGGCGCTGTGCCGTCTGTGTCGGAGAATGGGGAGACGGCGATGGTTTTTAAGGAGCCGTATGGTGTGATTTTGGGGATTGTGCCTTGGTTCGTTACATCCCCCCCCCCTGTTGTTAAACTTGATCCCCCGCTGACGAAATGACAGGAACGCCCCGTACATTCTCGGAACCCGCTCCATTATCCTTCCCCTCGCGGCCGGAAACACCGTCGTCCTGAAAGGCTCCGAACTCTCCCCTAAATGCTTCTGGGCTCTTGGTGATATTTACCGGGAAGCTGGTCTTCCCGCTGGCTGCGTGAATGTCGTCTACCACAAGACCTCTGATGCTGCGGCCGTGACCAATGCGCTTATCGCGCACCCGGCTGTGCGCAAGATCAACTTTACCGGAAGTAGCCATGTTGGATCGATTGTTGCTGCTACTGCGGGTAAATATATCAAGCCGGTGTTGCTGGAGCTGGGTGGAAAGGCTGCGGCTGTTGTTTTGGATGATGCCAATATGGAGCAGGCGGCTATGGCTTGTACTTTGGGTGCGTTTTTGCATGTGAGTATCCCCTGTCAAGAAACCCTGATATGAGAAAGATTCTGACAAAATCCAGTCCGGCCAAGTCTGCATGTCCACGGAGCGCATCATCGTCCAGCGCTCAATCGCAGACCAATTCCGCCAACTACTCGCAGAAACTGCCGAAAAGGTCTTTGGCCAGCATGTCCCCGCTCCCGTCCTCGTTGCCTCTGCCGCAGTCGAAAAGAACAAGAAACTCGTCGCAGACGCCGTCTCCAAGGGCGCCTCCGTTCTCTTCGGCAACCCCAACGCCTCCGAGAGAAACCCCTACAGCATGAGACCCCTGATCGTCGACGGCGTCACCAAGGAAATGGACCTCTACGCTACAGAATCCTTTGGTCCAACCGTTTCCCTGATCGAAGTCGACACCGAAGACGACGCCGTTGCTTTGGCCAATGACTCCGAGTACGGTCTGACCTCTGCGGTGTTCACCGGTAACCTTTTCCGGGGACTGCGCGTGGCGCGCCAGATTGAGTCTGGTGCTGTGCATATTAACTCGTTGACTATCCACGATGAACCTGTATTGCCGCATGGTGGGTACAAGAGCAGTGGACTTGGACGGTTTGGTGGTACGAAGGGGTATGAGGAGTTTTTGCAGTCTAAGACTGTTACTTGGGTTGAGCCTTGAGTTTGCTGTGCTAGCGTTGCAGAGCTTATAAATAGCGTATAGTTGTAAATAAGCGATGCATGAATGATACCCTGATTTTACATGTGTTATTTTGTTGGTATTCACTTAGTAGCTGAGGTGTGCCAGTGAATGGATGAATGTTGGAGCTTTGATTGGAAGTAAATATTGCTAGGGCTGAGCGCTTTTCTTTTCTAAAACATCACGAGGAACATGACCTTTTCTGCTCATAATTGACTGCACGATCAATACATTCTTCGCAGAAATCAAATTTACCATGCACATAAATGACGGGCATGCCTCGAAACACATGCTGTCTATCGATATGACCCTCGAATTTGCACGTGCGTTAGGGTCAATCTACCAAACGATCACCCAAACGGCCCCAGGGGATCTAAACCAGTGATTCCACTGACATAAAAAAAGCTGGTTTTTTTTTTTTTTTTTTTTTTTTTTCATAATTATAGGGAATATGAAGCTAGGTCCATGGATGTATCATTATCCGTTGGAAGTGGATTGGGTCAACAAAGTGTCTTGGATACATGGTGCTCTTTGGTGGTTCCACAACAGCAAGCACGAACACTGTCCCAGGAAAACAAGCAATTGAGCCCGCCCAATTCAGAAACCGGAGACTGGCTGCTAGGCCGTATACCTCGACTAGGAAGAAAAAACCACGACCAATAATAATACGGGCTATTCAAGTGCTCAGTGCTCCTGGGTCTGCAATGGTCTAACTGCTCAGGTATTTCTGCAGCGGAGTATCAAACTCACAACCTATGCTTTTCGGCTGAATGGGGATTCGATAACCCCCGAAACTAGATCTTTAGGAGGAAGAGGCGATCTCGTTATTCGATTTAACGATGAGATCACTATAGAGAAGAAGGATCTCTATGTTATCCTCAGAAAAATTAGCGAAGAATCGGCCTTTGCATGATACATCTCGATGCACTTGATAAGTTGTGAAAACTTATGATCATTTTGACGGCTCGTAAAGAAGCCCAAGACGTATGTGGACCTAATGGATTCATCATTTTACTTCCTTGGCCATAGCAACGACAATATCAGAGATCTAAAGTCTCAGGACTTGCTATGCAGCGGGTGTTGTCGAATCCAGCAAAACACGGGGAGTTGCAGAAGAATGCTGAGACTACGCCTATATTGGCAGAAGATACATGGAGCCAATGAGTAAATCAAAACCGCAAACGGCTGCTTGCGTTGGGTGCAAGTGGCCTTGTTACGACGAGCTAGTTGAATGAAGAGACTTCGCTATGTTTGAAGGATGGATCATCGAAAAACAAAATTCGCGGGAGTTGAGCTTCCCGCCACGTATGCCGAGACAACGATCCTCGCGATGGAGACCTCTCCAAGTAATGAACCTCTATCGGGTCAGATGTGTCTTGTTCTCGCTGATAAATAACAGTGTACAAGATAAGAACTTCGCGGCGCCGTACGGCACACCGAGAAATTTACGATTACAAAATACATACTTACAGTTTTCAAGCACAGAATGCATATCCCCGGCTCGACCAAGACGAAGGTCATTTTGAAAGGACATAGTTCAACTTACGACTCTAGCGAGCGTCTGCACTTGTTTTTCAGTGGTCTGCCTAGGCGACCGCGCACCTAACACCCGAAAAAATTGTGCTATCTATAGGGACTTGAATTCTGCAAACTTGGTATGTTCGACTAGTTCACCCTGAAGAATTATGGGTTGGACTGTCTGGCATAGGTTTAGGAAAGAAAGTGGACTTGTGGAATTTACAAGGGCACGGGAAACAGCTTGGATTGTTAATTCGATGGTAAGTTTCAATCAAATAACAGCCTACCAGGACCAGATTGTTGATTGAGGTCTCAAGACTTTCACAATTGGCACATCATAAATGGTTATTACCAAAAATCATTCCATAAGCTCAAGCCTTAAAATAGGACGGTTAAATCGTCCGGGCTGGGTTTGGTGAGCACCGACTTGGCCTGATGAGGCATAGAGACCTTAGTTGGTTGCGATGTGAATGCTCAGCATGTTTAGCGTCGAGCGTGCGAGCTTACAGTTGCCAAGTAGTGCTGAAGCCTACTCATACGATTCTGAAACGACCGAGGCGCGCCTTTTGTCTGAGGCTCAGATGACCCAGATCTGTCACTTAGAGAGCTTGGAACCTGTCCTATTGTCCAAGGACTTCATCTACTGGGAGATCCTGAGCAACGTGAGGAATCGGACGACCTTGGCTTCGCTGTTTGATGATCTGGGGATAAAATTTTATATTATTTGTATTACGAGAACGGTGTGATCTCGTTAAGACCCGCCAACTGTTGAGGGAAAAGGCTCTACTCGCTAGGTCGGAGGGACACGGTAGACCGCTATGTACAAAACTGAGAGCAGAGAGCCCCCGAGGCCAGTTACCGGAACAGCAAAACTCACATCCAACCCCGGCTATCTATGGACATCCGATCTCTACCTGAGGGCTTAGCAAATAAGAGTGGCTTGAATGTCTACTACTTAACATCTGTAGCTTGCGATAGAGCTACCCGAAAGCGAGGCATCTATGTTACGAGACTTACTTGACCCGGATCGCAAGAAAGAAATCGAGAGTTGCTTGATGACAAGCGTGATATTTTCGACTTTGTAGATACTTGTGTGTGATCACAACCTTGCGATTGACTCCACGTTCTCCCTGGCCTCGCGTGAAGAAATTTATACATGTCCTCCCCGCAATGGCCTGTGAAGTTGGTTGTAATGGCGCTTCTGAAGCTGCCACTATTCCTAGGGCTTGCACTAAATAAGGAGGGGGGTTCATCACATGATGGACGTCTACAAACGATCACATACTTTTACTCGGTTTTCAAGAAGTTTGAACGAGGCTTGCTTGGGTTAGTCTTTGGCTTGGGCTCTCATGAACTTGCAAAGGGTAACAAGATGCATCACTTTAAGGTATACGTATACCACATCAGATAAGGAGTCGCCGGGCTTTCTTTTCTGAGAAATCGATAGCAAAGGGGAAGTTTCAGCTGTCCCTTTAACCAAGAGGGGGGGGGGGGGTCTCCAGTTTGGTCCGATTGTCTGCATCCCATCTGTACGCTTCTTCCCCAGAGCGGCCCTGGTGCTCAAAATAAAACACTACCACTCTATAAGAAATCGAAGGTGGACGAGTGGGTCAATATGACTCAGAGGCATTTGATATCACCAATAGAGATAAATATAGACAAACTTTAAGGAGTGATATTAAAAACTTATACAACCATCAAAAAAACCTATTTCCAGCACCGCTGAATCCAACAAACCAGTCTCGACGACAATGAATTTGCATACACTCTTTCCATCGACCTGGCCAATTAACATCCAGCTCTACATCCAATTGATGTTCACTTATTTCCTCATTCGCCTGATGTTAATCACCAATTCCTCGTCGACCCCTGAGGAGCGAGAACCGGCTCCGTTGCTTATTATTAAGTTCAGCTTAGCTAACTATTGGCTTGATGTTTTGCTATGCCTACCAAGCTCTTAACTCCGGGTCAGATTGAAAGGACGCCTGGGTGACTGATTCGGTTTGGATTGGAAGGCTTTCTTAGACCGTGCTATGCCGGACACGTATCTTGCATGGGACCGTTAGATGCTGAGAATATGCGTCGGATCTGTCGTCGACTGTGGAAGCGCATTCTCTGCGTCAAATCTCGCGATGGCTAAACAGTGGCCTGTGACTCCTCGAGCTGCTGATAGATGCTAAGAAAGAAATCAGCAAAAGCCTTCGCCCCATCTTCACCAAACAACATCTGCCCGTTGCTGTACGTCTCTTTCGCTTTTTCCTTGGAGCGTGCCACCATGTCTTTCTCGAATTCCTTCATCAATGGATCCAGCATGCTCTTGAACGAGGAAGCGTTATGCCCACTGATTTCATGTGCTTTTGTGATAACACGCGATAGCAAGAGGGAGTCCAACATGGCCAGGTTGACACCCTCGCCGGCCCACGGACACATCAAATGCGCCGCATCCCCGATCAGCGTTGCACTGGCCCTGTGCTCCCATGAAGCTCCAATCGGCAGCATGTACAGTGGCTTAGTATCCACACTGACACCCGGGTTGTCGGCAGATTCCTCGTCGCACGCGACACCCACTAACTCCTTGATGATGGAGCCAAAGCGACCAAGCAGTTTGTCATCACTTAGAAGACGTTTCTTAGCGCCTGCGGCTGTCTGTCCTGCTACCTCTGATGAGATGGCAAAATTTTCGTCCGCTGTCGTTAAGAAGATGTAGATGCGGGCTGAGTCCTGTGGTCCGCGCTGCGCCATGAGGCCGTGCCGGAGGCCTAGTGCCGCGAAGCTGCCGTGGCCGATGAGTGCTGCCAGGTGTGGGTACTTGCTCGTGATATGGCGGATAGTCATGGTGATGCTCTGTGTTCCTGTGTAATGTGGCTTCACGTCCGTTAACAGGTTGCGGACTCGAGACCAGGCGCCATCGGCCCCAACAACTAGGTCGAACACCTGCTTTCCGTGGGGACCAAAGTCAAGTACGGTCTTGTTGCCGGTTGCTGTGCTATAGCTGGCGACAGTGAGAAGCTTATGTCCCCATCTAATACCCTCATCCGGTAAATGATCACTCAAGAGCTTCGTGAGCGCATGCCGAGAAATCTCCGGACGTTCACTCAACTCTCCTTCATCTGTGTGGAGGATATTGCCATGCATATCAGAAACCTTTTGGGCTTCTGCGCATTCGCCAGTAAACTCGAGAAACTTCTCAGACAGCTCGCATTCTCTGATCGCAGCGAGTCCGGATTCTTCGTGGAGGTCTAGCATCCCGGATGGTTTGGCTAGTTCTTGGTCGGTGGGCTTTTGGCGGAGCTCGAAGATGGTGAATGGAATAGAATGTCTGTGGAGGAGGAGACCGAGAGTCAAACCGGCAGGGCCGGCGCCAATGATGGCGATTCTCGGTTGAGATGAGGACATGATGGGTTGGAATCAGAGGTGTGAATTGTAGGCGGAGTATGGGTAGATCGAATACAGTGCTTTGCGAGTGCTTCTTGGTACATAATCTGAGAAACCGCCATTTCGATGACCAGGGAGAGTCGAGACCTATTTATAACCACCAAAAACTTCGTCTGGAATTGTCCAAATTTCTCTTATTAGAATACTGCGGGTGGTACTAAAGCCCGACGGACCACATGACCCACTTCTCGGGCGTTAGAACTACCCGAGCCTCCCAACGTCCTCCCTCATCACGCACTTTGCAGCCTGCCAGCCATGTCCGCGTCCCCGGGTCCTCCAAAACCCCAGCGAGTGCTTGCTTGTTTGCTCTGTCAGCAGCGAAAGATCAAGTGCGATCGCAAGTTTCCCTGTGCCAACTGCACCAAATTCCGGGTCCAATGCGTGCCTGCTACGGCGCCTCGTCGACGGAGGCAAAGGTTCCCGGAACGAGAACTGTTGGATCGGATTCGGAAGTATGAGGATTTGCTAAGGCGAAATGAAATTAAGTTCAATCCGCTTCATGGGGACGGTGATGTGGGGAAGGGCTCGGAGTCTCCTAATGCGGAGGGAAATAATGGTTCGAAGCATGAGCAGTCAGAGCCTCCTGCGGCATCTGGAAACCCTAGACACGAGCCCAACGACATCTGGAATGTCATGAGGCAATCGTCGCACGACACTGTGAGTGACATCGGGGTTCGAAAGGCCTGGGATCAAGTATACCCAGATTACGACAACCTTCTTTTCGGCTCGCGTAAGACGGCTGTCGAGCTTTCTACTCTGCATCCCGAACCAGTCCAGATCTTTAAGCTCTGGCAGATTTACTTGAATAACGTCGACCCGTTGCTCAAGGTTACACACACTCCCAGTCTACAAGGGCGCCTCATCGAAGCTGCTGGTGATGTGGCGAATATCAATCCTACTCTCGAGGCGCTTATGTTCGGCATATACTCTGTGTCTATCATGAGTCTCACAGCAGGTGAGTGCCAGGCTGCGCTCGGTTCGTCCAAAGACAATCTTCTGGCAAGGTACCAATCTGGCTGCCAGCAAGCTCTGCTGAACTGTGGTTACTTGCGAACAAGCGATCGTGAATGCTTGACTGCATTTTATCTCTTCCTGGTATGTCTGTGTCTTCAGATACTTTGAGCAAACTTACCAACTATCTGTTATAGGTTTCAATCGGGCCCAGTACAGATCCCCGGTCTCTGTCCTCCATGTTCGGAGTTGCGATACGAATTGCGTACCGCATGGGCATTCACAGCGAGTTAGCTTGTGCCAAACAACCCCCTTTCGAGGCTGAGGTGCGCCGGAGACTCTGGTGGTCTTTGAAACTTCTCGATACCCGTATCAGCGAGCTAGCAGATTATAAGACTGTCGCGCTAGAACCTACTTGGGACTGTAGGATACCTCTTAATGTGAATGATTCCGATCTAAGACCGGAGATTACAGAGCCACCGTCGGCTCAGGGTACATCCAGTGAAGCGCTTTTTGTTGTGGTGCGCAGCGAGGTGGGCGAGTTTGTCCGCCGCAGCAGGGTTCGCCTTGGTTTTGCCAGTCTTCCCGTTGCAAAGGACGCTGTTCAAACTGAGGGCAGTAAGCTGGACGCCTTGGAGAAGAGGATTGAAGACAAATACCTCAGGTTCTGTAATCCGGAAAACCCCCTCCACTACATGACGGTCTGGACGACGCGAACTTACTTCGCTAAAAACCGCCTCTTGGAACACTATTCAAGATACTCCAACTCATCCACGGATCTAACCAATACCCAACGAGATGCCGCTCTTTGCCATGCCCTCAAATTGCTTTCATCCGATACAAAGATCGTGACTTCACCTCTTACCAAGGGCTACTTATGGCTTACTCGTTTCTACTTCCCATTCCCCGCATATATGCATATTCTCCAAGACCTTAGACGACGACCTGTCTGCAAATACGCTGAGGAGGCCTGGAAAGTCATGAGTGAAAACTTCGAGTCCCGTGTTATAGCTCCTCTAGGCCAAGGAGGGGATAGTCCCTTTCTCAACATCTTTGCTAAGATTGTTCTTCCGGCTTGGGAAACTCGGGAGGCAATACCCGGGAAATCGGGTAAATTGTCGATACCAAAGATTGTATCATTTATTAGAGAGCGCATGGAACGAAAGGCGTATAATGTACAACCTGCAAACAGAGAACAGGAACAGTTTGTTGCAGATTTGAGCATGAACGATTTACCCATGTCGACACCGATGGGACTTGGTGACTACGATTTTGGCTTGCTGTACGGCGCAGAAGGGCAAGATATATACGAACTTGATTTTCTAGAGTGACCGTGACTTTCCCCTCCCGGATGCCACCGCTTCTATGAGGGTGCTCAGGGGCTTGCTCAGTGAGTATTTTCTGTCACAGGTCGGTACTCAGTGAGCACTCACGGCCTACTCTGAAACGAATAAACCAATGTAGCGGTTAAAACTCCGTATCGGGGAAGTCGGGGGAGTCGACTATCCGGACTGCATGAGGCTATAGGCGACGAATTTAAATTACACTAAGGAGGATAACATTGATCTCAATACGTAGACACCAAGATGATAGAATGAGTGCTTAGCCATCTAAAGCATATGGCTACGGTGTCCGCATATGAGGAATCTGTTGGCCTCGGTAATCGGGCCGACTATTAATCCACCTTGACTTTCATCAAACACGGCTAAGCCGACACGTGACCGATCGGTCTCTAACAATCAATCTAGCCCTGGCCCCCGCTCCGACCCAGCAACCCAAGGCACACTGTGTGGCTTCACAATAGATGGGGTGATCCATCACCCTGCGTCGCCCGAGCTCACTCAGCTGAAAACCTTGATACCCACAAGTTTTTTGTATCAGGCTAATCATTAGTTGGCAAAGTCTCACCTCTAAACACTGAACTACTTGACATCTGCACATAGCCACTTTGCCAAATAGGCAGCAAGATAAGTTAATATTTCCCCGAATGGTCCGCAAACAGCAAACTTCTCTTTTGTCTCTAACTCCCTCTTTTTTCCTCGTTCAGACATGCTAGAAGGCGATATACACTACCGATATGGTCAGCTGGAAGATAGCGAGGCCATTGCGTCACTGGGCGCCCATGTCTTCACTATTTCATTCGCACAGCTCCTGCCAGTAAAGGACTTACAAAAGTATCTCCTCGAGTCCTACTCAACGTCAAGCATAGCCGCCAAGCTGAAGCATCCCTCAACTACTTTTGTGGTGGCAATTTATGATGATACCCTGGTCGGCTTCATGCAACTGACTCAGGGCACGTCCGAGGCTTGCATCGATGATGTCAAAAGTAAGATTCAATTACAACGTCTATATGTCAGTGAAAAGTGCCAGGGGCTGGGAATTGGGATGCGGTTGATGGAGAAAGCGGAGATTGAGGCGCATAAAATGGGAATCAAGAATATCTGGCTGGCCTCTTGGGAGTCAAACCCGAAAGCGGAGCGCATCTACGAGAAGGCAGGGTTCGTGAAGGTTGGGAGTATGAAGTTTATGCTGGGGGACGCTGAGCTTAAGGATTGGGTCATGATTAAGGCGCTCTAGAGGAATAAGAGAGAATGTTACTATAATTTACTTACAGCTAGTGTTTTTAGCTCTGTCCTGGCAATGCATTTGCCGGCGAACAGATAACAGGCGAATGTGGAGAATGCTGTGACGAGAGGTTGTTTGTCTGAAAGAGGCATAGCAATAATGCAACTGAATTGGGTTTATCTCCGCTTGAACAAGCCTATAGGTTTCCAGCTTGAACCTTTTGTTCCATCATGTTCCCATTCTCTAGCCAGCAGCCATGGCGCGTTCAACGAACCCTGTGGCGAACCCTCGAGCCATTGTCTCCAGCTCCGACTATCGTTTTACCGTCCTTACAGACAGTCTCATCAGATACGAATGGGCACCCGATGGCCAGTTCAAAGACAGGGCTTCCACCTTTGCCATCAACCGTAATTTTTCTGTTCCCCGATTCCGTCTTCTTGATGGCGATGATCTCCATATTATCACCAAGCACTTCCATCTGAGCTACAATAAGCAGTGGTTCACACTGGGAGGATTACTCATCCACTTGAACTCCAACCACACAGAATGGGGCGCCCCATGGCAGTATGGAGTCTCTGAAGACCTCAACCTGGGAGGCACAGCCTGAACCCTTGACCTCTGCAACAGACGATGCAATAGGGGGCAGGGGATCATGTCCAAAGCGGGATATGCAAACCTTGATGATTCCTCTTCCATGCTCTTTAATGGAGACTTTGTGGCAGGCAGAAAGCCCAGGAACTGTGTAGATAGATATCTCTTCTGCTACAGTCATGACTACAATTACAAAGGCTTACTGCTTAGAATGTGTCACGGGCTCGGAATAGAAGATAATAACGAACTGAATTCCTATCTAGACTATTGTAGCCACCGACGAGAATATCGAATCTGGAGAGAAAAGAAGAAAGGGAATCTATCTACAGGAAGAAAGGGGTTTTATCTGAATGGTGTCGCCGCGCTAGTGCTCTCTCTGTTTGCTTGCCCAGATAAGGGCGTTTGTCGATATCAATCGACAGAGCGGCGTTGAGGTGTTGAGCCGTCACACTACTTGTGTCTGTTAGGGTTTGAACTCAAGTTGTCTTAACCTAAAGCTACCCTTTATTATACAAGAATGAATCGTTGAAGAAGAAACAAACAGAGAAGAGGCGGGAGCCATCTTTTATGGTTGTACAGGAATGATATTCCAAATAGTGTTCTCAGTGATCCCTCTTGGAAGTTAGGGATTGAACGAAGTGGTCACCGATAGCCTTCGTATGCCAGGGGGTCGTACAAAGGTCGTTGATAGTTGTTTCAGACCTCTTGCTGGCTGCGTTCCGTGCTGGCCTTAGCCAAACTGTCATCCTTTGGGTTCGTACGAGAACCCCATAACAGTGTCAAGTTATAAGTACTGTATCACTAATCTATTCCCTCTCAGATCTTGCAAAAAATATATCACAACAAGTCTTACTTCAATACCCAGATTCCACAATAGATGAAATGCCTTCATTGGGTCAACAGCTCTGGAAAATTGCTACACATAAGGAACATTATGGAATATCTTGCATTTTGATAACTGCTCTATGTGACGGCTCGACACTGCAATGCCAGCTTGACGCCATGAAACCGCCGCAGTGGCTGATATCAACAAACGCCGCTATCCAAGCAATGTGACAGTTCATGTGATGGCTCACATATTACAGCCACGCTGCCAACAACCCATATAAGAAACCCTTCACTACCTACACAGACTCCCTCTGTCACGGAGCTCAGCTGGGACAATGGAACATCAACTCATGTGTTCTACCTAGGCAACTATCGACGAGAATAATCAACATGAGGAAAGAAGAAGAAGAATGATGTGCCATCAGCGTTGACGAGACTTATATATCCCTTGCTTCCAGCACGTGAGAGGTATACACGTGACCAGACCGTCACACCCTCTTCTTTCCTCCAGATTCGACATTCTCGTTGATGGCTACAATAGTCTAGATAGGAATTCAGTTCGTTATTATCTACTATTCCGAGCCCGTGACAATCTATCAGGATTAATGTGGGTGTACTGCTCACAGCTCTTTAAATCCAACCCTCAGTTTCATTTATCAGATTCTCTTCACTCACCAAGACATATAGATCACACAATGTGGGTATTTAATCCCTGGATTTATGACAAGTGCTAGAGACTAGTCTGGGGCTTGACTCCAGATTATTGAATCAATGTATTTTGGATCCAGATGCATACTAGCAGAAAAGACTGTGATGCTGCTCAGCTGGAACTATGGGTTATAGTAATAATGCCCAACTCCCAAAACATGATAAGCAGGCTTCTCAGTTGTCATGCATCTATAGAGAGCTCAGACTGCATCTGGAGTGAGGAAGGGCTATTTGTGAGCGCTTTCTAGAATACATCTTCCAGATGTCCTCAATTCCCTGTTTCATTGATGATGCCACTGCTTTGTTGAGGGTCAAGGGGGTGACGGTCAAAAGTGCCATTGTATATTTGGGGCATTTGTCTTTTGGTGGCATGGAAAAAGGTGGTATCGCGTTGGATAACTTCTATTTACTACAGCCACGCGTCTAATGTGTCCATCGTCCTCGCCCGGGCGTAGTCGCAACCGACTGCACCATGCCGTCGAAAGAAATGGAACGGGTATATTAAAATGTACAAGAAAAGGGTATATGTACTCTAAATTCTAGGCAAAAATAATATTATAATAATCCTCCACCCTGCCACAAATCCCCGTCTGCCCCCTCCAACTGATCAACTTCCCTTCAAGCTTACAACCCGTCCAGCGGATCTCAGCCCAGTACTGTTTCTCGAGGTCCGTCCCAAACGACTCAACCACATCCTCCGGCGCGGTCCACGCGCGCGTATAGCTCCCATCTTCCTTCATAACGGGACCGATGACCCGGAAGATAGTGGCGGGGTTGAATTTGGGGTAGTTTGTGTGAACGAAGAATGGGGCGGGAGCTGTGGTTTCTCCGATTTTCTTTTTCTTCGTCATGAGCAAGTAATCGTCGATGGGGTTGTATTGGATCATTGTTGAGCCGGCGAACCCGTTACGTGTATGGCGGCCCAGCGCGCGAATGGATTGACGGACTTGGTAGAACGGTTGTTTGAGTGCTGTAGCGGCAGCAAGAAAGGTCTCTTTGTCGCCTTCCCCGGAAGCGCCCTGTGAGAGGATTGGGTAGTAATATGACGGACCCCAGAAGTTGTAGTAAGTAGCGAGAAGGATGGTGTGGAGGTGGGTTTTGCGGGAGATGAGTACTGCACCGGATTCGGTGGATTGGCGCAAGTTGGGAGCTGGTCTGTCTTGGGAGATAATTTCGTAGAATTGATGAGCTATTGTTGGGGCCCAGAAATCGGGCCAGGTGACTAGGCCTTTGGAGGTGAATGGGTTGTTGTTGAATATAACCTCGGGGTTATGTATAGGGAACGCATTTGCGTTAAGGAATAGGATATCTTCAAATGAAGAAAAAAGCATGGCAAGCGGTTTGTACTGAAATTTTTGGATCATGCTGTGGCTACCCGGCATGACGTCCAGGATCTCCGAGAGCACGACGCACCGCGCATTGAGCGATGGGAGGACCACATCGCAGATATACCCCTCATATTCATTCCAATGCGCCAGAAAAACCTCCATCGGTAGCTTTGTGCCCGTTCTGCGCAGCATCCGGAGCGAAGCCACCAATACAGGTAGATATTCTCCACCCGCCGTCGAAACCAACCCGCGCGTACCTGGCTGATACGGCAACGTCGGGATATCGCGCTTAATAGCCTTGACAAACAAGCGATGCGCTTCTCTCATAGCACCAACACTCTCCCCGGACATATCTAACAGCTTGGGTGGATACTTTGCATTCGATGGATCAAAAGTCACAGACTCTGCACTACCCTGCCGGAGCGGGGGATCACATTGCGGTGCATAATCCGTCAAGAAGGGGTATAATATTTGCCAGAGCTGTCCATTCACAGGCGTGCTGTCATCGTACTGCTCATCGTCATGCTGTTTGGTTGCTTGTGATGATGTTTGTGATGGCGTCTGTGATCCGGAGTGGGTAAAGAATAACCATGTAAAGATAACCACGAGCCCCAACGCAATTAGGCCATTGCGCTTTCGTTGTCGCGGTCGCGGCTGCCAAGATCCCCGAGGTATTGCCATATTCTGCACGGAAACTGGCGTTGAAGGAGTAGAACTGGATGTTTGACGACAAACAGATCGGGACGTCCGATCCGCGTAGCACGTGATCGACCACTATTCCCAAAGGGGAAGCGATACACCAAGACGGTAAGTTACATATGGGGTTGACAGATTTGTGGGGAATACATCTGGTATCCGTAATTTAATTGTACTGTAACGTAATCCACTACGTAGCGAGCAGCCACTACAAGCGAGCGGCCACCCGGAGTATTGCATACAAAATAGCACTTTTTAAGACCCCAATATCTCAACCAATGTTATAAGTATTCTATTAAGGATCATAATATCTAATATGCATGCATTGTAGAAGACTCCATCTTTTGTCTGGAATGTTATAATTCTTTTATCACCTAAAATACAGCGTTATTCTCAATACAGCTGTATTTAATGCTCTTTCTATGAATTGAAAGGAATTGAATATGTTATGAAGTTCTGGAGCTAGCCTCTGCTTGTATACAATGGTATAATCTGATATACCGGTTTTGAGGTCCTGTCAATGTGTTATTATTGGGATATTGAAGTCCTGAAAAGTGCCATTTTGTATGCAATACTCCGGGTGGCCGCTCGCTTGTAGTGGCCGCTCGCTAGTGGATTACATTAGTTATGTCCAAAGCAACAGGGAGCAGCGTGTCTCAACACCCGAATGGCATTACTAGGGCTCAACGCTCGAACAGGACCCATATCGCGATTGCGCAATGATCACCTCAATCACGCCACTTCCGTCTAAAACGAGGACGCATATAAAATTGGGCGTTATCCCCAGTCACTATATCAAGGCACTGTAAGGGGAACTCATTGCGACGCGAGAGGACGAGTAGAGATAGCCATCATGCGATACCTTATCGCGGAGGAACGACAACAGGTGGGCCCATATTATACGCCTCAAGGCTACTACGAGTATACCAAGACCCTACCGTTTCTTGGAACAGTAAAGAGTGACGTGAAGAGACTTGTGGCTGGAGAGTGGACGGAGATAACTATCGTCTACGAGGTTGGTGCATCGGGTCTGGCTGATGGGGCTTGGATTAAGGGGACATTCAAATTCTATTCGGTTGGCATACCTGCCCGTCTCAATACAACTCTATCTGCTAACTTAAAGGCTGACACAGGACTGGGCTCTGTTTCAAACATATGATCGGACGAAAGACAACTATGTCAGCGCGGAATATGTGCCTAGGCCTCTGCTACCTGGTCAAGAATCAGCGACTGTGCAATCTTTAGGTGTCCGCTTTGACCAAAAGGGTCATGAAAGACCGTTTCAGAAAGCGGTGATAATCGACATTCATGATGGCTACCTCAATCCCGGGGACCAGATTATCATTCGTCTCGGTGATCGAAGATTTGGTGCAAAGGGTACTCGGGCGCAGACGTTTGTTGAGTCAGGATTTAAATGGAGGTTCTATATTGATCCTGTCGGGACGTCGTAAGTAGCACTATGTCAGCAATAAGGGCTCGAGTTGTCTAACTGATTGAAGGCGTTTTGCTCCAATTACGCCAGACTTGTCTTGGGATATCATCCCGGGTACGCCTGTAAAGGTGAAGACGATATTACCACGGCTTGTCAAGAACAATACACCATTCGCGATTCATGTTCATTCGGAGGACATTTGGGGGAATATTACTCGCAACATTCCGAATCTCAACTGGCAACTGAGTATCCAAAGACAAGAGAGCAATGACAGCGAACCACTGGTGGTTGTGCAGGATGCTGCGGCTACTGCTGAAGGATGGACGAACAATATTTTCCCGGATATAATCATTGGCCAAGAGGGTGATTATTTGATCCAGGTCGAGCTAAAGACAGCGGAAAACACCACCACCGCATCGCAGCAAACGCAGCTCACAGTGCTACCCGATCTTACTATCCCCAAAGTCCTCTTCGGAGACCTCCACGTCCATTCAGACGACACAGTTGGCACGGAATCCTCAGTCTACAACTTCTCCTACGGACGCGAGATTGCTGGCCTAGATGTCCTAGGCTACACAGCAAACGACTTCCAAATTACCAAAGAGCGCTGGGAATCCACACTAAAACTCATCCAATCCCTCAACAAACCGGGCCAATTCGTAATCTTCCCAGGAACAGAATGGTGCGGAAACTCAGCCGCCGGAGGCGACCACAACGTCGTGTTCCTGGAAGACCCAGCAACTCATCCACTCGAATTTCCCTTTGACCGTCATGGAAATGTGGCCAGGTCTTTTGAATGGTCGGAGGATGGACCCAAGGATCTCGTTCCTGGGGCTTGGCCACTTGATGAGGTATACGCCACATATGCATATGCAGCGGATAGTCATCTTCTGATCCCCCATGTTGGTGGACGACGGTGCAACTTGGCCTGGCATCATCCACAACTTGAACGACTGGTGGAAATCGGTAGTGCTTGGGGTCAATTTGAGTGGCTTCTCCAAGACGCCGTCCGACGGGGTTGGAAATTGGGTGTTTGTGCTAATTCTGACGAGCACCGTGGGCGATGTGGTGGAGGTGTTCCTGGAACCGCTGTGTTTGGTACCCGGGGAGGGCTTACGGGGATCTTGTCTTCGAATCTTGATAGAGCAAATGTTGCACAGGCTTTGCGGGCAAGACATACCTTTGCTACTACGGGACAGCGTCTGGTTGGATTGGTCTCAACGAAGAATGGCACTACGATTCAGGGAGATGAGATTGAGCATCCTGCCAACGAGCCATTGGAATTTGACTATCACTTCCTGGGTGACAGAGGCTTCTCGTCAATTGAAGCCTTCGATGCTTCAGGTCAGATCTGGCAGCGTAGGCTCTGGTCTGAAACAGACAAGGCACCCACAATTCTTAGAGTGACCTGGGGCGGAGCCAGATTATACGACCGCTACCGCGAAGCTATCTGGACTGGCACGGTTGAAACGCAAAGCGCCATCACCAGAATGGTACCATTGGGTGGTTTGGAAGATAACCCTGAAGACCAAGCGGTACAGAAAGACGCCCAAACTATTTCCTTCCACAGCCATACTAGCGGAGACGTGGATGGCGTACATGTATACTTCCATCCAACAACCCTACCATCCCAAATCTCGATCAGAGGTACCACCGGCGGCTATGTTAAAGTTGGCGACCCTTTGATTGGAAATCTGCATAAACCACAGCCAAACTTCCAGCTTGAAGCATTGTGGGACGAGGTCGTCTCACCTGGTGGGAAGTCGATTGAGATACTGGGCGGGTGCGAGTTGTTCGTTCGTGTGGAAGCCATTCCAGATATCTCTCTTCCACGGAGAGTTCAGGGAAGTACTTCATTTATTACAGAACGTGATGAGGAGCGTGCTATCTATTTTGTTGGGCGGGAATGGAGTGGAGAGAAGGTTGTGACGAGTCCTGTTTTTGTTAGGGCTATTTGATTAGCCCGATTCTCCAAATGAAAAATAGTAGATAGATCAATAAATAAAAAGAGATAGAACTCATTTATTATTTTATCAGAAACTGCAGTGGGTGCTTACAGGTATACAGGCAGAACTCATAATCTACTCTACGCATCACACACCACACTGAGAGCAAAGGGCTACGATTAGAAAACTAACAACAAATGTACGGTATTGGTTGCTGGTTGTGAGAGTTGCTCTAAATTTATTTGGCTGTCTGGAACAGAACATAGGTTATTAGAAGTGTTTTGGAATGATCCGAGGGCTGTATAAATACCCCAACCGCCTAGTACGTCTTGTACTTTTTATTTAGGTTTCTATAGAACTCAAAACGACGATACACAAAGCCCTCCTTCAAGTGATTCTCCATAAAGTACCCAATAACTCCTTCCTCATCCCTATCAGCCTTCATGTCCCACCAATCCCACTCACTTCTGGCCTGCCGGCGGAAAGCACAACACCCAAAATCGATCATGAAGATCCGAAACTTGCCTCTTGGGCTGATGTGGACAATCATGTTCCTTGGGCGCACATCGTTGTTCCGGACACCTTTCGCGGTGTAAAGGTGGACTATTTTCATGTCCTCTTCACAGATTGATTGCCATTGATATTTGGGGGCGTGTAAGGCTATATCGCCCAAGGAAAACCAACTGATATACTGTATCAGAATCCCAGGACTGTTTGCGTACTTGCTGAACTCGTGGTCAAGTGCGAAGGAGCTCGTTGGAACCGTAACAGCACTGTAAAACTGTGGGATATGTTTTCCCTGAAGATCCTGGAGAGTATTATATGCTTCAACTTCCATGTCGATATACTCAAGCATGCGACTCTGTAGATACGCCTCTTCCTCTGCTGCATTTTAGGGTTCATCTTCTTCCTCATAGAAATCGTCTTGTGAGTGGAAATGGGAGATATATTCCACTGCTGTCTTCACGGATCAACTGGTGATACTGTTCCTCTAGCTTTTTGCGCCACGGTAAAATCTGGTGGTGTTCTCTAGTTTTTTTTTTTTTTTTTGAGCGAAGCGACGATTATAGACTTTAAGCACCATGGGCTTGCCCAGCCCTTGCTGGTGGTCGGGGTGACCGTGTAGTCGGACGACTATGATACATGACATGGTAAATGGTTCAAAGACTTCGATGATGGACGCTGTCACAAGTTGTTTTTGCGGTTCGAGCTAAAGGGCAATTGTGTTCCCGACTATGTAAGGACTTCTGAGTCATTAGTGCTTTGTTATTGTTGCAATCAATGGAGTTTTCTTGCTTCTGTACTCACTTTTGTTCCATTACGAATCTACCAATGAAGGGATTATGAATCAAGTCTTTGATGAGATGTATTGAATGATTATACGTGTTTGAAAGGGAGATGTAGGAGCGATCGCGGATTGTTTAGAAATACAAGAAAGAAAAGATGCCTGAGAGCTTAGGATAGGAATTACAGCTTGAGACGGTAGGCAACCAGTACTATAGGCGGCAAATAGAACAAAAAGTCCTTCGCCATTGCTTTTTTCCTTTTTATCTCATCCACCATCCTCTGCTTTGCTATCATCAACATCACTACTCGAGTATCACCATGGTGCTCAACATCTTCAACAACCCCCATTTCTCCCCCTTTTCCGTACTTCCAGTCGAAGTAGCTCAACTCATCACAGGGTATCTCGACGACAAACGCGATTTGTGCTCTCTACGGTTGACCTGCAGAGACTTCTACTTCATCACGGTTGACCAATTTGGACGCACATATCTTGAGACAGTCAAGACCGACCTTTCCAGAGAAAGCCTCTTCCGACTTGCTCACCTCGCGCAACATCATGGATTAAGAGGCCATGTGAAGCGTCTATCCTTTACCAGTCCTAATGGCATCTTTGGGAGCAACCTCCAGTGGTTGCGCTACCCAGAAGGTCATTTAGTACTTGGTCAAGATGCATTTCAGCTCTTGGTGGATATTATGAGGTGTCTCTATAATTGCACCTCGTTCCAGGTCAAGCTGGATACGATGGACGAACAGGATGTCTGTAGGGATGGATTTCTGACGCACAGTGATATTGTCAACATTTTTTTCAATGTCATTGCGTATACAGGACATCCAGTGAAATCCTTTGCTTTGGATTTCCATGACGCAAACGTCTGCAATTCCATCAACCCAAGACAGTTAGACCTGCCAGTCCTCCATGAGCAGAGGAATTTCGTCTCTGCACTGGCTCAAATGGAGGAACTGACACTCAATTGCACTATGAACTCCAGAGCCATTGTTGAACTGGGCCTAACCCTTATCCATCACGCTCCAGCTCTTCAAAAGCTGCGGATATATTTCGACTTGTTCTTTGGGAAGGATTTCATGAGACACCTTGCTTCGATGAATATCTCCAACCAACTGCACGAACTCAGCCTCGAACGATCTATTATATCCGGGGATAATCTGTTGGCTGTTCTTTGCCGAGTTCCTCAGCTTCGCGTCCTTTCACTCAAACAGCTCCGACTAAGCGAGGACAGTGGTATTGGATGGCACACAATCCTCCAGGCTCTGCTTACTCGGTTACAATACCTAAATGGCATTGAAATAGGGAGTCTCTTACAAGGGTGTGTGCCAGAAACATATCTTCCCAAAGAGGCTTTTTCCCCCAATGTGTTTGGGCATCCCAGCGTTGGTGCTGGCTTTTCGGGAAAAGCTCACCTGGGTACTCTTAATCCCGACAGTGGAGCACCCATGGAGATGCATTATTCTGGGCCTTGTATGGGTAGGGCTCTGCAGGCTATGATTGATACGATGACCATATTCTGATCACAACGACTTCACCATGCCCGGCAACGACATGACAGTGACAGTAATTACTCTACTATAATAATAATAACGGCAATGGCAACAACAACGGAAACGACATCAAGAACATTAACAGAATACCATTATCAGCACCGCACCCGCGCCTTTTCTCTCAATGAGAGCCAATATGCCAGAAACTCCAATATCTCAACAAGTTTACCCGCCATCGATGATCTTGTTCCGGTGGCTTTTACCTTGTCTAGTCGTTGTCGTCGTCATCTATCAGACATCCCATCAATCACTCCGGGTGTGACTCCTATATCACAGTACACCGGCTCGTGTTCCGGCCCAGAAACACTTCCAATGAAGTAGTTCGCAAAATGACTTTGCCCGTGTTCAAGGTCCTATTTGGATATGGATTGGATATCCATCGAATGGTGGTATATAACTACCACCCTCTGAGTATGTTCATTCCCTTCTGCTATCGATTAGACAGGATAGACCTTGCTAACAGCCCCTTGCGATTTATAGGCGTGCCATTGAAAGTTACATGGCACATGGCACATGTTTATGGCTCCTCGAACAAGGAGCAACTATCAAAACCAGCTCGATTAGGTGTTGTTGTCTTGAGGCTGGACAACTCAACCCTTTCGGAGATATACCATACCGGCCAAACGGCCGCGACCACTATATATTGGTTTACTTGTTTATGTTCTATGCAGGGTGTACTATTTTCCCACTGGGGCTTTATCCCAACGTCAGGTTTTCTCCAGATGGTTTTAACGAGGCATCCCTTCTTGTAATTACTTCATCTTGTCCTAATTGTGCTATGTTCTGAGAAGTTTATATCTTCGATATTGATATCGATCCTGTCACCAATCAAATTATTGACCCTCATCAGTTTCAACCGTACTCCGTAGACTTCATTCATCCCTCGTACGATGGCCTCTATACCCAGCACAACTCAAAAAAGCCTAGCCCAAGCACAATCCCTCCTCCCCACCCATCAACCAATCCAACCACTCCAACCACGGAACCCTACTCTGTATATATAAAAACCCCGAATTCGCAACAGCATCGGCCAAACATCAGTAGAAAAAATTCAGTGGCTGAAACAATAAGGGTGTTGTGATTGATCGAAGCTCAGGCTAGGGTCAAGTGCCGCAGTGCTTAGAGCGACGATCTGCTCGGCACTAGGCTATGATTTTCTGGGAAGGAGCTCCGCTGGATTTTGGGCGGAGTATGTACTTGTAGGGAGTAGGGAGGTTGATATTTGCCACGGAGTAGGGAGTAATATGGATGTTTCTTTTTATGTTTTTTAGTTTATGGAATGTAAATCTGTTGATCTGACCTAGAATTTCCCCTTGGAATGGGAATGGTGCTTGAGATCTGTCAGTGTGGTATTGTTCTTACCATGAATTTACCGGGTGTGGAGGTGTGGAATGCGCTAACCAATTATGAATGTGATTGTCGTTCCATTTTTGGTTCTGTCTTTATTATTCCTGGAATACCCCCGGTATACAAGCGCTTAGTGCTCTCATACTGTCTCACTCCTGCTTATCGTCGTGCAATTCACTCCGTACGGAGTACGGAGATAGCAGCCATCTCATCCTTGGCCCTACGACCTCGACATGCCTGGTTGGCGCGGATCAATTCCGTTTAGCACGCGCCGATCTCTACATCCCAGATAGGTTAAGCATATGTTGAATAGAGACCTGGTTATGTCTCTTTCAGTTGTCCATCTTTAAGACCAGCTGATTCAATATGTTGTGGTTGTGGCGCTCGTCGTCATTAACGCGCTTACTGTCTGTTGCTGCGTTTTTGACTGTTTGCTCGATTGTTTTTTACACGTTTAATCTCTCGTCGCTGTATACCGGTCGCAGCAAGGTTCCGCTGAAATACGGCGTTGGGGTACCGGTCAATGACCAGAGTTCTCGGCTAAAAGGATATCATCCTATAGATGATCTAGTCGCGAGTGCCAATGCAGAATGGAGCGCCTTGTTGAAAAAAAAAAAAAAAACAAAAACCGCAAAAGCAGCGGCCAAAGAATACCGTCGTCGACGAGGACGACATCCCCCACCTGGCTTTGCTGAGTGGTTCAATTCGCCCAGTCCAAGGACGTGGTGGTAATTGAGAACTTCTTCGACCAGATATATCATGATATCAATCCATTCTGGGGTCTTGAACCTAAGGAACTTCGACGACAGGCGCGGAGTTTCGAACCGCGCATCAGGGTTCGCAATCGTACTGCGGATGCTGTTGTAGGGGGCGGTGCTATCTGGTTGGATGCATGGCTTGATCTTGTTCGTTCAGTTGAAGGGAATCTACCGGATTTGGACATGCCATTTAACTCGATGGATGGGTCGAGGATTGTTGCTCCGTGGGAGACGATAAGCGAATATGTTGGAAAGAAACGGTCTAGTCGAAGTATGATGATGGATTCGAATCCTAAGCAACTTCGAACAGAATATACCCCCGACCCTGATGAAGAGTTTGAGCCATTCGTGCCTCGCTATTATGGCCCAGCTGATGGTCCTTTTTGGGATATAGCCCGTGTTGGCTGTCCACCGGAGAGCCCAGCATGCAATGGTAGTCGGATTACAGATACAAATGTGGCTTTGTCTGCTGGAATGGACAACTTTCTGCAACAATCAGAGAATGGCTATGTAAGAAACTGGACTCAGGTCAAGGACGTCTGCTTCCGCCCTGAAATGCAAGCCCTGTTTGGGACTTTTATTGAACTCCTGTCCGTATCGACTACGCATGAACTGTTTCCGCTCTTTGAAGGGTCTAAGCTTGGCGTCAATAATGAGATCCTGATCCCACCTGCGATGTACTGGGCTGAGAATGAGTGGTATTCTGGAGGGGATGCTCACGGGGGTGAGTGGGAATTGAAGAAAGATGTTCTTGCCCGGCGTGGTTCTGCAACGGGAGGCCGGAATAGACCTAAGAACTGGACTGGATTCCAGCGTCACCATCTACTGGCCATGTTGAATGCAACATCTGTTGCTTCTGCTGAGCAGAACAGCGCTCGCTTTTTGAATTTCATCATTCCCAACTATGACTACTACAACCTGACCTCTGGTCTCGAAGGTCACCTACCTGACTTTCTGAACGAGCATGTCGACTCAAGGTTCGTCCATCTAATCTGCTTCCCCTGCGATGAAGAAGGCGGACCTTGTGAGTTCGACGGCGCAGATCCACACTGTTCCTACACAGATCCATACTTCGCAGTAACCCCCGGCATGCCCATGGGCGAGCAATACGCGAACAAATATCTCCCCGACATCGACGGCAACTCATTTAGCGGCCGATATCGCAGCTTCCTACTCTCAACCTCGCTCCCCATCAAATCTACCATCTATAACGAATGGCACGACTCCCGCCTCATCCCCTGGGCACATTTTGTCCCCATGGACTCCACTTATCTTGACATCTACAACATCATGGAGTACTTTATTGGGTATACCAACGGGACTGGCCATGATGAGGTTGCTCGGAAGATTGTCCTGGATGGTAAGGCGTGGGCGGAGAAAGTGCTCCGGCATGAGGACATGCAGATTTACACATATCGGCTTTTGCTTAAGTATGCGCGGATAAGCGATGATAACCGAGATTTTCTGGGCGTGGCTGAAGATCTTGTGTGAGATTGGCGTGGGTGTTTTTGCTTGTTTCTAATGTATCAGCATGTTTAATTAACGTGCATTCACTCCAGGGGTATTGCGTTTGCTTTTTGTGGCTTTCGAGCATTCAAGGTACATAATACGATTTCTTACTGAACCCCATAGTAGCCGATGATATGCGATCCCCGCTATATATCACGTGATATATAACGGAGTACGAGGCTCCGTAGTGTACCTGCCGTGATGAAACTTCTGCATCTTCGAGAACAAGTCTTTTTACAAATCTCACGGCTGGGATACGATACGAGTGGCATCTGATCTTGTATGATTATCGCTGTACATTATTGCTTATTCGGGGATCAGATGACCCTAAGTACCCCGATTAGGCTAGACAGGTACAGGCACAGGCACGGCGTACGTAATGCTGCATAGCATAAGTTATGAGCAGACAATGAAAATGTTACCATATTTTAACGCGGGCAACCTCTCTGATTGGCCGACCAAGACCTTGTATAAAAGCCAAAAGCAAAGTTTTTTAAAGATAAGATTAAAGAAATGATTTGGTAAAACACACACAAACCCAGTGCGCGCACGTGGTGGGGAACCGAGACCTCAGGTCACCTGCGACAAGGACGCCATTGATTAAAACACCTTCTCCATCTCCATCATCGTCAGCTCAGCCCAGCCTTTCTTCAGTCCATCGCCTATTGTCTTCGCTCACAATTAACGATATATCGACCTTCCCCTGCCAGACGAATTACGCGACCGCATCCGCTATCTCATATCAACGCGCTTGAGAACTTTTTCTGCCAGCTCAAGCGGTCCTCCTCTCCTGTCTCAAGTCCGACTATCAACCCCCCTCATCCCTCATTCTGCTCCCACAACCACCACTTTGCCGTATCTCATCTACACGCTGCCATCTACACTGTATGGACTGCGGGAGTGCCAGTACGACTGCGGGCATCGACCCCAAGATCCTCGAAAACTGGCAATCCGACTCTGCTTTCTCCATTGCGTCGTGGGAACATCCGCCCGAGTGGGATACCAGCCAAGACTCGAGTCAGGCTGATGCTGCAGACCTGGTGGACTTGGGGACTCTTCAGGGGTCCCTTGGCAAGCGTCATCCCAATGCGCCGCCTTTGATGAGACATGGTGTGCATCGTCATCCCAGGTATTTTCTTTCCTCTTGATTGAGCCATTCCGATGCGGCAGACGCTGATGGATGTCTTTGGTAGTAACCAAGACTCGACCTCGACTTCGGTTTCGACTTCGCCTGAGAAATTCAGTGTTCCTGATGGTGCTGTTGAAGGCACTGTTAGTAGTAACACCGTCAGCCCCCGCACGCTTCCGTCGTCTGCCGATGATAATTTCCACTTGGATGAATCATGGCCGCAGTTTCAGTTGTTCAACCCGATTACGGCTACGATGCCTGTCGAGCCGCAGTCTATGATGTATCCGTATGCGAAGGAACCGACTGCCTCGAACAATACCGTGATTGTGGATGATGGTGTCGGGGACATGCCTAATGGTCAAGGGTTCTCGTCCCCGGAGTTCCAGTCTGAGCAGTTTATGCCGTTTCCCAATGTGCCTTCGACTTACCCGCTTGCTACGGAGCCGTGGTCTGAGACTAATCACGCCGTACCGGAAAATGCTCATCTACCGCAACCGCAGATGCCTCTGATGGAACCCCAGCTGGAATCCAAGGAGATGGGACCCCTGCGCAACTTCCACGGCTCGATGCGGTCGCTGGAATCGCGCTGGTTGGATAGCCTCGAGGCTCAGTTGCCCGCTGATATGTCTGCCTCGTCCGGTTTTGGCATGATGCCCCTGGATTCGAGTGCTCAGGGACAGGACCGATTCCAGTACAACTCAGAGAGCTCTTCCGTATCGGATGATGTACCAGGAGTCCACGAGTCGTTCTCAGCAACAAGCGAGGAGATCCCAACCTTCGCGGAACGACAACTGGACGATGAGTCGCAGCAGACCACCGCGTTCATGGTCAGTGAGACACCAGCCGACTCGTACATTGTCACCGGTCCCTCCAGATCCAGAGCTTCATCCGGCGCACAGCGACCGTCCAACAATCGGACGCCGCTTGCTTTGCAATCGGTGGCTACAGTACGCAAGCGCAAGCCGCGCAGCTCAAACATGTCCATAGATCAGGGTCTGCCCAAGCCGTTGCAAATTGTGCAAGAAGACGGCCAAGGCGGATCTGTCGCTTCTGCGGACTTTGTGTCGCCCCCTCGTGGTGCTCGTCGGAAGGGACCTTTGTCGATGGCTGGAAGGGCGAACGCTGGTATGCGGAGGAAGAATAAGGATACCTGTGTTCAGTGTCGATTGAACAAGCGGAAGGTATGCCGCATTCCTCCTGTTCGTGATGATAACAGTTGCTAATTGTCAGTGTGATGGCCATTCTCCATGTGATGCCTGCCGCCCTACGCTCCATGAACAGCCTTGCGCCCGTGCTTGTTTCGCCAACATCGTTGAATATGGCACGTGCAACTACATCTGTATGTCTCTTAACCTGATAACTACGACTCGTACTGACTGTCTAGCGCAACGTGCGGTCAACCACCCGACAATGGATAAATCCGGTCGCGTACGACTGGAAATCCCCAGCGAGTTCGACTTGAATTCTCTACTGTCGTTCCTTGGCGAGCGTCAAGGGCGATTCAACATCCGTGCCAGTCAGGCATGGGGATCGCTTTATGTCCTTGACCTAGGAGAGACCTACCGGTTCTTGAAAAGTCTCAGTGAATACAACGGCAACAACCGGTCGAGCTTCCTTGAATTTATTGACCGGCGGATTGTTGAGTCCAAGGATAAATCCAAGAACTGGTTGACCTGTGTCAGGGACTGCGATCCTATCAACAGTGTTTACGTGAGTTCCCTGTCCCCTTTACGGGTGGCTTTAATCTAACAAAAATAGTCCCTGCTATCGCAGTGGAACAACATGCCCAGCCGCGCAGCATACAGCTTCGTCCCCCTCGACCCCACCGACCAAGAACGTCCCATGGACATCCACAACCCCGAGGACCGTCGCGAAATCCTCCTCGCCGCCCAACTCTCCCGCATCTTTTGCCGCATGCTCGAAGTCGAAGGCTTCCGCAAACTCGAGCGCGACTTCTACAACATCAAATGGAAGCAGATCTCCCACGAAACCCACCTCCGCTTCCTCTCCGAATTAGGCCACATCCTCCTCTCGCTCCGCTGGCGAGTGTCCTGGTGGAAGCGTCTGGGTGACGGGGGCCGCGAGCCAGATCCTAGCAAGCAGCACTATGTGGATCGCGTGGAACTGCTTTGCAGGATTCTGTATGTTTACTATACGTGTGTTCTGGCGAAGTTGCCATCGTGGTCGACTTCGGATGTGCCAAAGGGAACGTGGTCGACGTATGCAGACTCGGAAAATGCGGTTTGGGACGATTTCCCGTTGGATCCCAGTGACACGGGATTCCACAATTGGATGGCACAGGGATCGGAGTTGATTGAGCAAGCTGGTGTGCCTAACAAGATCTCGAAGTTACGGTAAGAAACACATACAAAACACAAAGGAAAGGAAATGGCGGATGGATTGGAATGGATATGGATGGATTATGAGATACCCTACAGCGTGATACGGAGTCTAGGATTTTTGGTTATGATTTATGATTTGCGTTTTTATATTTGACATTATACATTTGATTATTACATGGTACCAGTCCGTTGTACTTGCAGCATGTACAGTACGGGCTTGGATAGAATAAATAAATCTCGGTTTGATTCAGTTTATATCATGTTCTCGCTCTGGGTATCATATATCCACACCACACCCTCCTATACACATATACATTCGATGTAAATCTACTTCTTCTGATCCTTCTTATCCTTCTTCCCACCAGCCAACATCTCCAGATGCCCCGCCTTAGACGCAAGATTGCGCTCCGTCTTCGCCGTGTAGCCGGCCGTGAGTTTCTACCATCGCACATCACCGTTAGCACTCATTGATTACACCCTCCATTCATTATAACACGCATATAGTATATATCGGGGAATGCAAGGGAGGTGTAGGGAACGCACTCTTGTCATCTTCTGCTGCTTAACGAGAGTGTTCTTCTTGGGTGCGATTTGGCGCGGGCCGGGTTTGGGACCGAGGGCGGCAGGGCTGCATTTTTGGATTGCGTTAACATTGAGCCTCTTCTCATAGTTATATATGACTTTGGTATAAAAAAAAAAAAAAAAAAAAAAAAAAAAAAGGATAGGATAGGTAGGTAGTATGTGCAGAGGTAGAACGTGCTGGTGCTGATGCTGGCGCTGTTGCTGGATGGTGGACGAAAAAACCTACCGCTTCGACTTAGCCCCCGTGCTAGGCTTTGCCTTTTTGAGTAATCCTTGGGCCATTTTCTTTTCTTTTCTTTTTTTTCTCCTTTTGGTGAATTCGATATATAAGAAAAGAATGCAGAGTAGAATTGTAAGCTTCCAGCAGCAATGACAAGCAACGGAAGTTTTGAGGTGATGTTTGGCTGAAAATCCTTATCGGAGATTTCTGTCGTTATCTATATCACGTGGAAAAGTCAAGAGTCAGGCAATAAGGCAGAAAGGATGTCAGTCAGGCAGAAAAAGTCAGGCACCAGCGGAGATCGACCGATTGGGTAAGATGTGTACTTTTTGTAGATGGTGGGTCTACGGCGTATCCGTAAACGAGACTGTCTCTGAAATTTTAGGGTTTATAGTCTAGTCTAATCTAATATACTCTAGTCTCGTTCACTGACTCATATACAATACACATAAAGAGTGGCGAAAAGATAAGAAAAGCAAAGAAACTAGAGGCGAACAGCAAAAAGCAAAGAGAATACGGAGTAAAGAGGCGAAAATGAAAAAGCTTGATTGTCGATATTTTCATAACCTCGTTATTGTAACTGAACTGACTACCATTTTGCATCCCCAGGGTCTTTCAACGGGGTTTCCAAGCAAGTAAACAAATATCCAAACACAATTGACTCTGTTCTGGACAGATAATAAGAAGATTAAAACAGGGGGAATAAGAATAGAATTGAAAAAAAAAAAAAAAAAAAAAAAGGATCAAAGATCTATCACATCACATCCACCAACGCTAACGCTAACGCAGCTTAGAAAGCAAAAACGGCCAGCATACCAGCGGCAACGGCCCCGAGACCGATGGTGTTGCGGTCCGCAGCACCGGTGAACACAGAAGAAGGAGCGCTGGAAGAAGCAGAGCCGGAGTCGGAGCCAGTAACAGCAGCGGCATCACTAGGAGAAGCCTCGGTGGAAGTAGCGGCAGCAACAGAAGAAGAAGAAGAGGGAGTCACGGAGGCCGAGGACGAGACAGCGGCGCTGCTAGTACCCCCGACGATAGGAATGCTGGAGAGAGTGGTAGCCGGAGCAGCAGAGGTCGACGTGGCAGAGGCCTCAGCAGAGCACTTGGGGCACCTAGTAGTCACGAACTCCTCAGTCGAGTAGATGGTGTGGAGGCCGTCACCCTTACTCACAGCGGTTTCAGTAGTAGCGGGGGCGCTGCTGGAGGCAGAGGCAGAAGAAGAAGAAGAAGAAGAAGAAGAAGAAGAAGAAGAAGGGGTAGAGTTGCCGTACTCCTCGTTCTTGAGGCCGAACTGGGTAGAGTACTGGTACTGGCCAGAGCCCTCGACGACAATCATCAGACCGTAGTGGGTGGTGTCAGGCTCCAACTCGGAGCTGGGGGTCCAATCGAAATGGCCGGAGTTGTCAATGGCCTCGGCCAGGGTGTCGATGGGCTGGACATTGGTGGAGGGGCCGCGGAGGAGGACCAGAGAGATGGGGCCCTCGGTGCTGGGATTCCATTCGATGGTGTAGGGCTTGCCGGCGGTGACCAGGTCCTTGAGACCGGGCTTGGTGATGGCGTTACCCGAGGGGGTCTGGCTGTAGTCCGGCTGGGTGTAGGCAGAGGCCAGGGTGGCCATGGCCGAGAGGATGGCGGTCTTGGTGAAGAGCATTGTTTTTTGCTTAAGAAGTACAGCGGGAGTGCTAAGTAAAGAGAATGATAGCGATTGACTCGGTTGAGAAAGAAAGACCGGAGTGAGAGACAGTAAAGACCGAAAGTGACGACTGTTTTTAAAAAAGAGCGACAGTGGTTGTTAAGGAGAGAATGAGACGAAGAGAATTTTTGATCGTAAAAAAGAGAACAAAGAAAAGAATGTCAGGACACGAGGGAAAACGCGACGCTAAAAAGCAAGCCAAACAAGCCCAAAAAATTGCCCCTTTGCGAGAGTGAATGAAAGGAATGCGGACAGACCACCGGCCCATTGGCTCCGACTCACAATACGATGAAAATGCAATCTCCGGCTGGCCACTAACAAACTCTGGGCGCCACTAGACCCTTAATATGCCAGATTAACTGGTTTATTATTATCTATATCTGCCCGATGGCGGAGTTTTTGTGTGTTTATACTGTGTACTAATTTAGTTTGTCGCCTGTGCTCGAGTGAGTCCTCCGTTATGAGGTATTTGATGAGTGGGAAATAAAGAATATGCGGGTGGGACTAGTTGTGGAATGAATATGAAATATGAAATACTGTAGTAAAAAGTAAAATAACAAGTCACGTCGTGTCGAACACTCACATAATGATAGGGCTGACCTGAGCAACTTACCGTACATTTCTTCCCCTCCAATCATCTCCCTACAACAACACCCTCAACACTATACTTCTGACACGCCAATCTCGGATATTGCCTTCCGCGAACCATCAAACACTCGTTTTTCATTTGATCTATGCCATCTGTACGGAGTGGTACAAGTCATGAAACAAAGACTGTCGATCCCGTTGATCGACACCGACGTTGAACCAAATTACAGAGTACAGCCTCGTCTGCTTCGGAAGCAAACAGCGGGTCGAATTGAAATTTACAAGCAATATCAAATTGATATTCGAATATAAGACAAACGGTAAAAATATACCGGAACGAGCTCTACGCTAAAGCAACAGCACCAATGCTGGCTAGCTGAATCATGAATCGAGCACTTGGCTGCTAATTTGTGTATTCGTTGTAATACCGTTGAGAATATCTCCGCAACAGAAGAGAAGCCTTGACTTTTCAAGCTCACGGGCAATTAGGATGATGCTCACAGCGACAAGGCTCAAGAGAGCCAATGGTATCCGTACCGTATAGATTATTATTATTATTTTATTATTATTATTATTATTATTGTTCATACACGCATCTGTCAGCCCTGTAGGCCGAGTGGCGGCAGGTCCTGCGGGGCGGCCGGGTAAGCCGCCGTAATGGTAGTCACTAAGTACATCGTCGCCTTTCTATACCTATTCTGACATCTTATTTCGCATGTTGTACGTCCCGTGCTGCTGATTTCGTACTGCTGATCCCATGGCCACGAAGGTTCATGGGTTTGTTGGATACTATCTCGTTTCCATCCCTACTTCTGCAAGCGCACAACCTTGGCTATGCTATGCTGCCGGTTGCTTGAAGTCCGTTTTTGTGACTCAGTATGTGGTTGGTAGAGTCTGAAACTGGTCCAGAAGGCCTGTCTCAAGCATGAATCGCACTGCCTTCGGTACCAGGTCTTGCCGTGTAAGGTAGGCCCGGTAATCCAGCTCCCGCCTTGAACCCTGTGTAAGATGGCGCATCCGGGGTCCTGCCTGGTTGGTACAGTGGAGGAGAACATGGCGTATGTCTTGGAGGCCACGTCCCCGTACCGTATAGATCAAAAAAGTTTACTTACAAGCAACTTCATAGAAATGGTAAGTCTCGATACCATGACATCTAAATTGAACGCCCAACCACTGACTCTATGTATTGATAGGGTAATTCGTGGAGGTCGGGTATAGCCAGACCACTGAATCCCAAGAAATCGACTCCCGGTTATAAACTATAGCAGTGCAACTGATCTCTACTCCAGCGCGCCCGCGCTGCCGCCCATGCGAGTCACTCCGCAACAGACTGGGCTGCGTCCTAACTTGCTTCAAGGAAAGCGAACGCAGGGCTTGTCGCCCAATGTCTCCCTCCCAGCCAAAAGAGGACACAACGAATGGGTGGGAGGTAGGGTCACAGGGTGGGAAAAGGGAAATTTGTATTACTTAGGCTTTACACTGTGGGAAATGCACTCCGATCGTCTGGGTCCAGCTACAGGATTTGGAAAATCACGACAAGACGGCACTTGTACAAGAGGTCGCGGAGCAGGCTTGTACCACGCTCATATTTGGTGGATCAGTCGCCTCAAGGTCTGTTGCTCGATGATGAGAATATTGGTTAGTATTGATCTTCCGGTCCTACACTGTCGACTATGTTAATTGCTGCTTATTTCGCTTATATCCAAGGTCGATTTTCAAATACCTGGCTTACAGTTACTGGCTTATATATTTTTTTTGTAGGTTGACAAGAATATCAAAGACAAAGTCCACAGTTGGAGGACCTCTGGAAACCCCCCGACAAATGGCAAAAGCTTACGGAGACATCAGAGACATACTTGCAACATGATAAGCGAAAGCCAAGGAACAACAGCGGCCATTAGGACTTATGCAACAAGATGGCTAGCCTCCGGCGTTTGTATCGGTTAGTCTAAGAAAAACGCTGTCATGGACATACATGTCGACAACATAACGACAAACCGCCCGTGGTCCCTGGGACAACACCTCGCTCGACAATTAGCAAACATCCTTCCAGCAGACCCATCTGAGGGCTTTGAAAGCACAATACAGACATCCAGTAGCCAGTTTCCGGGCCGAATAGAAGTGTCATCAAGTGCAGAGGCCCTTGCAGCTGCACGAGCCCTTCCTCCTGGACTGACAATCTGGTCAGATGGCTCGAGGTTAGACAATAGCAGATGCGGAGCAGGAATTGCATGGCAAGAACCGGGAGGAGCTTGGAAGACTCGAGGGTTCCCATTGGGCAAAGGATACGAGGTCTTTGATGCGGAACTTCTTGGAGTTATCCAAGCGCTCCAAGTAGCATGTAAGACAGGAGGTTGGAGACCAATCACCGTTCTGCTGGACTCCCAGGCCGCCATTACAAGGCTGCAACATACCCATCCTGGGCCAGGTCAAGCTCTAGCAATTCAAGCACACACCATAGCCAAAAAACTACAAGCCCAAGATCGCCAACCCACCATACAATGGGTTCCGGGACACGCGGGGGTAGAAGGAAATGAGAGAGCCGACCAGGCAGCAAAGCAGGCGGCTAATAAGCCTCCAGGAAGGGGCTCAAAAGAGATCTCTCTCGCTTTTGCCCAGAGAGCCCGGGCGGAGGCCATTACAGTACAAAAGCAGAGATGGCTTGCCAGGAAACTCAGCCAACAATCCCAACGGTACAGGCCACAGAGAAACTGGCGGCTCGACCCCCTGGTTGCAGCGGCTCCGAAACACCTGGCAAGCCGCTACTTTCAACTGAAGTCAGGGCATGCAGCCACTGGAACATATCTACACCAGATTCAGGCTCGAGAAGATGCAACCTGCCAAGGATGTGGTTCCTCTAAAGAGACAGTACACCATCTTCTCTTTGAGTGCAGGCAATGGCGACACCAGCGAAACAGGCTCTACAAGGACCTGGAGACAGATGGAGTTATGAGACCCACCACAGCAGAAGAATATCCACAAGGACGACTCCTAGGGGAGCCCAAAGCGACTAGGGCACTGCTACAATTCTTAGCCAGCACCAGCGTAGCTCTACCTCAGGGATATCTACAACAGGCGGTGGAAAGAGCCCGGAAAGACGAGGAATGGGGACTGGAAACATTGGAGGAAGCAAGTAGGCGAGGAGAAGGATAACAGGGAGGGTAGCCTAAGCTGAATCTCAGCTTAGACCACACCCACCCTGCTCAGAAACACAAGGAGAGCACTCTGCTCGAAAGCCCTGCGCATACAGGCGGCCTGGGGCGAGGAAAAGGATTAGAAAGATTATAGAAGGAGGTGCTGCCTCAGGAACTTATAGGGACAAAAGACCGTAGAATAGCTGCTGGCCTCGAGTCCATGAATCATGGTCTATCATAGCTCTAGGGCTCGGTATAGACAATAAACTTGATTAAATAATAATAATAATAATAACGACAAACCTTACAATGGATTTGGATGCCTCGAAGCCCGGGCTCCGAAGATGAAGCAGAGTGAGAAATGCGCAGAAGCTCACTTGCTCATCATTTGTGCCGATAATACCAAAACCGTGCAACGTCCCGAGCAAGTGGTTCATGGAAATGAAAAAGAGAGCCACCTGGGAGCAACTAATAAATAATCAAAGCGTTTTTTTTTGGATTTTCTAACCCCTACTTGTGGACTGATTCGGAGAAGTATGTGGCCTGTACTACGGCAAGCAAGCAAACATCAGAGACATGGTACAGCGTCTCTACCAGCCTCGCTACATGGTGATTCGGTAGCCCGCATGTGCCAATGAGGTTTAGAGTGCATCTCGATTCACGACGTAGCATTTCCATAGTACAACACATAGTTCCTCTCTAATTTTTTTTCTCCCCGGCTGGGACCTATGTCTGGGATAACCTTATGACCAAGAATTTAGGAGTATTTCTTTGAAGCGTCCAAGCCATTTGCGAACATACACAATTTGAATACCCATGCCAAAGAAATGAAGGTCTTCAGGAGCGTATCGCCCTCCCAGCTTCTCTGCGACGAGACAAAGGACGCCCATACCACTCAGCCAGAGAAAAAGCGCGTTCTGCTATAGCATTTGTCAATACGAGTTCGAGCTTGCTGACAACTCGTCGATGGGCCCCACACAGACGATGAGTGTGCGGTCTAAAGGGGACGAATGAAACCGCGGGAATCATTAGTACCAAGCGGTAGGTTCCGTCGTTGTCGACCATTGTTTCAATATAATAAGTCATGATAGATATACTAAACATATTGCCTCCGTGAGCTCTGAGTCATGACCCCTTAGGGCCCCAGACGCACGATAAACCATTCTCCGTCTGGTTTAGTGGTCCAAGCCACTGATGTTCGTAGCTGCTGAAAACCTGCGATTCGCATACTGAAGCTGCTCAACCCATAACCATCAAGGCCAATATGTCGCTCTTGTTTAAGTGTCAAATTCAATAATTTGCGTATAGTAGAGAATGTCTAATGTTTTGGACATCGCGTTCGACAGCGGCAACGGAGCTGGGGCATTTGTTGCCTGGTATGGGTCGCTCTTTTAGGTAGTCCTCTATCATCATCTCATCACTTGTGATGTCTGAGCTCCTGACTCTTTCCATTTTCGTGGTGAGACTGGCGGGGTGGCTTTCTTAGGAGAATGATGCCATTCTAGGGCCTCGTGAGACGTCATGCTATCGACCACATAAAATCAACAGTAGGAAGAGATACGGGAGCATACCTTGTAACAAGATTTAGCCATATCTATTTCACCGCGGTTCCGTTTCTTGTTCTCATCAGCATCTGAGCCACGGAGAAGCGATTAAGGCTTGTAGGGCTAGAATGAAGACAAATTGAGAATAGTCCGAATGGTAAAAATGCTACTGGAGCATAATGATGATGGTAGAAATGAGAAAGAGAAAAGAGAAAAGGCATGTTGAAAGATGCTGGAAGGAAGCCCAGGTAGTCGATAGGTACATTTTTGATAGTGAATGTCTGGCTTCTTTTTCTCTACTACTGCTAATTTACTTTCTTGATGGTATTTTCGCCTCCAAGTAACTATCGTTGGCGCTGTTGTACATTTTTCGGTACCTGCACTTGAGAAGCACCGCTTCGATAAGCCCTACTCGCGCTTCGGAGAATCGGAGTAGATTCATTGGAACAAAAATGGAAACAAAACGAACAACTACTTCGTCACAGTCGTATAGTAATAATAAAGCAACGGGAGTAATCAATTGACATTCCTGTCAGTATTTTTGGCATAAAAAAAATAACTCGCATTAAAAAAAATATTAGTCAGCTCCCGGCGGGGCTCGAACCCGCAGCCTCAAGATTCACATATTTTCAGACCAATTCACATATATTTATAATTCATCAGCCAGAAGACCCATATAGAAGTCTTGCGCGCTACCATTGCGCCACGGGAGCTCCTTGTATTGGGTTTCAGTGAAGGTTTTGTATTATGAAAAATTTGATAAAATCGGATCAGTGGGTCCGCGTATACAATGGCATTGTGTGTGATGAGAGATGGGGTAAAAAGTTGCTGTTTTCTGGTATTTCTTTTTTTCTTTGTCTGTTGTATCTGGGTGGCAATACAATTGTTGTTAGATATATTTTCATACACCCATTTATTCCACACCCAATCAATATATCAGACACCAGTTACTTTCCACATATCTCAGCGAATAATCTATCGAGTTCTTCTAGCGAAGGGAGACTTGTCCTCTCAGCTTCTCATTCTTCCTCCTGGCGAATTCTCAAGGCACATTCTGTATATCGATGTGCGATTTCCCTATAGAAAGAATCCTGAACTTTCTTGGCCTGATCCGGATAAAGTGCCCCCGTGGTCTCTGGATACTTCCATGGCCAATGGCTTTCGTTGTGTGTTCCCCGGACTTGATAGTTGATGTTGAGGTCCTCACGGAGGCACTTGAGAAACTTCCAGCAGGGCAAACACGAAAGCTCTGAAGTTCCGATGTAGGAGAACGGAGGAGGCGAAATATCTCCTTTTAGAAGATATGATATGAGGGCACATTCGCAGTGCACAAGTGCGGGGACGACTGGCGTGCTGTTCGGATTCGCGTGGTAGTACTGCATTATGTGGTCTCTAGACTTTCCTTCATTGTTCCAATATGATCTTTGAGATGTGAGTGCCGACTTCGCAATTGGCTTATAATCCTCAGGCGTTGAAGGGAGTTCGAGGTTGCATTGTTTGCTTGGTACATATTCAATCCCCAAATGTTTCCCGCAAAGGAAACGAGAGCGTAGATGCGGAGAGATTGCGTACATAAGTAAAATGCCAATGGAGCTCGTAAGAGAGGTGACTTCCTTGAGGTAGCGAGTTGTTTGCGTATCTATACTTGGTTAGCTATAAGTAAAAAGGTCCATGTGCAACTGAACTAACTGGATAAAGAGTCCAGATGATGAAGTTCTCCAATACAGTCGTCAAACATCTCATGGACTAAAGCATCAATCAAGTCAATATCAAGAGAGAAATCACCGAAATCTTCCCCTTTAGGTAGTTCGTTGGACGAGGCAGCAAAAAGTTCGAACACGGAATTGAGAACTTCGACAATTTTATCTAGTGATTGCTGTGATTTTTTTGAGAGTAGTTTGTTATCTTTGACGAGCTTGAGAGACTCAAATCCAGTTCTCTCTGGCGACCCTCCATGTAGACGCTGTAGTAGCTTTTGCAAAGAGTGTTCATACATGTATCGCTTGAAATCCTCGGCTATCAACCTCTGGGCCTCGAACATCTCCTGTAGCTTTGGAGGGGGGGCATCCTCATCCTCCTCCTCCTCCTCCTCCTCCTCCTCATCATCATAATCGCCATCACGAGTCAGAGAGCACTTTTGCTGTCGTTGCATGCGAGCATATTCATCTCCAAGGGCGCTTAGATATTCCCATATACGCTGGATATGCTTTATGGTCCTCTCCTTCACGTTAGCATTTGATGCTATGGTGAGGGTGAGTTTATCAGGAGCCATGCGCGCCGCAACGGCAAACACTTCCGATTCCTCCGACACAAGGACATCGGCCAAGGCATCAAGAGCTCGATTAACACGGTAAGATGAGGGCTTCTTATGACTTTTCTTATTCAGAGCAAAAGCGGAATCATAGGTTTCACAATTAGGTTGGAGATCGTGGATTAGACCAATCAGGTGTTCTGCCATTTTGAAGTGTGGATGATGGTCGAAGCCGAGAAAAAAAAAAAAAAAAACAAACCATGTACATACCACGTAGGCTGCCCCGCTATTGCAGGCAACGATACGACTGCAATATGTAATACTTGCGCCATATGATTCAGAAGATAGACTTCCCTGGTTGCATATGCTATAATTGGTAAAACACTCTTTCCCTTATAATAATTCCTGTACATAGGTGACCACGGGCAGTGTGCAACGGAGTCTTCTACACGCACATCTACAGAGGATATTCAAAATGAACCCAACATTCAAGAATGGCAGTGGCTTGCCTCCTGTGAAGTCAACTCCTGATGCCTCAGTATGTGTGACGGCTCAACGACCAGACAAACATTGCCAACATGCCAAAAGATGCCATACAAGCAATATGGACAAACAAGGGCTCAAGCCGCATCGCACAAATGCTTATATAGAGACTGCACTCGCCAGAGAGATTTCCTCTCCTTTTTCCTTCCCAGATTCGATATTCTCGTTGATGGCTACAATAGTCAAGATAGGAATTCAGTTCGTTATTATCTTCTATTCCGAGCCCGTGACAGTATGTCCCTTTTGGCAGTTGTTGAAATTGAGGCACTGACTCTTCAGACTACTCCCAGCACAGCTTAGTATCCCAACATGGCAGAATGCCTTATTCAGTTGATGAGTGACATGTGTGACAGTGGCAGTGTAGGATTCCATCAAGTGTGGGTTGATATTTGCCATCTTGAAGTCAATGGATGAAGCGCAAGTTTCAATACCTGAGTGACCATCTGATTTTAGAGATGTGCCTGAGCTGTTAATAAATGAAGTATCGCTGCAGGTTACTTAGGTTTTTTTTTTTTTTTTTTTTTCGGGAGATGCTGCAGTTTAATTTAGACATCATATTTGTGCACAGTAGCTGCATGGGCCAAGAATTCAGTGACTTCAATGAACGTAGGGACACTGTGGCAGGCTGCCCAGGTGCAGCTGATCCTGTCCTGTGCATGGGCAAGATAGGAATAGATGAGATGGCAATGAAGAGAATCTTTTACATTAGACCTGCACCCATATGGCCAAGAAGACCAGTGTACTAATTGCATCTGCTCATGGACTTCCTCATTCAGACAGCGCTGGGCGGATAAGCCAAAGTATTGGCAAAGGCATCACCAGTATTCTTCATATGACTGGAGAAGCTTCTTTCAAGAGGCCTTGTACATCCAATCGAAGAAATTCATGTAAATTGCTTGGTCCTCTGAGAGTAAATACTTGACTAGTCCTCTTTCGACTGGATACAATATCTGTTGCTTGTTGGTTATTATTTCTGAACCACCTTCAGAGTAGTCCGAGTAAAATGTGCTTACTTTCACCAGTATCATTCGACAACAGTGAGACCCTCAAGCGTCTTGGGCTTGTAGTTTGGGGGGAACCACCCAAGGCTTCGGAAATATTCCAGTCTGGCTCGAGTCTCTTCATAGAGAATTGGATCAGTCCAGTACTGATGCTCATCAGGGTTCGCAGGAAGGGAAGGTGGTGCCATCACAACGGCCAGATCCAAATATTAGATAAAGGGGACTGTGTTCTGATTCACGCAACGATCGACTTGGGGATTGGAGAGGGAGGCGTTGAGAAGAGGAGAAGGATGAACAGAGTGAGGGCAAGTGGCATTTTGTACGCTGCCTGACCAGGCCCGTCGAAGTTAGAGGGGGGCTGTATCTGGCTGCAGAGGAGGCCATTTTCAGTGTCGCTTTGGTCGTCAGTTGAAACGGAGAGAGCGCTCGCTGAGGTTGAGGGCTAGCATCACTGCAGGCTGGTAACTATGCAATTCTTGGCGGGTGCAGAATAGTGGTGCGAGGCCTCAGAAGTAGTCATTTTCGGGCGTCACTTTCACAGGTCCTCACATTCTATGTGTAAACTTTGCCGTAGATCAACTCTGTGCTCTCTACTAACCCATTCTTTGAAATTCCCTACCATCCGGGTATTCAACACGACACTCTATCTCCCAATCCAATGTCTCTGAATCACGATAATAATTATCTCCATCTTCCCTCCAGCTTTTCCCGATCCCAATTCCCGACTTCACCGCAGACTCTTTTTGGTTTGCCGCGGCCTGGTCATGTATTGTCATTACCGTACCATTACCTCTTCTATATAGCCAAATCGCTATAAATACGGTATTAACGCAGTAAATACATACATACATCTCCAACCTCAAACCTCCCCGCAACCAAAAACAGCTTCACCGCGAGCAAAAGCGATGGCACTTCGCAACGGCTTCCGGGATGTCTTCGCGATCGGGACAGACGAAGGGTAAGTACCAGGAAAAGACAGTCGTATAAAGATGTGAGGGTGCGCATTTTTCTGTGCGCTGTTTTGTTCAGTTCAGTTCTATTCTTTTGAAATTCGCCAAGCATACTCCGGTGTCTAGTCAGTTCGCAAGATGCATATCCTGGTAGGTAACTCCATGCGCCAAACAGACCAGAAAAAAACCGGGGCACTAATTCAAACAGGTCGTTAACGACGATGGGCCCCCATCAGCACGCCTCTCCCCCTACATTCACCCCTTCGTCTCCGCCCTCCAAGCCTCCGGCCACTCCGTCTCCGTCGCAATCCCAGCAGCCTCGCGCTCCTGGATTGGTAAAGCGCACTTGATCGAAGCCTCCCTCGAAGCAACCTACGTCCCTCCCTCCGCCTTCCGCAACGATGGTACCTGGGACGACACCCCCGAGTCGTCCAACGAGACCGAATGGGTGGTGATCAAAAACGGCACACCAGCCAGCTGCGTCCAACTAGGCCTCTTCAACCTCTTCCCCGACGAGCGCGGGCCCATCGACCTTGTCATTTCGGGCCCGAACCATGGCCGGAATGCGTCGACGATTTATAACCTTTCTTCCGGGACAGTCGGTGGTGCGCTGGAGGCTGCGAACTGCGGGAAGCGCGGGATTGCGATCTCCTTTGGGAGTAAGGATCCGCAGCCATCTGAGACAATTGAGGCTGCTGCGCGGTTGGGGGTGCGTGTTGTTGACCATCTTGTTCGGAATTGGGATGGGAGGGTTGAGTTGTACAACTTGAATATCCCGATGCGCGAGGATGTGGAGGAGAGGCCGGTGCGGTATACGCGCGCTTTGCCGTATTATTGGGAGAAGGGGTGTCTGTATAAGGAGATTCCGGGGGGTGAGGAGGGTGTTAATGGGACGGGGCATGATGTTGAGGCTGAGACCGAGACTAGGAAGGTTGTTAATGGGACTACTACTGGGGGATCGGGGTCGCTGAAGCAGCGGAGCTTCAAGTGGGCGGCTGAGTTGTCGGATATGAAGAAGGCTTTGCAGGCTAGTGAGGAGGGGACGGATGCGCATACTGTTTTGGATGGGTGTACTAGGTAAGTCTCCTACTTTACTACGTTTTGTGTGCGCGGCTAACGGTTCAGTGTGACTCCCCTTCTGGCGAACTTCTGGCATGTCCCCGGTCTTGAGGGACAGTTGAATATTGACGCTTGATTGTGGACGCGTTGATGGACTGCTTGCTTGACAAAAGTCGATTGTAGATACCCGCAAAGGTTGTCCTTTGCATGTTCACTGCATACTAAAACGAGGCTAAAAGTATGGAGCATGATTAATGAAATTGCATTATTGCATTACCTAGCAATCTGGATATCGTCTGCCGTAGCATTGGAAACAAACATAACATAACGGTGTATCACAAACGTCGTTCCAACATAAAATCACAAGTCAAAGAAATTACAGGCCTCTGGCAGCTTCGCCCGCATTGCTGTCGACAACGGACGCTTGCTCAGCGCGCATCTTACCCTTGGCTGCACCGGCTTCGCCAACGCCCATTCTGCGCGCGACGTAGCGCTGCGCAATAATTCCAACGGCCAAAGAAAGAGTATCCTCGATCCACTCAGACACCCACTCGCGAGGGTCGACGCCACCGCTCTCAATAATCCCCGCGATATCCTCGGGGAATACAAACTGAGGTGCATTCGCGTCCTCCGCGTTGGGGTCCTGGGCCGGAGCCGCAGAGTCCAGCCAGTCCACCCACTTCTGCGGGATAGCCTGGGAGATGGTGTGGAAGGCAATGCCGTGGATGGGGTCGTGCAGGTATAGCGCAAAGGAAATCTCTCCTTCCGTCGCTTCGGGCACGTCGACCACACCTGGCGGGGTTGCTTTCTCGGTGGTGGGCCCCGCCTGGAAGAGCTCGGTTGAGGAGGCCTGGCTGATCGCCTGGATAGCCAGAAAGATATCACTGCTGCGGACAGGGTTCGATTCGCTCAGCACCTCCGTTGCTTGCTTGGCTGCCTCTTCAATACCACCTTTGGCGGCGAAGTACTCAGTAGCGTAGGATTCGGCACTGGCACGAGCGAGCTTGGTGCCTTCGACGGAGCCTGGCACGGCGGAGATGCTGCGCGGGGTTCCAGGGGTAACGGTCCGCCACCAGGGGCCGTCCCGCCAGCCTGCGGGGGACGACTGATAGCCAAAGTCAAGTCCGCGCTTAGGGGCGGATTCCTGTCCCCGTTGAACGACGAGAAGATCACCACCCTCCACCTGGGCCATTACACGCGAAAAGACGGAGTAAATCAAGGGGTCGACCACGGGGTATCCGGACAGATCGTGGGTAACATGGATTTGGAGCTGTTCGTGGGACGAGATCGGAGGCGCAAGCGTGTGGATGAGTGAGGTCACCGTAGGAATGGCCATATCGCGGAGTCCACCACCTAGACGAGGATCTAATCAGTACGGCTTCCCAGAACTGTCTCTCATAATCACTTACCCAGATCTTTTAATGCCCCAACATTCCCCTTCATCTGCTCAGCCCATCGCTGAGCCTCTTCGTTCCGCTGGATCTCCTTAACAGCTGCTTCAGCCTGCGAAGCAGCCTGCTTCACCGCAGCATTGGCAGTTGCAAAGAAACCTCCCCACCATCCACCACCAGAACCGCCATCATTATTACCACTCTGCGAGCTCTCCTCATTCACAGTCTCCTCCGTAGTCGAAAATGGCTGTGCTGCATTGCGATTCGCCGTACGCGACGACCGGCCGCTCTCCCCAGACTTGCGGACGGGGGGTCTGTCTTCGCTGGTGCGACCTGTAGGCCTGGGGGATCTGGTGGACGATCGAGGTTCCGTAGAGGACAGACGGGGAGTACCAGGGCCGCTGCTTGGGCGTTGGGCAGCTAGATTATCCAGCTCTGCTAGGATGTCTTGCTCGGACTGTCCAGTAGACGTGGTGGCGGCCGGCTTGGGAGCGGGCTTCTTCTGGTCGCCGGGCTTGGCGTCGATGTTCAGGTCATCGAATTGGGCGAGGAGTTCGTCGCTGGTTGGCTTTGCGTTTTTGGGTGGCATGTTGGGTATTTCCTTGTCAATGTATGAGAGGTGAAGATGAGGTTGTCGAGGTGTCAGTTGAGTTGATCAAAGGGTGCTTGTTTGGTGGAGACGGGTGACCTGTGCCAAGACCCGCAGTGAACTATGCAAATATACATGAGGGTATTATTGCAAGGTTACGGGATGACTACTTGTAGACAATTAATTATGCTGATAATCGGGGTAATGTTTATTTTCATGATATGGGTACACACTGTGGACAAGCTGCATATATATCTGGATGGCACATGGCATGCTCCACCTATAGATAGGGGACCATGACCATGAGATCGGAATATTAAAATGCAAACAAATATTTTTAGATTAAATATTACATTAAACCGAGCTACCTGAAATATAACCATGTAAGCTTTACAATCTCAAATCTGGCCCATTTTCATTCAATTGATGCTGTCCCGGGTTGTATGCCGCATGTTTACTCTGTAGAGGAACAGCAAAGGATTGAGGACTGAATGTTTGACCATGAAATTGCATACGTGCTAACTATTGATACCATGAACCGTTCAACATATCCTCTGGTCACATCGGACTTTGCAGATATCCCGGTGCCCTGTATATATGAAGCCTCCTATGCCGCAAGCGCTGCTATCCTATCGAGCACACAGCGCACGCGCTATCCCCACCGAGGCAGCACCTGTCTAATAACTATTCATATAACCCTCTCTCCGGCCTTGGTATCCCTCCACTTGAAACTCGTGACTCTTTCGTTGCAGAGGAATGAAATCTTCCCGGGTGAGGAACTATCGGTCTGTCACATCCGGAAAGCTGCATTTCGCGTGGCGCCAACGGATACGAGTAGGTGTTTCTACGGTGAGTATGTCGAATTAGACATGGCTGTATGTAAGCCAGTGTGCCTCTGTACTACTTCGATTGAAGTGCATACAGATCTATGTAGTGGATGATGTCAGGTATCGCGTTACTATCGGTACGATAGATTACAGTATGCCGGAGGATGTCGTCTGAGTTGGCAGTGTCTTTGTTCCGATGTTTGTCACTTGCAATATTGATACGAGGTTCCTATACTTTCGAATATGAGCAGCATAATTCCTTACTTCTCATGTTTAACATAAATATACCAACTGCCATCTCCTTTCCTTTGTATACTGTGTACTCCTGACAGTAAATTTAACTCATTCTTATTGGCTCTACTCACGGAACCAGTATTTTTCCGACGGCGCAGCGAAGCGGATTCGCCCTGCCGAGTGGATCTCCCGATACGGTACGGTAAGGGCGCGTAATCTAAACTCTACAGAGCAGACGCCGCACACAGCAACAACAACATCCACCACCGAATAATCACTCCCAGTCTGGCAGTAGGCTGAGAAAAAGTGTCAATCAGGCTGGGCTGAATCAAAAGGACAAGTCTATACTGGGTCATTGTGGTGTATACTGTGCATGCACTGTCCAGGTATCGCCGTCCTCACTGACCATCCCCGTCGTCCTCTTTTCTACTACTGTAAATCAGATCTTTTCATACATACTTCTTTGCCAGTTCCTCCTCCACCTCCTCCTGCCAGCTTTGCGGCTCTTTTCTTTATACTTAATCACCTTCTTGTTTCTACCTGAACCTCTTTCTTTCTCCTGATCTTTCTATTTCTGATTCTCCGTGGACCCGGAGGTCGAGGCCACCGTGAGCACAAGTGCATCTATTGTCCTCAATTCAGGAACGCTCCCTCGGCGTCAACCACCACCTCAATCCTTTTCTTTTCTGGCAGAGACCTTTTAATTTGTTTGACTTTACTTGGTTCTTGTCTGAGAGGTTCAATCATCTTTTACTTTTCGCTTTTATACTTCCTGCTTTTCTGTCACGCTTACTACTACGGTCTATCCCTGGGACCCTGTTCGTCTTTTCCCTCCACCAACTTTTCTCCCGACTTTCAAAACCAGCCCTGGCTCTCTATACTGGGAATTGATCCTCAAATTTCATTGATCGTGCTGTTGACCACGTTCTCTTCGTTCATTAGGACGGACGTGTTTGCATTCTTGAGGTATGTCATGGTTGATCAGTCTTCTATCATTCTCTTCATTTTACGGAGTACGCTCCTTTTTATGTCAATGCATGTCATGTCCTCTGTTTATTCCATGTCACTCTGTTGATTCTTCTGTCTACCTTTTTTCTCTATGATTTCTCTATGATTTCTCTTTCCATACTAAACACCCGTGGCGACGGATTTCCTACACGCAGTCTTGGCGCTGCAACCGAACTTTTCCCACCAAAACTGACGCTTTGATAGATTCGACTCTGCTGCCACCGTGTTTGTGCTGCTGAGTAGACCGTGTATTATTTATCTATCTGAGACGGATTTCTATTTTTCCTCTTTTTTCTTTTATTTTCCGCATCACTATGGCGCCCGTCGCCCAAAGTGATATTGACGCGGAGAGTCGTACTTCGGGCCAGGACTCTCCCCTGCGCCGACAATTCTCCGAACCATTGCATGCACCGTCAACATCAACACCAACCGCCCAGTCCCCCGCGCCTGTCGCGTCTAAGGACAAATGTCCGGACTGTAGTGAATTTTTTGAGACATCAAATGAAGGCAATGGCCTCAAAGAGCACATTGCTACTGTGCACCCGCAAATCGCTAGGACATCGGAAGCTCATGATGATACGGCCGATGAAGAAATGGCAGATGCAGACGAAAATGTTGCTGAACCGGTTGATGAGGATGACGATGAGCAGCAGCAAGATTTTGACGAAGATGACGATGCCCATGGCGACGAAGCAATTGAAGTAGACGACGCCATGGTCGAAGATCTCAACGAGCCCAGCGAAGAGGCCGGTGGAGATGTTGACGGGGACGACCACGGCCCTGTCCCGGAGATCGCGACCGCGACCGGCTCTGAGGTAGATTTTGGGGCAGAAGAAAATATCCCCCGAGGCCAACAAGAATTTCTGTCAGCAGAAATGCGTCTTTTAAATCGCTGGGATATCAATGATGCTCGCAGCTTTTCCCGAAACTATGATGACAACACAACCGAATTGGAGCAGGACTGGGACTATGCGTTCAAAGAGGCCAAACCTTCCAAGAAGCGCAATTCATTGCAATTACCAGAACGCCCGGACCCGTACAAGAAAGCGCAGGTTGATCGAGGTAAATTTCTTGAACTCACCCCGATTGAGGAGTTCCTGGTCGACCTGCGTGACCCGGAAACGCGCTCGCCGGAGGAGCTCTATGCCATCACCGCAAACGTTGCGCGTGTTCTTGCGACATGGCAAGACGAGTACTTTGCTGTGGACCAACTATACAAACTGTCTACAGGACAGTACGAGAAATTGGCTCCTGATCCGCGGAAGAAGGTCGAGGACCCCGTTGTCACGGCTGCTAAAAAAGAGGCAACACTCTACCAATACAAGTATGATGCCAGCAAACACAAGAAAGGCTTGGACCAGGATCCCTGGATTCAAGGTGGCTTCCGGCCAACCCCGACTCAGGCGCGGAAGGCCATGAAGACCGCCAAGTTCGAGCCAGGCACCACACCAAACATCGATGGATGGCGTACTCTTCGCAAGTTCAGCACTGAATACGTTCCCAAGTACCAGGATCCGCCTCCAGAAGATATACCTTCTAAGGCCACACGGACACGCAAGGCACAAGAAATGGAAGCGGCCGCGGCCGCTGATGAAGCAGCCCGTCAAGCTGCCGCTGAGGAAGAAGAGGAGCAACTACAACTAGCGACAAAACGGCAGACACGCAGGGGCCGTGCTGCAATGGACGACCAGGAATACTCAACGCCCACTTCCACAAGGGGCGCTGGTCGTGGTCGTGGACAACGCGGACAAGGCCGTGGACGTGGACGTGGCCGGGGTGGTGTGAGCACGGTCTCTGGAGCATCTTCTGAAACCCCTACTCCCGACGGTCAAGCGCCTACTCGTGGTAGAGGCAGAGGTACTGGTGTTATGCGCGGGACAAGGGGTGGTAATACCCGGGGTGGTAGAGGTAAAGGGCGGGCGCCCACCACGCCCATCGGGACACCGCAGCAAGGATCGCCTACTGCCACTCCAGTACCTTATTCTCGCCCGACATCTGTCGCTCCTGGCCCGTCACAGCCGGCATTTATCGAACCTATGCCGAATGGTGGTTTTGTGACCATGCAACCTCCTCATCCCTTCACAACACCAGAGCTACCAGATGAACTAGATCCTGCTGAGATGGAGCGGCGCGACAGAGCTCGAGCCGAGAAAATCGCCAACTCCAAAAACCCCAGACGCACGGAAGCCATGCTTAACCACTGGGCCCGATTTAACCAAGCAGGCCGTATCCGGCAACCCAAGCGGTCCAAGGACGAGATCGAAGCTGACCGAGTGGCATCAGCGGTCAAGAAAGCAGACCAACCCCCAAAGATTGGAGGCAGGAAGAAGAAGTCACCACCAGTTCCTGGTGTCAATCCTCCAATGACCAACCCGGGTATTGCTCCCGCACCGGCACCGTTGCCACCCCCAGGCCCAGCTCCAGGTCCCGCACCGGTTCATGCTCTTCCAGGCCCGCCGCCAGGCCCTGGTCCTGCACCATCAGCAGCACCGACACCTCTCCCAGCACCAACACCGTCTCAAGCACCACCACCTCCGCCACCACATGGACATGGACATACACAGGCACATCCACCACCACCGCCAGCTTCCAACCCTGGTTTCCCTCTTCCAGCTCCCGCCGGTCATCCCCTCGGTCCTGGCGGCCCTCTCGCCCCTCATCCTCCTCGCTACACAACCCCATATTCGCCGTTTGGGCATATCGACCCTCGAGGGATAGCTCATTTCCCATCCGGTCCTTTCCAGCCACCACCGCCGCAACCACAATATCAGACTCCTTATCCGCCGGATAGGTTTTTCATTCCGTTTGGGAATGGGCCGGGCGCTGGGTTACCGCCGCCGGGACACGGGCATGCGAGACGGCCTGCGTGAGTGATTATCACTTGAAATCAAAAAGATAAAAGGGGAGGAATGGTATTGATTATTATTTCTTTAATATTGTGTTTGTACATACGTACCGGATTTTCTAGACGCACTGGTATATTCAATCTAACGGTCAATTGCGGCCAAAATTCCAACTGGAACTGACCATCCCCCCCCCCCCCCCCCCCCCCCCCCCTTTTTTTTTTTTTTTTTGACGCCAGCATTTATCATTGTGACTCCTGCTGCAGAAGTAGTATTATCGAGTTATTTGGAGACTTGCCCGAGACACTGGCCGCTGCTAAGCCATAGCAGGTTATCTAGCAAAAGTTGAAAAGATGGATCAAGACATCTACATAAATAACACCAATTTATTCATCCTGAAAATATATAGCAGTGACCTAACTAGAATTCTAATGATCACCATAATCATCAGCAAAGATATTGTAAAACACTCCACCAAGTTCGTTCAGTTGATTAAGAACTCCATCACGCAGTACCCTAACACACCAGTCAGTCCATACCGTTCTTCTTCCATTCTTCTTTGTTTCCCCTTTAAGGAATACTTACACCGGTATGATCTTGGCTGGAGGAACTTGACCGTCTTCAGAGTATGACCCTCCCGGAAAGCCATTGGCCTCTAGGATCCTATTTTGATCATTAGCATGGCCCCTGTACTGATCTTATGAACTGCCGATAAACTTACTGGTTGACGTTTCCATTGTGTTGATGAAACGCATGAGGGCCTTCAAAATGAATCTCAGTCTTTATCGACATTACATATGTTAGCAGTGGACCTTCAGGAAGGAAAGTGTTGTGTTCCTTTACATACCTGTGTTTCGGCTCTTGGCATTACCCCGCGGTTAAGTCGTCCGCATACATAGTAAGAGAGGACTTTGATATTGGGCAGTGAACACTTCTTTTGCATAGCTTGATTGACCTAAATCCCCCGCCCCGTGCTATGATCAAATATAGCCAAGGATCGGGTTGCTCAACCAAGGGGATGCTCGATTCTTCCAAGGTAACTCCCAAAACGAGTATCCATCACTGCAAAATAAAAACATCATTGAACTTCCCTTCCGTCAACATTCTCCAACTCGAAGTCCCGCACAAAAGGGAAGGTCTTTGCTACCTTTTCCGCCTCCTCATATTTCTTGTCTAGGGCCAGCTTGATGATCTCTTTGAAAATCCTCTTTTCCTCCGGCGTAGGATATATGCCTTCCAAATGGAAGTCTCCCACAGCGTCTACAACTTTGAGGATGGAATTGAAACGTTTCGAGTCTACGATGAGTGTTAGTGTCAGCGATGGGAAAGGTATAATGATGACAATGGAGGCAACGTACCGATATTCTCAACCTGACCAGGCTCTAGCCCGTACAGCTCCTTGAACTCTTTGAGCCAGTCCATGTGCCTTCGCTATTTGAGCATTATAGCGTCCGCTATGGCATTTCCGCCGTACAGCACTGGCCCATTTACACCCTGGAATTCATCCCTGGTAAGAGCGGACGTGGCATTCGGGGTTCCTGATTGACTACCCGTGCCGTGCTCACGCCATTTATCTTGTAGCCAGGTCAAAAAGATATATTCCCGGACGTTGAGGATACCTTGCCACATGGGGCCGTCGAGGCCTAGTACGACATCGTGTCTGTCAATTCTGGCCTTGAGCTCGTCTAGTCCAGACCGGATTCTTTCATTTTTAGCGTCGAGCTGGGCTAGTACAGACTTCCGACTCTCGCTTTTAGCCTCGAGCTTGTCTAGTCTGGCGCATATTCATTTTTTCTCAGAACTGGGCTCGTCCACCCGGGAATTTATCAATTTGGACATGTCCAGGATACTTCCGCCTCCGGTATTCGTTATAACTCGGCGTTCTTCGACCAGGCATTTGCAGGCCAATCACAATGCACAGGTGTGTGCACAGCATGTCAGATCCCTACACCAGTTGGCGTGAGAACAGGATTTGGCAGTCTTGTAAGAAGCTGGCAGAGCTTTCTGACTGCAGATTTGGTTCTTGGCTGCAAAATGAGCTCATTGACGGACAGCAAAGCGAGAGAAGACCCTTACTCGCTTCTTCGGCTTCCTCGTACTTCTCCTGCGTAACCGATTTTCTGATCCTTTCTATAAAACCAGTTTCATCTTGTTCGAGGCTGATACCTGCCAGGTGGTAGCCTCCAACCGAGTCAGCCACTTTGAGGGTGGAGGTGAGATTCCTCGACGCTGGGATGCATGTTATCAACAGCTGTAATGGAGCTAGAGGAGTAAAAACAGCGTACCGATGTCTTCAATCTGGTCTGGCGTGAAGCCATATAGTTCCTTGAACCCTTCGGCTACATGCATATGGCCCCGTTCTTTAAACATTAATGCGTCGAGGCGAGCGTGGCGTCATGGGAGTATCGGGCGGTCCGGTTTGTCACTACCTCCCGCTGCTGTTATGACCCTGCAATTTCCGACCATCTTTAGCGTTGAGTGTTGCGAGCGATGTGGCTCTTTGTATGATGGATCTTGCTACGTCCTCCATGCTTTTTCTGTAGATTCTGCGTCGATTTCGATGGTTTCGTGTATGATAACGTCGAGATTATGTGTCTAAATAGCGAGATAGGCCTGTTGAGATGCGAGCAGTGTAGCGACTATGAAATGCAGTAGGAGATGTCAGATACTCACTATCTGGTGAGAGGCTTGTTTGGGTGGCTATGTTTGTTACGCTGACATCTCGTAAGCACGCATGGTCCGATTGTCAAGAACCACATACTTTGCTTTGATAACTTTATCTACCTTACTTGTTCCATATAGTCATCATTAACGAGTAATCACGCTAGTGGTTCCGATTTAGCGGCTCGTTTGTGAGCATGTAAGCCAAGTAGCAAATGTTCTGAAAGTGTTTCCGGACTTTCCGAGTGTCTTTTAGGTAAACAGCGTTCGGAGCGACCTTAGGGTACCTCCATGGCCAGTAGACTGTTCCACTAATTCCCTGGATATAAAAATTTTATACCTATTTCCCGCCAGACTGTCTCAAAGAAGAACCAGCAAGCAAGACACGATAACTTGGAACAGCCTATGAAGGACATGGATCCTAGCCTATTATAAACTGGTGCAAAAATCTGCCCTGTAATTCAGCAAGTGCTCTCTCAGCCAGCTGAGTAAAGTCCTTTCACGGACGTTCACGTAATGTTGCATCGTGCCTTTCTCTTTTGCTTCCAGTCTCTCAAGTCTTTCTAGAGAGCTTGCCTGTATTTGTTGCAGCTCCATGCTTCTTGACAAGCCGGATTACTGCAGGTAAACAACAACTGGCTGTCGGAAGTTCCAGCGTCTGCCTTTTTGGTTGGAAGCAGGTCTAACTCCAGACCTGAGAAGAATCGTGTACGAAGACAATGTCAATATTGTCTTTAAAAATAACGAAGTAAATGTGTTATTTGAAATATAGTAACGGTAAAATTGCAACAGAAGGCGACATATATTTACCTTTGTTAAGACGGTTGCAGATACTTTTGACTGTGTCTTATTTCGTCGCTATGTGAGCCAAGACAGAGTCGCTTACTATCTCTTTCAATCCAACATGGTTCAAAAAAGTCTGATTGCTTGAGAATGATTAGAATAAGAGAATAGATAGAAGAAAGCAAAGGGAGAAAAGAGGAAGAGGGGATAATGGACTCATTCTCAATGTAGTAAGTATGTAGGGCCAATGACATCACGTAAGCAGCACGTGACTCTAATCGCCATTCGCCATCCGCTTTTGCGACTCAGTCCGATTCCTCCACGCGTTGAACGTCACGGCCACCCTTGTGCTCTCTCAATCGCACCATACCATCGATTCTCCGTCTACCTTGAATCTCCGGCTTAGCTCCGAACGAAACGAAGAATTACGGCCACGATGGGAAAGAAGCGACGAGGTCCGACGCTCGAAGAGCTTCTGGCTCGCCCGTGGTGCTACTACTGCGAGCGCGACTTTGAAGATCTCAAGATTCTCATATCGCACCAGAAGGCGAAGCACTTTAAGTGTGAACGATGCGGAAGAAGGCTTAATACAGCAGGAGGTTGGTTTTTTCTTCCCTTTCTCTTCTCCGGCTCCATTGTGCGCGTGTTGCTAACAACTACGTAATTAGGACTTTCGGTGCACATGAGCCAAGTCCACAAGGAACAACTCTCCGCTGTCGACAATGCGCTTCCCAATCGGTCGGGTTTGGACGTCGAGATCTTTGGTATGGAGGGTGTTCCTGAGGACATTATCCAGAGCCATAACCAGCGCGTCTTGACGCAGTTCCAGCAGGCAGAGGCGGAGCGGCAGGCTGTGACGGGGAACCCGCCGGCGGGAACGGGAACAGGTCAGCCGTCGGCGAAGAAACCGAAGGTGGAGAGTGTGTCGGAGATGAAGAAGCGCTTGGCGGAGCATAGGGCGAAACGGGCAGAGGCTGTGAATGGGAGCAGCGCTGAAGGGACACCGGTTGGGGCTGGGCAAACGCCTACTACGGGTGGATTTGTAAGTTTCCTCCTCCCTTTGGAGTTATGATTATACTAACTTGTCAGGGTCAATCACCGCAGAGTCCCGCCGTCGCCAACCAACAATTTTCATACCCGCAACCGTATGGCGCTGCTGCTACTGCTACTGCTAACCAGCCTTATCAGCAGACAGCCAGCCCGGTCTACCAGAACTACTCCCCTGGAGGCCAACCGCAATTCCCAGCGCAATATACTCCGCAGTCCTTCCAGGCCGGAACACCAAGCCAAGCGTTCCCGGCTTTTGGAACTACTCCTACTCCTTCCCCCTTCCCACAACAACAAACGCAACCGCAAGTACCCCAGAACACCGCTTCCCCGCAAACTACGCCAGGGTTTACGCCACGGTCCGGTAGCCTTCCGACTGCTCCCAGCCTCCCTCAACGACCCAGTTTCGGTGTTCCGCAGGTCAATTCCTACCAGATGCAGCAGATGCATATGGGACACCCTGTGCCGGCACCTGGAGCGTCCGGTGCAGACAAGACACCAACACCCGGAGCCGCCCCGGTATCTGCGGACGACCAAACCGACAAGCTCGCCGAAGCGACGGAGGAGAAACCCACCAAGAAAGACAAGTCGAAGCAAGCCCGATTGGTGTATTCTGATAACGAGTTCAGCCCGGAGGAGAAGATGGCTGGGTTGCCAAGGTACGCATTCGTTCCCAACCGCCAGGGAGAGACAACAGTGGAGACGGTCCCTCCGTCTACAATCGTCGGGACTATAAGAGATACGGACAACACGACGCTCGATCCAACGGATTAAACATCGCATCGATATTAGTCGAGATAACTATGGAAGAGGAGGTGCTTTTTCAATACAATGACCGGTCCATGATCTTGGCCGGAACCAGAGATGGACCACGGACTCCAGCTAAGTTCGACACATGTCAATTCTAGCTATGGCTTCTTTTCCTTTTTCCTTGTTTCTCTACTTAATATTTGTCTGGACTCATGTGAGCGTGTGTTTATTTTCCTTTTCCTGTCTACTTTCTGCCCTGATTTGTCAGTAGTTTGGCGAAACCCGGTGCTACTTGCAAAGAAAAGAACAAGAGAGGATGCTTCAGCTTCTTGAAACAGGCTCTTTAACCCATTACTTTCGCTGGCGTTGCCGGTCAATGCACCGTTTTCTCACCCGAGCGACCAAAACAACGATCCGACGAGGAACAAAAGGCCTGGCCATGATCAGTGTTTTCTGGTGAGTTGGTCATCAACTGTTTCTGAAGGAGACTGATCGTCGATGGGAGGAAGATTCGAACATGTTTTGCATTTATCTATTCGACGTCCTCGAGTACGTTGCTATCGGGAAGACAATCCTGCGCATACCTTTCTGCATCGCATGCATGCATCGCCTGCTTCGTTCAGCTGTAAGTTCATCTCGCGTTGCAAAGGTAGGCCACCGGAATGATACTCTGAATTGCACTGCTGTAAGATAGGCAATAAATGCTTTAGTTTGGACTGTACTGGTGCGTAGTTTACTTCGATCTCTAATGATGCCTTTCCCTAGTAGCCAGTATGGAGCACCATCACTTCAAGGATTACCATTATGTTTCGCCTCTTATACGGTATCATGGAATTCAAGGTAGGACCTCTGAGTTCGGAGACTGGATTGACTGGTAGCGGAGTTTGGGATACAGTGAAGATGATTACGCCGGGGATGATTGAATTTTACATGCCGAGGTCTTTTCAAAAGAAGACGAAGGAAAATGGGGTGGATGATTGCAGATGATTGGTTGCTAAGCGATGATTCTACCGTCAACATCATTATCCTATTTATCTACTTCGTCAATTTCTATAACTTTTTCATTTCTTCAATGCTCCGTCGTCTGAAGTGCTACTATCATTGGGAGCCGATCCTTGTATACACGTACAGGGTGAAGCTAGATAACCACGAAGCGACACACAGCCCCACGTGATGCTGGCGGTCAAATAGTAGTGAGGACCATTTTGTCGATTTCGTATCTGTGTCTTAAAGATTTTGCAGCGACGGATGGGTCGACTGGCTCTCGGTTAACATATGCTGTCCACTGCCAAATTGCACGCTATCGAGAGCTGCACTGAGTGAAGCTTCTTACAGAAGTGTCTGTAAACTGTCGTAAAAAGCAACTCAAAAGAAACCTTTGCGGCATTTTATCGAACCTGGAGATGACAAAAAAGAGCCTGACTAGGTCATACGGGTTCCAGTAAGACACGATATCAAGCCATGATGACTCGAAGCTGTGATTCCACAGTTCGTCTGTTGCTGGGAACCGGCTCTCTGGGCTTATGTATGGTGAGGACGCAGACAGCCCCAGACTATAGCATCTATAAAGCGGTATCTGCTAGTGGTTAGAATAGCAATTTTGCTAAAGAGGGCTGTACTTACATCTTCTATCATTCCTCTTTTGAAATCCCTAATAGGTGAATTGAGCTCCGTAGGATGTTTTTTTTCCATGCCAACCGATACCGTCAGAGACGAGTCCATATGTCGCCTTAACAATTTGTGGTGTGCATTTTATGGCCCAGCGAATTACCAGTAGGTCTAATGACAGAAACAGTGATCGCAAAATGTGCATACGCATGTACGCCACATCTTGCCCCAGGCGGTTTTCCGCTTTGCCTCCACGACGATTGACCGGCTCTCAAAATGATTGCTCTTGGACACAAGGTCGTACAAAAGTGTATAATCAGCATATACGCTGACGTCCGTCATAGTCGTCGCGTCGACATGATACTCCCCCCGAAGGAGATTCCTGGCTGCAAGTTGTTCTTAATGCGCATCCAATCGGTCTAGAAGCAGTATGTCGACCAGATTCTGTATTGAGAAAGATAATAACGCGCGCAGGACATTGGGGCTTGAACAGAATTGGCGGCATTTCGTCGACGAATTCAGTAGTTTGCATAGAAACAAAGCGGTCCGTCAGACGCCTGTACCTAGTTGTCTAGTCTAGGGAATAGACGACAATGGGTGATAGCTCTTTTTTGGGTCCTATTCACTGATTATAGCTCAGTAGTACTAGTTATCGAGAAAAGACTATAATGAGGTGTAGAGCAGTCACCAGATATGGAAATGCCCTACATAGTTATTTAACTCCGCTTAGCTCCGGAATTACTAATCCGATCTCCGTCAATGACACTCCACCTTTCCACTGTTTATTATAGATCCTATCTCAACCTCACCCAAGAACTGTACAAGCACAATCACAACAAACAAAATGGTAAGCCCCCTCACCCTCCCCTTTCCTCAATCCAATTCCAGCTAACTAACCACTAGTCTCAACCACAATCCCTCCCGACCAACTCCGCCCTAACCCTCTCCCTCCTCACCTCCCTCGGCGGCGTAATCGGCTACGCCCGCACAGGCTCCATCCCCTCCATCGCAGCAGGCCTCTCCGTTGGCGCGCTCTACCTGTACAGTTACTCGCGGCTGCGGAACGGCGAGACACTTGGTGAAGAACTTAGTTTGTTGGCGTCGGTTGTGTTGGGTGGAAGTTCGGTGCCCAGGGCGATTAAGACGGGGGGTAAGCTGGTGCCGGTTGGGTTGAGTATTTTGGCGACTTATGGTGTGGTGGTTTTTGGGAAGGAGGTTTTGGGGAAGAGGGCTTGATTAGTTGATCGACTATGGTTGGAAATGTGTACGGTCGAGCATCAAGTGATGGGTGTAATGGGACCATACTACAAATACAAAATATGACTTGTTCTATCCGAGCTCTGTTCAATGACTACCAAGCAGGCAGGGATTTAATAAAGCAAATATCCACAATAAGATGGTGTAACAATAAACCAGACACCAGGCGAAGGATGTCTGGCATTTTTCGAAGCGAGTATGTTGATAATGGATATGTGTGGATCCAGCACCCACGAAGACCGTATTAACAATTCTACACGACGGTACGTAATGTGCACGACAAGCTTAAAGAAGAAGAAAAGTCAATTCCCATTGGTATATCGTTTGAGCTCCTGGAGACTGGATATTAGGGCAATGCAGTGTTCGCTCTGACGCAAATTTGCATTCAGGAAAGTCACGGTCTATCTAGAGCTGGGTCCTTTTCAGGGCCCCAGACTCCCACAGAACACTCAAGAGATACAATAAGCTTCGGCTCATTTGGACGTATTATCGTCGCTACTAAATGTTACCCAAAAAGCATAATCCTGAGCCTATGGCCTTAAGACAGACGCTGTAAAGTGACCTGGAGTCTGCGACCCCGAGACAGGAAACTACAGGATTTGAACCCTTACTTTTAGGTTCTGAATTTTTGAACATGGACCTCACTGGATAATATGACATTCAGGATGTTGGTCTATCAATCTTCATTCCCAGTTTATACGGGACTCCGACAAACGGCGAAGATTCTCTTGGCCAGAAAACCGTCAAGTAACTCCAAACGGAGACGGTGGGTCTTAATAACCCGAGCAATGGAGTATGTGTTAGAAATCACAATACGATACAAGTGCTCAAGGCCATTCGTGGTAATTGAAGCGGGCTGGTCAGAATCCCGGCCACGGCTCTACCAGGATATGCAGATATGGCCAGCCGCTTCCTCGCCTTCCTTTTGATTACACCGAATAAGTGAACTCATTCTTCGAAAAGTGAGGTTTCTTTGTTATTTTGAATACACGCTTGCTTTGAACTCCTAGAGGCAGGTTGGGGAGTCCAGACTATCTGGGAGATATGTCTGGGATAGTCGTTGATACGCAGAAGACTCCTCAGCGGAGCGAATGGGTAGGATCGCGCATGTTAACTGATTCGTCCCAGCAAGCCAACAGAGCCTTTCCTCCGCGAAGTCCTGGAATGGGCCTATACAGCGACAAAATAAAGCGTGGCTACAAAGCATACGAGTGCTTTGCCACTTTTATATCTGCCAGCCGCAAGTCTCGCCGCGGCTGAACTCAACGACTGGTCAGGCTATCTATGCCGTTTTTTGCGGAGGGTTGGGATAGAAGTCCTCTATCCCCGTAGAGGACTTTTACGGAGGGGGGAGTACTGTTGCGGAGATTTGGATGGCAGACTTCTTTCCTAACTTGTGAAGGCTGGACGAATGCCTATCTACTTTCATCAATTTTGCAGTTAGTAGAGTTGATACTCTTCACCATTTCACTATGGAGAGCATCAGGTTGGGACAACAGGATGGCGAGTTCTTATGAGGTACGAAAGCATGATGAGTGTACTATAATTTATCTTTTATTATATTGCAACAAACATAATCGTAATCATCCATAAAATAGCATAACGGTCATGAAGAACGACATGAAATTGATCCCAGTCATCTCACCTTGCACATCTGCAACAGAGGCTATATGATCTACTCTCGAACCGCCCACAATATACGACTACAAAATGCGGTCGTGTACTGTGCGCCGTTCACAATGAGAGTAGACCATACAGTCCCCGCTGCAGAGGTGCAAAGTGAAAGGATACTGCGATCAATCTCATGCCAGTAGGTACTCGTGATCAGCATCATCTGGAATGATGCTGTTGATCTGTATGGTCATGCTCCCCAGATTCTGTATCTCCTTCTTCCTCATCATCTTCATCGTCTGCATCATGCCCCCTAAATCCATCTGTCTCCTCAATCCAGAACGTCGGCACCGCCGTGAAAGCAGCCATAACAGTCAACGTCCACCAAGGAATAATAACATATCCCCTCTTAACTCCAAACGAAAACGTCGCTCCCGCAACAGCCGGTCCCACCGCTCTCCCTAACGCACTGACGCTCGTCCCGACCCCATTCAACGTCCCCAGAATACTAAGACTCGACGCAGAATTCGTAAGCAAGATCGTGCAGCACGGAAAGCTGAAAATTGACGCGGACAGTTTCGTAAGCATAAGTAGGAACACGACGTAATTGCGGAATGCGGATGGGACGAGCGCTGTGAAGGGTGTGACGAAGTAAACGATCGGGAAAGCTAGGTAGACGAGTTTGGTGATGTTGAGGACGCCGTATCTTTTTGCGACGGTGGGGAAGAAGAAGAATTGGACGAACATGCCGAAGATGCCGATTAGGGTGTAGAAGAAGCCGATTGTTTGGGAGTCCATGCCGAATCCGCCGATGAATTTGAATGGTAATTGGACGTCTGGATTCCCGTCCATGTCTTGCTCGGGGAAGTGCAGGAATACTGGTAGCAGCGAGTCAAAGGCCATGTTGTGCATTGCCAGCATGCCGTAGGCCATCAAGACTAGAATGGACTGGGTGGAAAAGACCTCGCGCCAGCTTGTTCGCCTAGCTGGCCTCTGCTTTGGCTGTCTGTCCGCCTGATCATCGTCACCATCTTCACCAAGCAGTGCCGTTCTCTCATCATCCTCATCCTCAGAGCTGACGGTCTTTCTGTGCGACGTGCATGGGTGCGTCAACGCCTGGCCTATTAAAAGACCATAGTCACGTTTATCCCGTCTTGCTTGCAGTGTTTCCCGCAAGAACAAAAACCCCGTCGCAATACCAATGACAAAAAAACACGCGGACGCCAAATTCGGCAAGAGAAACGGATACTTCTCCCAAAACTCCGACCCCCCAAAAATACTCGGATGTTTCTCCGCAGGCCTCGCCAACGAGCCTCCAAACGCCGGCCCAAAGATCGTCCCTATCGTCCATACCAGTGGCATCACACTAAATGCCCGAGGTTGCAATTCCTTTTCCGGAACCATTTCCGCGACCATCGTGCGGATAATCCCGACGTTTCCGTTCATCAGGCCCAGCAACGCACGAGCCCATAGTAACGTGGCCATGTCCCGCGAGAAACCGAATACCAGCGAGAATATCATTGTGAACATGAGACCGGCGAGGATGGTGGGTTTTCGGCCGATGTAGTCGGAAGCTGTGCCCCAGGGGACGGCCATGGCGCATTGGCTGACAGCGGTGACGGCGGAGGTGATGCCTACCCATTTCGCGATTTCGTTTTTGGGAATGCCCATATGCTCGACCATTTCCGGCTGCGATTGTCAGAGCGGGAATTAAGAGACGGAGGAAGGAAGACGTACAAGATAAGGCAGGACCGAAGTCAGGACGACGGGCTCCGCGAAACGACATATTGCTATGACCCTATTAGTTTCATGAGAAAAAGAAAAGAAATAATAATGTATAGACTTACAGAGAACAATCAGCTGCTGAACGGGCAGCTTCGGCCGTCTCTCCAACATTTTCGGTTAATCCTGTCGGAGCCGCAAAAGAGAGATGATTCAAGTCGGCATGGAGAGAGTAACTAAACCAGTGCAAGCCGGATAAACCATGGACTTTCACAGATATGCGCTAGAGAGAAGGGGAAGTGCAGAAGCTGAAAATATTTAAGAGCGCTCGAGTCAACGCAAAGGATTTGTCAGCGGATAGTCGGAGTTGCAGCGGAGAAGAGCGATAAACCTTTTTGGTGGGCAAGAATGGTCGATTCACCAGGTGGTCTAGATCTGATTGATTGTCATTTCTCCCCTAGTCTTTCCAAACAGCGATATCAGAGCCGGAGGTAACTGGACATTTACTTCAAACTCCACGAATACAGGGTGTTGACGTTGGGGTTGTTGCCGACATCATCACCGGTTTTAGTTGGCTTGACCACTCGCCCGTTTTATTGACTCTTCAATATAATAGTCCTCACCCAATTACCCGTGGCTTTCCTATTCATCTAGAGCAAATCCATTGTATTGCATTGCAGTGTGAAGCAAAGTACTGCAGCTCTACCAGGAATGTTTTCTCGCTATATACATAACAAATGCTCCTTGCCAATATATCTGGTATTCTAAGAATGACCAGGTGCCTTTTTGCTTGTCCGTCCGAAAAATCTAAAAGCCTTTCTGGATGGAACCGAAGGACTTTTTTCCCGGCGAGAACCGTGATTCTCAATGAGTCTTTCCACTGTTGAACTTGGACAGTCACCCATTATTTGAGAGCTTTGAGTCGCGGCGTTGACGTTCTTAGCCGAGACCGTATTCTGCGTGGTAGATATGACGATCTGAAGGGATTGGTCTTGAGAAGAAATATTTTCAAACCTGTGGGCCCTTTCTTGCTGCGCTTCCTCCTGTCTCGCCTCCAAGATCGACCTACAGTGATCAAGCCAACATCTTCGCTCTTCCAGCTGTTGTTGTTGCTGTCGGACCAGTTCCTGCTCTTTCATCTCCAAGAGCCTGATCTCGCTGCTGGAGAGGAATGACTGAACATGCTGAAGATCCTCGTCTGTCTTCTGCTGTACCTTGCGAGCTGCGATGTTTTTCTTTCGCCCGCGTGTCACTTCGCCAAGGGATTCCCGTCGAACTCGGTCAATGCTGCTTCCAGCTTTCCGACAAGCCTGGATACACTGAAGAATTGCATCTTCCAGCTCCTTGATTTGTCCTTGATCCTCTAGCTGTATCGGAGATCGTTGGCCAACATTCTGAAGTTGGGCTGAAAGACGAGCCATCGTTTTGGCAATCGCGCTCTGGTAGTCTGCTAGTTGATGCAGGTTCATTTGCGCCAGATCACTGGTTGAAGTCATTAGCGTTGCTCCAAATGATATGCTTTTGGAGGGAATGAGCTCACATGCTTATACTCGTGATGATAATGGTGATTGTGCTTTTATACCCTGCTAGGGTCTCTTTGAATTCATTGATGTCGCCCCCAAGGAATTTCATTCTCATCCAATCTTGGAGATTCGGCTGACGCCCTCCGGAACGCGACGTGCATTTTTTGATCACGGCTTGAAGCCCCGAACAAGTCATGTCACACGCCTTCAGGATAGGGTCGAGTTCTGCACGGACTTTGTCATCACAAGTGATGTTTTGGACACGCTCGAGGACCACCACAAGACCATGTAGCTCTGTTTGGAGATGTTTGACGGTATCGGGGTAGCCGTGGAAGCTTTTGATCAGGTCGCTGAGGGTCTTGGCTGATTGGAAAGCGAAAGTTCCAAGGCCAACAGAAGCGCTTATAACACTCAATGGATCAGTCATCTTCGAAGGATAGTTATATATATATATATATATATAAAAAAAAAGAAAATTGGACTCTGAGGTTACACAGCATCCTAAGCAATAATCCGGGATTTAAATGATCTATACCTTATCAATTATCACTGGGTTCTATTCATAAATAGAAACAATTCGGCGCTTGCCAAAACTCTACATTGCTTTTTCTGTAGTAGCGCGCGCGTATAGTAGATTGGCAATCCCCTCCGCTTCCGGAGGATTACCCTTTGATCAGATTGGGCCAACAAAAGCAGAAAAGACAATGGTTTGTTTCGAGCGAGACGCTATTCCTGGTGATACTCCATACAAGCGGGTAAATGCAAATTCGGTCGGCCTGCTCGCTCCGCAGTCATATATCTTGGCGTTCTCCGCAATGCAGGAGGTAGCTTTTGTTTTCTTTTGCCTCAGCTTCCCCCTCCTACATAATCTTCTCTTTACGATAGCCAGTTGTCGTCATGGAAAAAGAGCCTCCACTTACATCTGACTTGGTGACCCTGGCTGCATTTGCCCTTCAGGCAAGCCAATCGCTTTATCAGACGATCGAAAGCTTCCGGTCCGAAAAGCGGAACGTCTTTGAGTCGTGCTATGGCTTCCAGTCTCTCAGTCGGATCCTGGAAGCTTTTCGCCAGGTAGCCGCGGAGAATCAAGCCGGATTCATCGCATTAAAACTACCTCTCCTGCAGTGCGGGAAGATCTGCACAAAATTCGCAGAAGCTGTCAGTAAATGTATGACCCATTCTAATGGGGAAAAAACGAAATTCTGGGAAGGAGTGATTGCAACTTGGAGGACCACCTTGGCTGCATACAAAGTGGTAATGAGTATCGCCCTTTGTGACGCAACTTTGTAAGATCCCAATATCCAGGAAGGCTTTCACTTGCTGACCACGTTTGACAGCCGTGAAGCTGCTGTGGCTACCGGTGTTCTTGACGACTATAAGCAACTGATCGCGGAGGCGATGTCTGGCCTCCAGAAACACTCAGAACTCATGTGTGGAAGGCCGCAATCGCTGCTTGAATTTGAGTTCAGCAATGGAAGAGATATCGACAAAACGAGCATTATAAGGGAAGAGGATGAAAGCTTAAAGCAATGCGTTACGATATGTGGCAATGTCTTTAAATCCGTTGACAACAGCCGATTGCGGAAATACAGTGCCGGCGAAAAACAATTGTCGAGTCCAGGACCGAGAGATGTTGATAATGCCGTGGCAGTCACCAACGAGATGCTTGTGGAATTCCAAGATAGACTCTCCGAGTGCTCAACAGTTCTTGGCTCCCTTCCGATCGGATTGACCGAGAAACTGCAAGACTTATCATGGCAAGGAGCAGAACATATGAAATTAGACAATGCTGAACCTAACGACACAAGGGAAGACAGTGACAGAGACACGCCGGACCCTGCAGAAACAGCCCGGAAAAACATCTTCGAGGACATCGCTTCCGCTGATAATTCACATCAACTAATCGTGTCGACAATTGGAGACCAACTATTGGCCAGACGTATCTCCACTGGAACCATGTCCCTGCAGTGGTTGGGACAGATGTCCGATGATACACTTCAGAGACTTTCCAAAGACCGCAGCAGTCGCGTTGATGAGAAGGAGTCACAAGCGCAAACAGGACAAGATAAATTTGGTCAATATGGCGTTGGGCGCGATCTTCGCGGGGTAAAGCTGGAAGGGGGACGGGGCCCTTATTAGGAAGGTACAACTGCACTGCTATTATGAGTCTAGCATTATGCTCTTCGAGCTAAGATCATAGTTCTGCAATCTCTGAAGAGCCAAGCAATACCATGTCACCCTCAAATCCAGGAATTACCTGAATGACATCGACTTCGGCACTTATCCCTATTACATTCGCTGTCACTTTACTTACTGCCCATGAGCCCTCCAACGTCTTCGCAATCCTTTACTTATTGTTTCGATTTTGTGGTCTCTCCTTGTTATCTCCAGATTGTTTTGTTCATCTCTTTGTTGATTTGCTGCTGCAACTGTCGCATTTCTGTAGCTTGGTTGTCTAATTTCCATGATCACGTTTACCGTTGCGTTTGAACTGTCTGCTGAGGACTTAACCTTGCCGACGCAGGCTCGCTCGCTGCGTACAGCAACTTGACGTTTGAGTCGATGGCTACTAGTTGGTGAGGATGTATATGGGTAGACACACAATGAATTGCTTGCCCTCTAGCCATTGTCTTATTTCTCTATCTATAAATTTGTGTGTGCTCAGTTGTGCCCTCATCTGCCATGTGTTAACCTGTCAATTATCGGTAGCCTTCCCCTGTTCCTTGGTATAGGCATTGATAAGGCGTTCACCTTGTACCTCATCTCGCATGGTGACACTATCAGCAACTTCCAGTCAACATAAGAGCCCCCTCCGCACCCATTGCAAATCGCCAACAATGTCACCAAAATGGTCAGTGTGTGAAGTGTGGATCTCATGGTCATTGGATGAAGGATTGCCATAAAAACCAGCCAAGTCAGCTATGTAACGACCAGTGGCCAACCAGCAAGTGATCGATATGAGCAAACAGGTTAACATGGGCAAACAACGGAGCCTAGCGCTTCTACATGTGACCGTACATTCAGTAGATGGTTTACTTTGCCCTGCCTTCATAGATAGCATGGTAGATTGCCAGGGCCAATACGGGTGCACTAGCTAAGCGAGGGCGGATATACGACCGACAATGCTCACAGTTTACTATTCGTCGCATGCGAATGCTGTTATGTTCCTGTGAAATCGCCGGAATCTTTCATGGGATGTCTGGTTACTCCAATGGCTACTACATATACAAAAAACCAAAATGATTGATTGATGCTATTTCCAGCTAATCATAACCAAAATCCCAGGTGCCCAAGAGACTGGACGCGAGGGGGATGCGTGCTATCCATCGTTTGATTCGTTCCACATTTACATCAGGAAAGAGCATTGGCCCGAGTGTTCTACTGCAACAGCTCGGTGGCGGCCTGAATCCGTGTCTCAATGATGAAGCTCCATTTCTGCAGACCATCGTTAGCAACTTTCCAAAACAAGAGCAGAAAGGAAATAAACTCACCCTTGCATTGGCCACATCTCCCGCCTCCAAGCTCTCGGTCAAACTAGGATATGTCGAGCCCGCATATCCAGTCCAAAGACCAGGCGCGAACACGACGTGCTTGTACCAGTTCCGTCCATCAAGTCCCGGCTGGTACAGGAATTGATGCTCAATATCTCTGTACTTGCTGTTCACAGCACGGATCTGCAAGAACAGCTGCACCTTCTTCCACAACAGATACCAGGGGAGATCCTCGTCAATCTTGGAAGACAGCTCCTCAGCGTACGCGTCAAACGCGGCGGCAACGGCCTGGAATTGTGCGATGGCGTCATCCAGTGACTCAAAGTCAAAGTCTGCACTAGCCGGCAGGTTCTTTACAGTCTTCTTGGCCGCTTCAAGATATGTCTGTAAGCCAAGCGAGTATTCCTTGGCATTGAGAGACAGGACAGGAGTTTCGACGATCTTGGCAGCAGACAGCGCCCACAGCTTGGTGGTAGCTTCGTGATAGAGCCAGTCGGAGTCTCCAAAGCGGTCCATCCAGTCGAAACTGTCGTAGTCGGAGTGGTAGTGATAAACTGGGTCATTTGGTCCACGACCGAAGCCCAGATCATAACTGGCAACACCAGCAAAGTCCTGGAACGCAGTGAAGTCACTTCCGCTACCCATGGTTGCAATCTTACCATCCCAGACGTCTCGGATAGTCTGGCCTTCAACGGTCTGGTTGGGCGACTGGACCAGTCCAGTGACTTCGTAGATGACATCGTTCAACAGCGGGCTTGCCCGTGGAGAGAAATGAGTGCCACTAGCAGCAGAGTCCACGTTGAGGTATGCGACATTCGTCCTCGAGAGCCAGGGAAGCTTGTCCTCCACCCACTCGGTCGAGCCCAGCAGTCCGTACTCCTCGCCATCCCAGCTGGCAAAGACGATCGTCCGCAGAGGCTTCCATCCTGCCTTGAGAGCTTCGCCAAAGCTGCGGACCACCTCGTTGAGGACGGCAGAGCCACTGTTCGGGTCTACAGCTCCACCTGCAATCCAAGCATCACGATGGTTGCCCAGAACAACGACCTCATCCGGAATAATACCCTTAATAGTACCGATAACGTTCCACAACGGAGTCGTCACGTATTCCTGCTGGTTGTAGAGATTGATAACCACATCTTCCGGAGTAGGTCCGATGTTGTATTCAACGCCCTTGTAACCAAGTCTACCACCCTGCCACCATTGGTTGAAGTCCGACGCCTTAGGGCCATGACCATTGAGAGCCTTCAGGAGAGGCAGCACTTCCTTGTAAGAGACTGGGAGGGAGGGAATCGACGGAATAAATTCATGCGGGTCCTGACGTTCACAGCCGGGCTTGGATGGGTATCCAGGCGTGGTTGGATCACCAGGGGCAAAACCTGTATATCAGACAGTATTGTTAGATTGGACGGTTCTACCATGAGGGGCTCTGCTGCACTTACTCAAGAACTGCGTGCTTCCTCTTTGCACGGCACTGGGGTTCCGGGCGGGACCATCGGGATACGCCTTGTAGCCATTTTCCTCGGTGATTTCGCCATCCTCCTGCGGGTCATCGTACATGATCACACCGATAATACCGAGCTCCTGCGCCCGCTTCACCTTCAATCCACGGAAGATGCGACCATACTTGACAATCGCAATCTTTCCTTCAAGATTAACGTTTGCCTTGACAAGGTCTTCAAAGTCATCGAACGTGCCAAAGTTGGCATAAACAAACGGAGCAGTAACATTCCCGCTAGCCGAGTAGCCGTGAAAAGTAGGCACACGATCGGGAAGACCGCTGGTATGGTCCTCCTCGAGTACATCTTCCTCCAACGACGCCTCAAAGGTGACCTCAGTGGAGCCAGTCTCGGTCTTCTTCAGTAGTGCTAAGCGATGGTCCACCGGGTAATTGAGGTAGGTCTCGTAGGTCTCGATAATGGTATCCTCGACACCAAATTCCTGCCATTTCTCGCGAGTCCAGAGCGCCTGGCTCAAATTCTTGCCAGCGAGGTGAGGGCCTGCTGTGTAGTACGAGCTCCATTCACGTGCCTTGGCCGCGGATGGGGTGCTCGTAAGAATCGCTTGCAGCTGTTCGTAGGAAAGGCCGTAGCCCTGAGGCCATGATGAGTGTGGAATTGAGCGAGAACCAGGGACATAGGACCAGAAGGAATCCGGGACCAGGAATAGAACGAGGGCGATGGACAGAAGTAATCCGAGGATACGACGAAAGGTATTGTGGGGATATCGCTGTCGTTGGGGAGCGACATGGACAAGAAGGAGGGATGAGGGCTCCAAGGGAGCCATCTTTTTCTCCTTCATCTTGGATAAAAAATTCACAGCAGCTTCACTCCAATCTAGAAACGAATGGCTTGAAAATGGCACTGTGTGGATGAAGTTGAAGGAAGAGAGCTGGCGGAGCTGAGCAGAGAGAGTTGGAGATGCGGAGACGCTGATGTGATCGGGCCTTATCAATCGTTATCGCTGCCTGTTCGTGCTCGACGGAATATTCCGTACCAAAGAGTGTACTATTTAGGAAGCTGGGATTGCTTCAATTGTTTTAATATCCTCTATCCGCTCGATTGGCTGTAGATACCCTGAGATTCGAATGCAATTATATACACTTAGCTAAAAGCAGTCCGCCGGACACAAAATAGAAAGAATTCCCCCAGTGTAGATATCAAACAGATGAATTACGGAAATAACATAAAATGGGGTATATATGCTCAATCAACAACAATCAATGCTTTTCACGCGGCTACGTTCTCCTTATCCTCATCCAGTTCGGGGACCGGGACGACGTCGTTCAATTGGGCGTTCAACTTCTCACCGATACTGATACTATCACGTAGGATCTGTCGAGCAGATTGGTCGTCGTCGATGTTCATGTCCTCCTTGACAAGTCGAACGGCCAATTCGGGAACGAGGACTGCTTGTGCGTAGCCAGCAACACCAGCGGTCTTGACGATATTATCAGCGGCTGCGAGACGACGTAGCTGAGGGGCGAAATGCGTAGTCACAGCTTGCAACCTATATCCACTATGTTAGCCATGTTCTGAACGTGAAGGTTACAAGGACAAGAGCAGTACATTTTACCGGACCCCCGTGTCCCATAGTAACCGCACGATATATCCTCCAATCCACCACCGGACAAAGTAAGCCGAAAATTCTTCGCTTTCCCTGATTTCATAGCACTGTCAAGAAGGTTCCTGTAATACGACGAACACTCCGGAACCAGGAATTTCGCCAGATCATCGTAATAACCACGGATTCGTTCATCAAATATATCCCAATCGATAGTCGGGTACCCTTTGCTCTTCCATTCCTTTTCAGCCGAGGACGCCTGGTGCGATTCACAGAATACCATCTGATCGCGGAAACGCTGCTTTGGTTGTGCCTCGAATCTCATAAGAGCCTCGGGATCGACTTCCTCCTTGCACATAGGGCATAAAGCCTTCTTTGGTAGCGTGATTTCCTCATCTGCCTGCGAGAACTCAAAATTGAACGCTGAAGATGGAGGTGACGGCGTGTTGATCGGGGAGCTAAGCGGTGACGCATCGTCTTGTGACGGTAGATCCAAAACGTCTGCGAACTGAGGGTCATTATCCGAAGAGATGCCATTCGGCAGAGCAGGCGGGTTCTTGAACTCGGGACTCTTTCCATTCGCACGAGTCTTAGACGGAGGCGGGCTAGGCATGTCGATTTCCCTCGGCATCTGGAAGCTGCTTTCTTCCTTCTTTTTCTTCTTCTCCTGCGGAGACTTCTTCCCGTATGCTTTCTTGTTCTTTTGCGGTTTCGACGTCGATTTGCTGTCTTGAGAGGAAGGCACACTGGAGACTGAAGGTCTGCTCTGGCTCGAAAATTGTGCTCCCTTCCGCCTCTTGCTGTGCTGTGAAGAGCCCCACATTTCAATCAAGTTATCCCGGTCATCCAAAGCACTCGAAGTCCTCGCCCGAGTCTTTTCCTGAGAGCTCGACACCTCCAGTTTATCGTCTCCGTCCTGCTTCGACACCGGCGCCCTCCCACTCCGCCGCGCAGGCGCACTACTCTCCGCGAGTTTATCCTCCAGACTCTGCTTCTCCGGAGCCTTCAGTTCCTTGTCTTCCTCGAGATCGGATATGTCGACGATATCTCGATCTCCTGCCTCCACTTCATCGTCGCTAGAGCTAATGGGCGCATCGTCGATACCGGGCTCGGGTCTCTCTGGCTTGGGTGGATTATTCGGTTCATTTGTTCCGTTATTGAATGTTGACAAGAGGTGTTTGCCCGAGAAATTACTCGTCGTAAGGTAGTGTCTTGAGAAGCTCGAGTCTGGTCTCGTTCGGGTCCCCATGGTGAATTGTGGTGATCGCGGAAACAACGCCGTACAAGGAGCGGGGTATTGAGGGTTCGAGTGAAATAATCAATTGCTGGATAGCTGCTAACAGCCCTGATTTCCGATCGAGGAGAGGTAGTTCGGTCGTAGTACTGCCGTTACGTGCTTTTTGTCGGGGGCACCGCGCGGTTCTAAGTAGCTTGCAAATAATCAGTATTTAACGCTGGCTACCAAAAAGAAGTGGGACGAACCAGAAATTTGGACGGTTTGATTTCTTTAGACGACGCTCAGTCAGCCGTTACTAGGCGTTCAGGCGTTCAGACGTGGCTTGTGCAGAGCTGACTTGTGCAGGTAGAGAGGGACGAGGGAGAACGAGAGGGAACGCGCGTGACACGCGAACTAGGCGTTTCTCCGCAGCGGCAGATTAGATCCGAGAGCTCAACGGGCGAGATTGCGATTTCGTCGGGTAAAATGAGGGAATGGAAACACCATCGTGGTTGGGCTTGTAATTTTGAAGGTGAAAGGGCTAGAAATTGGGGTACTGGTATTCAACTAGTTGATGACTAGTAGGCCCAGCTCTGTATGCTGGATCCAAGCCGCAACTCTATCCGGCGCCGACTCTCCGACTCTACGCGACACTATGGAGGCTCAAAGATATGAGATAATAAAATACAATTGACATAATAATGCTGAGTGCTAGCATCATGCTTAGAACATACATCAAACAAACTTAACCCAACAATGCCGTTGTACCTTATAACAGATGTATAGCTTGAAATGTAAAACCTTCACTCAAAGCTCAATTCCATGTCGCCTTCTTCGCCAGCCCCAAAGTCATGTTCCGCCCAAGCATTAGGTTCCATAGCTAACGCACCCATAGCGCTGGCACCGACACCGGCGCCAACGCCCACCGGCATTGTCGCGGAGGATCGCAGTTCCGGTCTCGTAGGATATGGGTCATGGCTGGGTGGTTCGAATGCAGAGTGCGAACGTTGTGGTATATCCTCGTCGTAGGAAGTGTCGAAGGTCATTTCGATTCCCTCTTCCTCGTGCGGACCAGAGAGCAAATCAGGGGGTGATGATTTGTGATCAGAAACTGGTGCGGGCGTGGGCTGCGTTGTTCCTGCATTTGGCGTTTCTTTCTCTTTCTCTTTCGCACCAGAGGATGAAGGTGTAGTGGGAGATTGGCCGGTTGGAGAGTTCAGATCCAATTTCATCGGAGGAAGGGTCGACTCCAGCTGCTTAACTTCGATGGCCTCCGAAGCCAGTTCGGCTTTGATAGCGTCAATGTCAAACAAAACCGACCCGGTACCGGCGCTGTCGGTCGAGCTACGCGATATGGACTTGTTGCGCTCGACGTCGTATGTCTCCCATCCCTTCTTTTGCGCCAGTTTCCCTCGTTTGAACAGTCCAAATCGCTTCTTCTCCGGTTTCATCTCCGCTTCTTTACGGGCTTCGTCGATTTCTCGGATCAATTCCCGCTGCCGCTCACCATGGCTTTCCGGATCAGGGTCTTCGATTTCAGCAAATTCCTCGCTCAGCACTTCCCATCCAACCTCTTTCAATAACCGAGGCATTGCTGTACGATAATCCATATGCCCATTGACCAACTGGGTCACATCGAGATTCTCTAGTCCATGGATTCCTTCAACAGGCGCAAGGCCGGCAACACGCATGATTCCACCGCTCGTCGCACGGAACAGATATCCCAAAATCCAGTCGTTGGAAGCGTAGCCGTTCACGAAGCGCCCGGAGACCACGCTGCGAGCTTTGATGTACTCATCCTTGTTTGCCACGTTTGGTGATCCGAACATGTAAACGTTCTCGACAAGCCCTTGGGCCCCCCTATCCGCGAGTTCCTTCAAGCATGAGAAGATGACCCTCGACCCAAGTGAATATCCGAGCAAGGTCACAGGCCTTTTACCCAGGTTGCGGTCTATTAGGGAATCGGCCATAATAAGACCGGCTGCGTTTGCACGGGCCAAGGAAACGTTCCACGGGTTATCGATCAGATAAGACAATTTTGTAAGAACAAGAGGTAGTTGTAGTGATGCCATAAGAGCCACCAGAACGGTACTTCCAAGAACATGTTGAAGACCTTGAGTCAACGCCTGGTGCATTGTCAGCCACGATCCACACTCTCAATGAATGTCACATAACCATGGATCTTACCTCTGTAGCCAGAATGTTGATGGTTTGACCCATACTTTGCAACATTTCAGGTTCCCATAAAACGGAATACATGTCGCCCATGATAGGGTCGACGGTACTGTAGGGCAATCGTACATCATCAACCTTTCCAGTCATCCAACCAGATACCGTAATTATGAGATTGACCCGTTTGTTATTGTGCAGCGGTCGATATTCAAACGTCCGAACAGCACCAGTTCGGCGATGCGAAGCCCTCAGTCCAATTGTGCCTCCAGTCAATGTAGCACCAGACGCGATCAGAGCCGTACCACCTGCTCCTCCCAGGAAAGCACTGGTGCCTGTAATGCCAACAGTCGTAAAACCGGCAGCAATACCAGCGCCAATGACTGGCGCCAGCAACCCAGCTGAGAGACCAATGACCAGTCCGCCTCCTACAGTGGCCAGACCCATAACCATATATCTGCGCTTCAAGGCCGACTTCCGACGCTTCTCCATATGATCTGATTCATCCCATGTCTCCTGATTATTTTCTGCCTCCTGCATTTCAAGAGCATCCATCACTCGTTTCTCGAACTTAGTGATCTGAAGCCATGGTACTTCCATAGCCCGACCAACCCTCTCGAGCAGGCTCCGGGATCTAGCATCATAGGCCGAATCTGCGATCAAAACCAAGAAGAGATCGCAAAGGACCGTCCATCGGAGGTCGATATCGATCTTGGCCGATGTTGGCATATCGGATGGAGATTGAACCTCTGGAGGGTCATCTTCTCCTTCGGTCGTCTCATACGGTGGGGGAGGGGACGTCGACGCGGAATCTCGATTTACTTCAGTCGAGATACTACCTTGATGGCTGTCCTTAGCATCGGGAGAGGTAACGGAGGATGTAGACTCGCGTGGGGGGCCGTCTTCCTCTGCCATGGGGTTCTTGACTCGCGTATTTTGCATTAAAGGCGGTACAAGATCCAATGGCTGCACGCCATGTTGGGCCAGCTGCTCAATCATAATTTGCTCTGCAGCATCGATTTCCATATGCGCATAAAGCCGTGCCATCATCGCTTGCCCCCACATCTTCGTGACGTCCCTGCCCTTCTGTAGTGCCTTTTTGGCGCCTTTTGTCGTGGGTATCTTCTCCAGATCCAATGACATTTCATGTATAGATAGTCTGGTTACCCCGACATATGCTATCCTTTGGCCTTCGGTCAGGATGTCTTTCGTGGCCTGGAGTTGACTGTCGGGATCACGCAGCTCTTCCCCTTCTACACCGGCTGAGTTGCCTGCTGCTTCTTTGAACAGGTAGCTTGTGTCTTCGTCCAAGCTTGTCGCTGACTGTGCATCCTCGTCGAGCTGGACGCGAGTGTAGCCCTTGCCAGCGCCACTATAACCCTTTTGTGCATATTCTTCTTCCTCCTGTCTCTTGGCTCCACGAGCAAGCAGCCGACCAAAATCATCGTACTCGTCGAACTCCCCGAGAGCAGGCATTTCCTTCCACTCATTGTCACTTTCTTCCTCGCTCTCACCGTCGTCCGATTCTTGGCCTGCGGTGAGTCGCTGATGTGACCATTCTGAAGCCTTGAGATTCGGCCGTTTTCCACGTTGGCCTTCGGGTTTAGGAGCAATGGCGCTTTCTGTGTTGGGCGTGGCATTCTCATCTTGGACACCTTGCGTAGGTGCGCTAGGAGTAACCAGTTTCTCATCTTCCGGTGAAGCAATGGGGTCTTTCTCTGAAAATTCCTTCTTCTCCGATACTGGCGCTTGAGCAGGCAATTGTGCTGCTTGACTCTCTGGACTACCCTGTGCCAAGTCACCAGAGGTCTCAGGTTTATGGGTGGTAGCTTCGCGCTCTTTCTCCGGCTCGTCTGGTTGTTCTGATTTCTCCGCAGCTTTTTGCCCCTCTTGGCTTTCCAGCTGAGCATTACCGTCTCTTTTCAGGGAGGTCTCTTCCACATCATGAAATACCTCATGATTGTCCGAGGCTTCACTTTCGGGCTGCGGTGGTGGTCGAGGGCGCGCTCGAATCGGAAGCCCAAAGTCATCTACCTCGTCCTGCTGCTTCGTTATATCCCGTCCATCCTGCTCTACAACCGACTTATGTCCCAGTATCCCACTCCGCGAGTTCACATTCTCCTTCTCATTATCGACATTATTCCCCGGCAATTGCGCATCGTCTCTCGGCGGATCCCCAGACTGAGCAGTCAAATCGACGGTCCGATCAGTTGCGGCGTTAGAGGTAGAGGTCATTATTCATGGGCGTAGCGGAAGTCAAAGAACGTAAGCGATTTTCAAGCAAGTAATATTATTTCTTTCCCTGTCTACCTCCGGGTACGGTCCGTAGCTGACCATCCGTGCAAGTGTACACGGTTCGGGTGGTATCCGTGCTTTTTTCTTCCGGTACGAGCTATGACGGACTCCGTCTGTACCTGACCGTGCAGTCCTTGATCGCAATCATCGGACAGCCTGAACGATATCTCCGGAGGATAGGATCGTTGGCCACGCGGCCTCGTCTCTGGGAAAAGGGCGAAGGGAAGGGAAAGATGCCGTAGAACCACCGGAAGGCAGAAAGATAGCCGAGACCTAGGACATTCAGGGAGTTGTTTTAGCCCAATGATCAATGGGGAAGGGACAATATTTGCCCTTTCAAGTGTTTTTCTTTTGTTTCTCAGAGCGTACCCTAACAGCCCGGTTGAAAGAATAGTAGTGGTTGTCTGCGACCGGGAGGCGTTGGTTCAGTTCAGCACCGCAAGCAGCGAGAATCGCCTGTCACGGAGATACAGCGTCTACTCTGAGTACAACAAGGAGACGGTAGGGCTGTTCCGATCCACGCAAGGCACCTCCGGCAGTTTAAGGGGTCAATGGGCTTACAATGGATTATTTTATTAAGAATATATACCCCTGAGGTATACAAGACACTATTCCGTGATTTGTCTGAGTCCGATGCGGTTCAAAGCAGCGCGGGGAGGGGTGTATTGTTGTTACAATACGGTATTTATCCCTTTTGGATCAAGTTCAGACATCGCTCAAATCTCTCTACTGTACATGTTTTGTCAAGGAGCAGTGCAAGAGTGATCCTGGAGTGATCCAGCATGATCAAAAAGCAGCATCATATTTACACATCACTCTTTTCACATGTGAGTACTCTGGTGTGAGAGCTACTTCGTGATTAGATAGGTTGGTTAGAGCATAGATTTCCAATCAGTTCAGTTCCCCCATGGTACCAAAAATGAATCCGTGAATTCAAATGGCTCCATCTGATTTATCTCATCAATCGAAAAAGGGGTCCACGTAGTGGTCGCTATGCTCATCGGGTCGAGCATACTAGAATAGTCGAACGAGCGAGGTGTTTGCGCAGGCGAGCTGGCGAAAATGGAATGCGGGATAGGCATGCCAGGTGACTGGGCCAAATGCGGCGGTTGCTCAATGGCTCTCGAGTCAGCTCGTAAATAGTGATTGTACAAGTATTGTAGGAAGGAAGATGCCTGGCTTAGCTCGCTTATCGCCTCTGGTGACAGTCCCGAATTTAAATTCCCTGATGTTGAAGCTATGTCGTAGGCAGTTGTTGACTGGGGCTTGAGAAGCTCTATAGCGGTTTGAACCGGTTTAATTGATTCCAATGAACTAGCGTGGTTCACCGATGATGGCTGTGATACAGAGACATCCTGCGGTCCTCTAACCCAGCAATCGTAGAGCAGCATTAGGGCACTTTGGAACACAAGGTGATACCCAGCTGGCCACATTTGAGGCAAGAGGTGGTGGCCCCTTTCATTTTGGAAGCAAGCGATGATCTGTGTTGCTGACTTCACACAGACACCCAGGCTCTCGCCAAACTGCGGCTCCTCGGGGCTAAAGGTCAAGGCGGGGCGATGAATGAGGACGATAGTGAATTGTGTCAGTAAGGAAAGCCATAGCGAGATGTATCCGGACGTCTCTCCAAGGCCATTCTTTCCTATGTATACCGTCAGAGCAATATCTGACTGGGAAGTCTGGATATTCTGACTCCACACATCCAGCTCTCGCTGGAGATGCTGAATCTTTCCGACCGCTCCGCGTCGGTCCGTCGTTGTGTACATCTGCTGCAAACAGCGAGACAAGATTTGAGAAAGTTGGATATAGTGGATGAATGGCTCCACACGGGTCGTTTCTCCGGGAAGAGGATAGGACAGTTGCTCGCAGTGCAGATCATCGAAATCAGCATTAATAGGTAGATCAACGTCTACGTCGGCATGCTGGACAGTCCGTGGTAGACCAAACAATACACTTGATTGCCTGGCGTGATGTCAGTATCAGACAGGATTAAAAGCGGGAAGAATGAGTCCGTACACGTCAAGTATATACACACACCACCATAACCGCTTACGCAATTCTGTTTCACCCAGAATATGGCGAAAGCGTCTTGAATGACGATGAAGACCAAGTGACTGGGCGAGCCTGATTGCCATCCCACAGACGCGCAGGCCTAAGGAATGCTGCGATGTGGTCTGTAGGTAAAGCAGATAGAGCAAGAGTGCCTGGAGGGTTGTGAGATCACCGCGACTTGGCATTCGTCCAAAGAGGTCGCTCAATATCCTGTCATAATGTGACTGTGTCAAGGTGTGATTCAAGACGTCCGAGTCAGGACTATGATGACTGAACGCATTGAGGGCGAGCAGTGCATAGGCTTGAAGTAAAAAGGAATTGTCGGAAGAGGCCCGGATACCCTGGAAGAGTTGGTCTAGAGCTGCGAAAAATTGCTTTGACAGGAGGACTGGATATAGAATGCCCCAACAGTGCTGGAACCAGTCAAAGACGGCCTCAAAGGCGGTAGGACCTTGTTGACAGAGGAAATCATATTCAAAATTTGGAAGATTCAAAAACTGGGGCTCAACCCAGTGCGGGTCAGGCTCACTCGGACGCATTCGAACACTCCCATGACACACTTTCAAAACATGTAAACGGAAGACACCTTCAGGGAAATGGTCAGAAGATTGAAAGCGCCTTTGATACTGCTGTTGGGCCGATAATATGAAATGCACGCCGGTCGTGGACCCTGCAAAGAATTCCGCATTGCTGTCCCCAAGGACCAGCCGTCCTAGGTGCCCGACCACGGGACCTTGGGAGGAGCGTTTGTGGGATGGTGGAACACTGTTTACATTTGAATGTAGTTGCTTCAGGCGTTCCAGTTCCTCATTCTGGCGGGCGACGGTAGCCCGCAACTCCTCCGCCTGCGCCGATACATCGCGTACTTGATCGCGGGCCTTTTTCAACTCATCCCTGAGCTGCTGGATAGTTTCCCGTGTGGGCTCAACATAGCTAATAGATGCTCAGTACTGCGAAATCAATAACAAGTTAGGGGAAAGAGTTAGGTACCCTCGAGGAGTGGTTTTTCGACGCAGCTGGGCCGATGTGGTGCATTCAACGCCTGCGCGGTCACACTTGCCACACTACTTCCCCAACCAGTCAGAACAGGATGTGCAGGTGGATAGTAGGAAATGCCTTACCTTCGGTTGTCGCCCATCACATTTGACCCGTTTTCTAGGAGAAAGTCAGTGTCGAGCAGTCCATCTTAAGCGATATCTTGCTTACACTCTGCACCGGTCACTGTTCGTGGATATTTTGATGATTAGCTCCAACAGAAGATAGGGAATGAGCGCCTACCTACCAAACCTGAACCATGATGCATCACGATGCAGCAGTTGATATCCTCGGTATGAGATGACGTGAGTGTATTGATGTTGGGGTACGGGATAACCGCTTATTCCGGCCTTTTTTTAGCCTGAGGCATCAGGTGGCCCTAAGGCATCCTACACCGTCCACTCTCCCGTTGATCCGCTTGACCAGACGACTCACCATGCTAGTGCCCATTTTGTCACTTCGCAGTAGCCTTTCTTTTCTTGTTTTTTGTACTCAACCTGGTTGAGAACAGGTTCAATGGCCTCTGCTGCCTCCTCCAGGCCACTGACGATATGGCAACTCGAGGCGTAGCGCTTGTGGACACTGACCAGCGCTGTCATGGCTTTCGGGTACCCTTCGTTCTGCTCGAATGGTTGATGATCATATGCGTTACTCGGTATAATAACTATCGTTCAAACATGTTATATTGCAAGAGGTAAGTGTGAAAATAGATTCAACAAATAACTACACAGGTTGGGAATGTGTACTAGAAATAGCCTATATATCTTGAAAACATCAAGCCATGGAGAAAATAAATACTAGCTACACCGACTCTCGATGCTCGACTACCTCCTTTTCCTCGTCTACATTAGCCATAACGGACTGATCGGTCTCCTTCATGTACTTGACGCACGACAGCACGCTCGGGCTGTCACGGAACATTCGGTCGATGTCTTCGAGGCTTCGTCCCGCGGTCTACTGAAGGTCAGTTTTCAAACAAAAATTAGACAGGGAGACTAAGATAGCTTACCTCCGGATACAGGAAGTATACGGATAGTGGAATGCAGAATCCAACACATGTATACACAATGTAATATCGGTACTCGATTGTGTCGATGGCCACGGGCGTAATCATTGTTACAGCGAAGTTCCTAACAGGTTTTAGTATCACCGAGCTAGTTTCAGGATGATACGGAAAAACTCACCACAACCAGTGGTTTGCAGTCGAGATACTAGACATAGCCACCCGCAACCGCGTCGGGGACACTTCAGTGCAGTACAGGAAATTGGCACCCAGGAATCCAATCGGAATAAAAAAGTTGAACAGGAACACAAACAACACACTGACTACCTGTGCGCCATAGTTCGACGTCGGGAAATATGTCGCAATAGCTAGTCCCATCATGCACGTAGCCATGCCAGTACCACTGAGCATAAGCACAAAGCGGCGTCCGAATCGATCAATAGCAAAGAACCCTATAAAGCAAGAGAGAAACTTCCAGGTCAGGGTGCCTCCGCTTAGGATACGAGCTGTTTCCGAGTCAATTCCCAGGCCAGACTCGAAGATGGTAGTCGAGTAGACCGAGATCAGATTTCCGCCTGACATTTGTTGATAGAATTGCAGGAGGATGCAGAGACCAAAGCGATACAGCAGTCGGTCTTCGCCCATGCGGAGAAGATCTAACAGTGACGCTGCCGTGTGGCGGGTTTCCTCCAGAGATATCTGCATAGCCGTGATCTCCCGGTGGATTTGGGTCGAATTCTCCGTATCATCCTTGAGCGCTGCTAGAGTGGCGTACGCCGCCTGTACTCGATTTTGTCGAACTAGCCATCGGGGAGACTCTGGCATGAATAAGATAGATGATGCAAGCACAAGAGAAAAGAAGATGGGGATTGCGACTGGGGGTCGCCAGGTGACGGGACCAGTTTTGAACTGATAGAAGCCCAGATTTATCCACGCCTGTAACATGTACCCCATTGATATGAAGACACCGTCCAAAACAACATGCTTGCCACGGTTGTGTGAACTGGAGCATTCGCTCTGCCACGTTGGGACGGTTCCACTTAGCATGCCAACACCCATGCCCAGGATAGTTCGACCGACAATCAGCTGGGTGAGCTGGAATGCCGATGCCTCGAGAACCTCTCCCACCAGTGTATATACCGCCCCAGCCAAAATGACCAGCTTCCGTCCAAAACGATCGGCGGTGTAGGAGCACGAGAAGGATCCGATGAGAGCCCCAAGGGTAAAAGTGGCAATCACCATGCCCTGGATGGTGGCATTGTCGCTTTTCTGGGCACCGTGGGTTGTAGCCGTGTCGATGCGAGGGAAATGTTCGACCCAATCAGGCAGAGTGGCCAGTCCAGCGACATTCGTCTGATTGTAGCCAAATAGGAGAAAGGCAGGGCACACTACCAGAATGAGCTGGGCGAGTGTCAAGGATGTTCCTCGAAGGCCAAGAAAGGAGGACATTGTGATTAAGCACAGTCAAGCAGGAGATGGAACGGGGGACCTGCACGAGCACAGATTTTGCTCGCTTCCCCGGATCAGAATTTATAGATCTTCTTTCGGAAAATTATGCATAGGGCCAAGATCCGGGGTTGATATTCCTTGTGGAGTTGATTTCATGGGGAATCGGAATAGGGTCCTATTCCTGACCGGACTGCTATCCCAGTCTGCTCGGGCCTGCTCAACTGAGCCAAATGGGGAGATATCTACGATGATCAAGGAAGCGTACAAGCAACTCTAGCTTGTGTCAAGTAGTCGAGAGTAGGTGCCTTGAAGGACTGGGAAAATGGGAGGTTCTCTATACGTAGACATTGAAAAATGACAGATGCAAACTTCAACTTCATTTATTTGTCTCAATTTGAATTATACGCTATCGACAAGCTTTCTGGGCCCTTTGGCCTCATTGACCACTCTATCGACCATCAACTGGCAACTCCCAAGATAATTCAACGGATCGCACAACTGTGCCAATTTGTCTTCTCCCAACTGTTCCACCACACGGGAGTCCTTCTTGAGAACGTCCAATAATGCCCGGTCCTCTTCTATAGCCGCCTTACATGCATTGTATACCACGTCGTGGGCCTGTTGTCGACCGATGAACTCGCCTAGGCTCATCATCACCGCTTCTCCAACGATCAATCCTCTGGTACAAAGGAGATTTTTCATCATCGAGGCTTCTTTAACTACCAGTCCCCCGAGAACAAAATTAGTTTGGTACAGTGCACCCACTGCCACCGTGAATGCCTCGGGGATGGCCGCCCATTCCAGGTGCCAGGGACCCGACGCTCGCTCAAAGTCCACCACCATAGCATCCAGCCCCAAGGAGGCATGGGATCGCAGCAACTTTGATGCAGCCAGAATCACCTCGCTGGAGATTGGATTCCGCTTCTGCGGCATAGTAGAAGATGCTCCGCGGTGAGGCACAAACGGCTCCGAGACCTCGTCCATCTCGTTCGAAGACATGATGATGAGGTCCAGGGCGATTTTCCCCAGTGTTCCTCCAATCAGGGCCAGATACCCAAGGATCTCCCCAATGTTATCGCGAGCCACGTGCCATGTGATCATGGGGTCTTCCAGACCTACTTCCTTGGCTAGCTGTGCTCGAACGCACAGTCCACTATCGTCAGTTCCCAAGGAGGCGAGTGTGCCCGCGGCGCCTCCGAACTGGACTAAGAGACACCGTTCTCGCAGTTGTTGAAGTCGGTCCTTGTGTCGTAAGATACTAGAAAGATAGACGGCACATTTGTATCCGAAGGTACAGGGCAGTGCGTGCTGGAGGTGGGTTCGACCAGCCATTGGACTACAACCGGATGGCATGAGGGTTAGTAGCTGATGTTTTTGTGTCTGGAGATGGTCTGTACTAACGTATCCCGGTGTTTCTCCGACAAAGAGGTCAGGATCTCAATGAGTGTGTCCAGCTTCCTCCCGACCAACTTCAATCCTTCTTTCATTTGCAACATCGAGGCCACGTCCATGATGTCCTGGGTGGTTGCACCCCAATGGATGTACTTCCCCATCGCTTCGGGGGTGTGCTCCACCAATTGCATGACTAGCGGAAGAACGGGGTATCCAACAATCTCGGTCTCTTGTGATAATCTCTCGAAGCTAAGCATATCGTGTCAGTACTTCGTCCGAGTGATACCGGGGATATCTGAAGCATACTCCAATTTAACCGTATCAAGGGCAGCCGTGATTGCAGCTCCGGCGTCGCGGGGGATCACTCCGACCGTGGACTCGGCACGAGCCAACGCCGCTTCAGTTTGAACGAGATATTGAGCGTAGGCTTCATCGCTGAAGATGTGACGGATCTCCTCTGTACCGAACAGATCGCGGAAGATTCGCGAGTCAAAGGCGGAGATGGACATGGTGGGAAGTGTAGCGGCGCAACCCAATGGCAGCGACTACAAAGATACTTAGAGAATTGAATGCGCAGATCATTCAACCTCTCCAGCAGCTATTCACAAGAGAAAAGCAGAAGTTGAAATTTATAGCTACACGCAGTCAACATGAGGGGGGCGCGAATCCCCTTCGGAATAGGATCTAATCCCGAGCACCCACTGACAAGATGTGGATCACATTGACATTGAAGCACTGAAATGCATTCAAAGACTCTGGTATTTAGTGCGACATCACATGCAGATTTAGAAGTAGGTAGTTCCACCAATTCAACCTCAAACAGTATCCTGCTTGCGCCAAATGTGGCTCTTGTGGGATATCCACATACGTATACTTCGTCGACAACGGACTGGTCTGATGCAGTACGAAGTGCTCATCGAATAAAGCTCTGGATTATGTACCTAAGACCTATCTTCACTCAGGTCGTGATCCTGCTTCTTGCTAAACTCGCCCCTTCTGGAATCGATCGTACCAATTCCGGCCTTTGACGGCCATAACATGATACCAGCGACTGGGTACCATATACTTCCCACCGTCGCTCGCCTCTGCTATCATCTTCGCCATTTCATCCAGGTACATATTAGCCTTGACATCCTGGGGTTCAAGGAATACCCCAAAGTCTCCGGATACGGCGGAGACATGGATGTCTAAAAGAGACAGTACTGCTGTGCCAACTCGCGTGTAGATTGGGTTTGGGATCTGTCTCATCGTGTCCGTATTGCAGCTGAGGAAGCGATCAAGGAGTTCGTGTGTTACAATCATCCATTTGATCGTGATTTCCATACGGATTGTGCTTTTCAGGGTGGATTGTGGTTGGGCGTCAGGCCGCGGGAGTGTGTAGAAAGGCTGTCTAATTGCATCTGGATCTCGGTAGCTTTTGCCAGTTACGAGCTCATACATGGCGAGATTTATATGGCGATATTCGAGAAACAGGGGCGCTAAAAATGAGTCAGATGTTCGTTCAACTGCTTCATGAGAACAGGTAATTACCACACAGCAGGCCTATAGGAATCCTTGTCCTCCAAGACTGCATCTGATTATCGAACTTTATCAGCACATCTCGTATGTGAGATTCAACTGGCGGAGCAGCTGCAGAAGAATTTCTAAAACCGAGGGAAGTAGTAGTCTCATCGAAAATGCGTTGTAGCTCGAACCATGCGGCTACCTGTCGATCAATCAATGTGGGAGAATGCACTAAGTATTCGAGACATTCTCTCATCCAGTCATTGAACACGAGCATGTTCGGTCGATGTGTTTTTATTGCTATACTGCTCCAGTTTAGCCTGATATTCCAGGTTTTTTGACCGCCAGTACTTACGTGGAGGTCAAGTGGTAGCATCCTAGAATGGTTCTAGCCTGCTCTGCCATATACTAATCATACACCCCATCTTTACCTCCTGTGGCTCCTGGCTTCTCAGATACCCTGCGCTTCGAGGCCAACCCGATTTCCAAGGCCATAGTTGCAGCGATATGGATATATTGATAGTGCTGTAGCTTCGACGGCGAGTCAGGAGGATAATAAAAAACCGTCATGAGAAGCAACGCTTGAACTAGTTCCAACGACTTTTCAGCTTGGACAAAAAATTGATCCACGTAGAGCTGGATCATCTCGCGATTGAGGACAGCCGCCACACCGGCATCCACGACTATAGACGCAGCGGCGATCACGGATAGGAAGAGCACAGGCTTCGAGCGACGCAACTCAGAGGCGGTTGTACTTGCTAGGAATACCACAGTTAAGCAGAACTTCATGAGATCGTGGGCATAAATGTTTACCAGTGTGTCAGCCAACTCCAGCGAAATCACGCCGCGGTCAATCACATCACTGTATGGGGGCATTTTACGGTGATATTTTCATTACGGTGTCGCCCGCCAAGCACGGATAAGTGGTTGGCGGGCGACGCCGCAAGTAGTTATCATATTCCACGCAGGAAACAAGTTCTACTTCTGGTATCCTGTTGGTGATACGGTTATGGGGATTTTCTCGGGGGATTTGGACGAGATTGTCGAGATTATCGCTACGCGGGGACCGAAGGCTCTGCGGACGAAACGCATCTATGCCTAAACAATATAGCACGATACAATTTGGTCTTTCCACTAGCGAAGCCTCTATGTTTATCGATCCTATGGCGGTGCACCCTGAAACCCTGCGCAGTATTCGGACTCCTAAATGCGAATAAACTTATCACAGCTTGAGCGTCTCTACCGGCTAATCCGAATTTGGACATGCTCCGTAGACGTGATCTCCATATTCGGGGCCTTTTTAAAATCGGTTCCTGGTAGTCCCACTTTTTGCCCGAGACTTTTCCAGAATTAGTCCACACTCCTATCATTAACTGGCCCTAATCCACGATAGGACTAGTGTGGGATGTGAGGGTTCTTATAAATTCTGATATAAGCAGCTGGCCATGGCAACATGGAAGATTTCCGCAGAGCCAGAGTGCATTTGTCAGGGTCTGTCATCCCATCGGATCCACTGAGCAATCTAAGATGCGTCCCACATAGATTGGGTGATTAGCTATCTCTAACATTTCCGACATCGGATCCATATTCGGATGCCGTGACGGCTGAGAGCTCGATGGCTGTTGGTTGATAATTTTCTCTACAGTTCGGGTGCTTCTCTTGAATCGGCATGCCGACGGTCTACCATGGTTTCCATGCTGTACCGTGCTTATATTGTGGGGCCGATGCTCCGTCAGCAATTGTCATTAGGTATATAAACCCTCAGGGTTCCTGTTTCTGAAGCCTATCATTTACTCTATCCAGCAATTTCTCTCTTTTTTCTCTCCCTCATCTTACAAGATGCGTAGCTTCGCTAGTCTCGCACTTCTTCCCTTTGCAGCCGCCATTCCGGCGCGCGTTGCACAAAATACCCAGTCAAGCTACGACTACATTGTCGTCGGAGGAGGTACAGCCGGTCTGGTTGTTGCCAACCGTCTCTCCGAGCATCAGAACACTTCCGTGCTAGTCATCGAGGCCGGAGGATCCGTGTACAACAACACCAACGTGACCGACACAACAGGATACGGTAATGCCTTTGGCACCAATATCGACTGGGCTTACCAGACCGTGGACCAAGAGTATGGTGGAGGATCGCCCCAGACACTGCGAGCTGGAAAGGCCCTTGGCGGAAGTAGTACCATCAACGGCATGGTTTACACTCGCGCACAGGATGCACAGATCGACGCGTGGGAGGCTATTGGGAACAAGGGATGGAACTGGGAGAACCTGTTCCCGTACTTCAAGAAGGGTGAGGGCTTCCAGGTTCCTAGCGATTACTCCTTCCTGCAGGGCTCTGGCGTCACCTACGACCCTGCTGCCCATGGATACGAGGGACCGTTGAAGGTTGGCTGGCCTCCTGTGGAAGAGAGCGATGGTCTGGCGCAGACCTTGAACAAGACGTACCAGAGCTTGGATGTCCCGGTTTCTTACAACCAGGATCTCAATGGAGGCGAAATGGTGGGATACAGTCTCTACCCGATGACCGTGGACTCAAAGTTGAACGTCCGTGAGGATGCTGCACGCGCATACTACTACCCGTACCAGTCTCGGAAGAACTTGCATGTCCTGCTCCACACACACGCCAACCGATTGACATGGAAGGATGGTGAGGATGTTACTGCTAATGGCGTCGAGGTGACTCTGGCAAACGGTAATACAACAACCATCCATGCGAAGCGTGAGGTCATTCTCTCCGCAGGATCGTTGAAGTCGCCTATTCTGCTCGAGCTTTCCGGTATTGGAAACAAAGCGTGAGCCCTCAATAAACCCCTAGCTATTGTCCTAAAGCTCACAAGAAAACAGTATTCTCTCCAAATACGGCATCGAGACCAAGGTCAACCTCCCCACCGTCGGCGAAAACCTGCAAGACCAAATGAACAACGCCATCGAGTACAACTCGAAGAAGAACCACACCCAGCTCCCTGACTTTATCTCGTACCCAACTATCTCGCAGCTGTTCCCCAACACCTCCACCCAAATCGGCGCTAGTCTGTACAAGCAGCTGCCCAACTACGCCGCCAAGGTCGCCTCGGCCAACGGCAACGTAACCAACGCCAGCGATCTCGAGCGTTTCTTCAAGATCCAGTGGAGCCTGATCTTCAAATCGAATATCCCCGTGGCCGAAGTCCTGATTGAGCCCTCTGGTGATATCTTCGACACGGAATACTGGTCCCTCATTCCCTTCTCGCGTGGTAACATCCACATCTCCTCCGCTGATCCCACCGCTGCTGCCACTATCGACCCCAAGTATTTCATGCTGGACTTTGACTTCGAGTCTCAGGTCCAGGTGTCTCGTTTCATCCGTGAGCTGTACAGCACCAAGCCATTCGCGGACCAGGTTGGGGATGAAATCAGCCCTGGACTGTCTATTGTTGCTGCTGATGCTGCTGATGCGGCCTGGTCGGACTTCCTCAAGTTGGGCTGTATGTGCAATTCCTTTCTCTTTTCCAAGCCATGAAGCTAACTTTGATAATAGACCGATCAAACTTCCACCCCATCTCTACCGCTGCCATGATGCCAAAGGATATCGGAGGAGTCGTTGACACGTCGCTCAAGGTCTATGGTACCTCTAATGTTCGTGTTGTTGATGCCTCTGTTCTTCCTTTTCAAGTTTGCGGACATTTGCAGAGCACGATCTATGCGGTTGCTGAGCGTGCGGCGGATATTATCAAGGCTAGTATTTAAAAAGGCTAAACTTTCGATTTAATACTGTTATAGATGCGTACTAGTGATGATGTATTAATATACAAAAGGTGTGATATGCACTATATCTTTGCATACTTCCTTTTCTCGCCATATACCTTTGATCTAATGAACGAAACTGAAATACACATTGGGGACACAGGGTATTCGTACTTCACAAAAATCCTTCTAATTACACGTAGGGGCAGGGATCACCTCTTTATCGCCAATGTTTCAGAACATAGAAGCCAATTAAAGCTTGGTGTTGAATACCCCGAACTACGGAGATAAGCCAGACCAAACCTCGGTCTATTCACCAGCGACAAACCGAACTTCGGGCATAAGCCAGCATGTGTAGAGACGCTTATTCGGTGTATTACAGGGGTTTGGGGATTCTGTTTATACTATAAAAGCGCCATTCCACTGCTTTCCTTGATTGCAGCGTGTGGGCCAACTACAGATACACTTGACGTTCGATCATCACTATCCAGAAGCATACTATCCGAAATCATGAGTCTCTCTGGACTTATCGGGTCAATCAACACGGCGGCTGCCAATACTGGCTCCAGCCATGTGAACGACAACGAATGCAGGGAACTTCTTCAGGCTTGTGAGAGATTGCGAAGTGCATATGAGACGCCTTTGGATGTTGTCACCCGGTTGTATTACTCCGTATGTATGCTGGGCTTTATTATGCGATATATGCATATTGACAACATATAGATTCCTCAGGCAATCGTGCTTCGGTTGGGGGTTGACCTGAAGTTATTCAATGCTGTGGTCAAGCTCTCAGGCAAGAGTGCGAATGGGGAATTCAGCGTCCAGCAACTTGCTGGTGAAACAGGTGCAGAACCTTTGCTTCTCGGTAGGCTTCTGAAAACATCTAATAAAGCTAGATAATGATGAACTGACTTAACCAATAGCACGTATCCTGAGATTCTTGGCCACTATGGGAATCGTTCGGGAGGTCTCCAAAGACACTTTCAGCTCAACTCCATCGACAGCAGCATTTATCTCGAGCTCGTCTCTTGCATCAGTTGTAATTCATGGGTACGTCCTTTCTTCAGACACGCAGAGCTACCTACCGCAACTAACCGGGTACAGAACCCACTTCCTTAACATTCTCTCAAAGCTCCCTGAGTACTTTGCACAGAAAGGATGGAATAGTCCAAATGATGCGGATGATGGTCCATTCCAGTTCGCCACGGGGACCCAATCACACTACTTCGACTTCCTTTCGTCAGAACCATACTACCAGCAAGCGTTCAATACCACCATGACTGCTTCTTTTCGAAGGAAGGGCCAGAGTTGGTTTAAATTCTTTCCAGTCGAGGAGAAATTGCGTGTTGAGGATCCCATGGCTCCTTTGTTGGTCGACATCGGCGGTGGTCAGGGTGAGGATATTCTCGCCTTCCGAGACAAGTTTCCTCATTTGCCTGGGAAGCTAATACTACAGGACTTGCCTGTCGTCGTTGAAGGAATCCAAGGCACGATTTCCCCAGTCGAAGCGCAAGGATACAACTTCTTCGACGAACAACCCAATAAAGGGGCCAAGGCGTACTACTTGCGCACAGTCCTGCACGATTGGCCTGATAAGCAGGCTCTTCAAATCCTGGCTCGAGTTCGTGAGTCTATGACACCTGAGTCGTTATTGTTGATCAACGAGGTTCTGGTACCGGAGACAAACCGGTCCTTGTCTTCTGTTGTGGCGGATCTGGCGATGATGACTTCATATGCTGCATTGGAGCGGACACAGGCGCAATTTGAGGCAGTGTTGAACGAGGCTGGATTTGAGCTTGTCAATGTTTGGAGGCCTGATGGAGTCGAAGTTCAATCTGCGCAGCAGGCAGTGTTGTTAGAGGCTCGTCTGAAGCGGTGATATATATATCAGCCCTAAAGTGTTATTTATAGTAACATCAGCGCATTGTCTCTATTTTACTTTACACGTACTGGATCCAAATAATCATGATATCTCGCTTTGCAGCACAAAGCTTTGAGAAGAGCAGACTGTCAGAAATGATAACCGTTCGGGTGGTTACCCTTTTTGGCCGGGATTCCGTTGAAAAACGCCAAGGCAATTCAGGGCCAGTCATCACCTTAAGTCCAGCCAATCACAGTTCACCGCCCATTGCCCCGTTATGACTCGATGACGGCACCCGTGATTTGCATCTGATAAGAATTTCTTTTCTTTAAGGCTCTCGTGTTTTTCGATTGTGTGCCTCTCAATGCTTCTTATTCATGGAATCTTGTGAAGTATGTACCTGAAGGTCGATAATCCGCAATCATGCCATTCCAGCCACTCGAATCCGCGCCTCTGAATCCTCCGTCGCAAACTTCCACCAACGCGGGTCCACTGCATCCCAGAAGCTTGTCCGGCAGCTTTAACGTTGCCTCCAACCCCAGCGCTGTTTCACAATTATCGCACGAGCATTTGAACTCGCATAGCTGTGTTACATGCCGCCGGAGAAAAGTACGCTGCAATAAACGGTCACCATGCTCGAATTGTATTAAGGCGGGGATCGAATGCGTCTTCCCTGCTCCGGGGAGAGCTCCCCGCAAACAGAGGCGGCAGCAAGATCCGGAATTGCTTTCGCGGTTAAGGCGCCTTGAGGGCATGATCGAGCAGATTAAGGATAATAAGACGGACAATGCATCACTTCCGTCACGGTCTCCCGTCGAAGGTGTCGCGAATGCAGCAGCCAATGAGCAACCACAACCAAGTGAGAAGGGGAAAGAACAAGCAGTGGGAGGAGAACACCAAGCATGCCCGTTCATGGTTGATCAGGATCTTACAAGGATGGCACCGCAGAATCTGGAAAATGAATTTGGGCGGCTGGTCATCGATGAAGGACGGAGTCGTTATGTGAGCAATCGGTTTTGGGCAACTATGGGTGACGAGATTGAGGAGTTGCAGGACATTCTTGATCCTTCGTCGTCGGAAGATGAAGACTATCCTTCTCCGGAGTCATGTACAGGCTCGACCGGTCATGACGGATTCTTATTTGGCTTCTACTCGCTATCTCATTCCCTGCGGGGCTACCATCCACCCCCAGAGCAGGTTACTTTTCTTTGGAATGTCTACCTGGAGAATGTCGCACCGGTGATATCACTTCTTCACAAACCTACATTAAGTACCCTCTTCAATGGCCCGGCGCAAAACCCTGATATGTTGGATAAAAACTCCGAGGCTTTGGTATTGACGATATATTTCGTCGCCGTTGTCAGTTTGTCGCAGGAACAATGCCAATCGAAGCTGGGTGAAAGTCGTGAGGCAGTGGTTAGCCGCTATCGATTCGCCGTTGAGCAGGCATTGTCTAAAGCGAATTTGCTAAATACTCAAAATCTGATGCTTCTCCAAGCAGTAGTGCTTTTCCTTATCGGTGTGCGTCGAGAGGACGATACGAAGTTTGCCTGGGCCATGACTTCGGTTGTTCTTCGGCTCGCTCAAGGACTTGGCTTGCATCGGGATGGCACAAATTTCGGTCTGAAACCCTTCGAAACAGAGATACGTCGACGATTGTGGTGGCACGTCTGCTTGTTGGATATCTGTACCTCTGAAGACCACGGAACTGATGCGCAAATTCATGAAAAGCTGTACGACACTCGACTCCCACTGAATGTCAATGACGATGATATAGCACCTGACATGCAAGAACCCCCTGTCGAGCGGGGGGGCTGTTCAGAAATGACCTTCTCTTTGGTTCGTTTTGAGATCACCACCATCCTTCGTCGGGTAAGCTATAATTGTCCGGGTGGCCGATACCGCTTGGGACATGCGCAACCGTCCCTTGATACGTGTGGAAACATGCTCCAAGCGGTGAACCACCGCATGGAAGAGCGATATCTTAGACATTGTGATATGAATATTCCAATCTATTGGGTCTGCGCTACTGTCGCTCGCTTAATCCTGGCAAAGACTTGGCTTATCATCCACCATCCAATGACCCGGGGTGATCGTGGGGCCAAATTATCAAGTGCATCTCGAGAAAATCTCTTTCTTACTTCGATCGAAGTGATTGAATTTGCTCGTTTACTGGAAAACAACGAGCACACGTCCAAATGGGGTTGGCTATTCACCACGTACAAACATTGGCATGCTATAGCTTTGATTCTATCTGAGCTTTGTGTCCGTCCTCTCTGTCCGATTACCGATCGCGCGTGGCTGGCCGCGTATTCTGTGTATGGAAGGTTAGAGCAGCATGCTAAGCAAAAGAAGGGCATGATGTGGCGGCCAATAGCAAAGTTGATGAAACGAGCTGCTGCTGCCCGGGCCAAACAACGGGAAGAAATGCAAACTGAGCCCACGGCTTGCCCAGCGATAACTGACCCTACAGTCTCACCGGCACAGACGGGACAAGGATATGCTAATATTTGCCTTCCTCAATTCATGCCTCGTATTGAAGCTCCTTTCGACACACAGGTTCCAATGTCCACTCCGTCGCAGGCATCGTTTAATCAGCAGCCGGCCATGGGTCTTGGTGATATCGATATCTCTAAGGGGGATATGGGTGTTATCAACGATATTTTTCCGGACACGGACTTTTTGGCCGTTGAACATACGACCCAGTCACCAGTTATCGGGACAGACACATCAGCTGGCATCCCAAGTGCCCCAATGGCACCGATGGAAGGCCAGCAAGTCCCGTCGAATTCGCAACTCAATTGGGAAGAATGGGATCAAGTCATGCGTGACTTCCAGATGGACCTGCAAAGAACGCAGGATAGTCAGCCGTTTGGGAATATTTCCGACTGGCTCGCATGAGTGCCTGCGTGATCTCATTATCTGGTTCGACTACGAAGTTATGACCAAGCCGATAATCTCCCATCTCTTAATCAATCTATAATACCTCGATCTCCCCTCGACAACGCATGATGACCCGGAATTATGTAGATACTTTACTTCTTGTATATGTCGAATGATGATAAGGACTGTCCATATTCATATCATGCCACAGTTTGTGGTTATGTGGCACATCACTGTATTATACCCTCACATTTTGTCATTCTCTATTACTCTCCTATTTGCGTCAGCAAAATAATGCACTTTCTCCCCTCTGGATGAAGTCGCAGTAAGCCTATTGAAATAGACAAAATAGACAAAATAAGGATATCCAAGTTTCTTCCGAACTTTTGTTCTCGATATTCCGTTATTGATCAAGGGCGCGACAAAGTCACGTGGTCTCGGAGATTGTACACTGTAGCTTCATCACCTCCGACACCTCATCATCCACGCCAACCATCGCCAATTGCTGCGTTTCGCTTGTGCTTCATCCTCGAATACTTTACTTCCACTACTAGTCACTACTGGCACCCATCCACCTCCATCGAAAACAAGCCTTCCACCCAAATCCAACAACAACAAACCTCCGCAATGGCCCCGAAACGACACGCAGCAGCAACAACCCCCTCCACCACCAACAACAACACCACCACAACCCCCAAACCCACCCTCTCCTCCGGCCCAGCCACCCTAAAACCCAACGCCTCCCCGCTCGAAATCGCCCACTATGTGCTAAACCAGTACCTCATGACCACACCACAGCGCACGAAGCTGCTGGACGCCTTCATGGGCTTCCTGGCGATTGTCGCGGTAGCGCAGTTCTTATACTGTGTGCTTGCTGGGAATTATCCGTTTAATGCGTTTCTGAGTGGGTTCTGTGCGGCTGTAGGGCAGTTTGTGCTTACGGCGAGTTTGAGGATGCAGACTAGTGATGGTTCTGGTTCTGGTGAGGGTAAGAAGGAGGGTGGTAAGGCTGGTGGGAAGGGGAAGAGTGTTAGGGTTGCGGGGGAGGAGAATGGTGGTGGTGAGGTTTCGCATGAGAGGTCCGTTTTTACTTTCTCGTTCTGGTTGGGTTAAGAAAGTTGCTGACTGGTACAGGGCGTTCGCGGACTATGTCTTCGGAAGTGTGATCTTGCATTTCTTCTGCGTGAACTTTATCAACTAAGCGGTTGGACGAGATATCAGAATGGAGGGAATAGGGTCAATTCGTCGCACGGTTATGCTTGGGTTTGGTTGATTCAAACCTCTTGCATGGTTTCTTGCTGTTCTATCTGATGAGCGTCCTGCGGGCTTCTTCGTTTCCTTTGCGCATTGATTGATTTATATCATGCGAGCGTTATATCACTGTCAGATGTCAATTCGAGGATCAAAAGCGTTGTAATGAATTCCGGTCTAAATGCCATGCAGTTATATAATCTTCCAAATATCCATAGAGAGCCCTTGTATCCAAACGCCAAACAGGGTATATGTACACATATGCACTATAATTCCAACAGAATAACCTCTAAAAGGCCCTTCCTCCTCCCCTCCTCTTCACCTGCGGCCTCCTCACAACACTCCCACCACCTCCACGACCAGCACCAGCACCAGCACCAGCACCAGACGACGAAGACGACGACGCAGTAACCCCTCCAATCCTCCTAGCACCGACACCAGGCCGTCTTACCACCGACGAACCAACTTCAACCTCATGCTTTCGTCTTGAGGGGTCGTTGCGCTCCTGTTCGCGCTTTTTGTCAGCGGCGGCGCGTTCGCGGTCTGCGGCGATTTGAGACTCGATTTCCATGCGGCGGTTGAATTCTAGTTCTGTGACGCGGCGTTCGCGTTGCGAGTAGCCTTTTTCTTTGACGGAGTAGAAGACGCCGCCGAGTTCGGCGAGCCACTGTTGGAAAATGTTAGTTTTCGTTCATGTCGATGCAAAGGGGAAAAGAGAGGGGATATGACTTACGTGTGGATCCACGGCAGTGACGGTAGACATGTACTCTTTGGCCGTGAGAATCAACTCGTGGTAGACCACATACTCAGGTACATATCCCAAACCGTACAGCGCACTAGTCGGATGAAGCTGCATAGTCACACTCGTCCGCAGATTAATAAACTCCCCAATACCCTTCACCCTCGCAGCCTGGTGATAGAAACCCGAGCAAATACACTTCCGAGCAACATCCCAATCCGTCCCACAGCTGAGCAGCGGCATCTTCTGCGCAACCATGATATCATGCAACTGCTCGCGGACTTCCTTTGCGCGTCGCAAAGCCTTGGAATGCAGGAAGTGTTTGTTGCACCATGAGTCTGAGTAGCCGTTGGACTTCCATTGTGTGTAAACGTGGAGGAGGGTTAGGTGGTCAGATTCAGGGACGAAGAATTTCTCGCGCGCAGCGTCGGATTCTTCCTGGCGTTCTTTGGGGCGGTAGAAGACGCTTGGGACGGAGAGCATGGAGACTATTGTTAGCATTTCCTCGCTGCATTCGTATTCTGAAGATGCGGTGATGAGGAGTTTGGCGAGGGGCGGGTCCATGGGGAAGGGGGTCATTTTGCGGCCTAGTGGCGTTAGGTCTCCGAGGTTATCGAGGGCTCCTAGAGACCAGAGTTCAAATAGGGAGGTTGTAATTGTTTCTTGCGGTGGGGGGTCCATGAAGTCGAAATCCAAGAGGTCTTTCACGTCGAGCGATTTCAGGAGAAGTACTGTGTTGGAAAGACTGGTTCGTTGAATCTCGGGAATCGTTTGCAGGTAGAGTTCGTTTTTATACCCCATTTCTGTGAAAAGACGATAGGCCTTTCCTGGTCCTGTTCGTCCGGCTCTTCCAGATCGTTGGTTGGCGTTTGCTTGGGAGATTGGGGTGATCTGAAGCGTGTCCATACCCATCCGGGGGTTGTAGACCTTCAGCTTCGAGTATCCAGAGTCGACGACATACATGATGCCGTCGACAGTCAAACTCGTTTCAGCAATGTTTGTCGCGACGACCACCTTGCGGACCCCAGGAGCAGCTCTTTCGAAGATTTTCGCTTGCTGCTCCGCCGGCATTTGGCTGTATATGGGCAAGATGCTGAGCTTGGGTGGATCGTTTAACATTTTCAGCCGTTCATCGACCAGCTCACATGTCGCCTCAATGTCTTCCTGTCCTGTCATAAAGACAAGGATGTCGCCAGGTCCCTGTGAAACATGGATAGCCAAGACCTGCTTGACTGCACTGTCGACATAGTCCTCACAAGGAGTGCGCGAGAAATGAACATCAACCGGGAACGTTCGTCCGGGGATAATAAACTCTGGTGCACCACCGTAGAAACGCGAGAAGCGTTCTGCATTCATAGTGGCCGATGTGACGATCAACTTCAAATCCCTTCTTCTAGTCAAGACCTTCTTCAGAAGACCCATCAGGACATCGGTGTTCAGTGCTCTCTCGTGCGCCTCGTCCATAATAATGCAGGAGTACTTGTCGAGATCCGGTTGAACTAGCGACTCTCGTAGAAGGACACCGTCCGTCATATACTTGATGACAGTTTCGTCGCTGGTACAATCCTCAAATCGAATCGCATATCCGACAGAGCCGCCAAGGTCCACTTCCATCTCTTCACTGACACGTTTCGCAACACTCATAGCAGCCACACGGCGAGGTTGTGTACACCCGATCAAGCCAAACTTCGAGTATCCATCCTCATGCAGGAATTGTGTCAATTGCGTCGTCTTCCCGGAACCCGTTTCGCCAACAACGACAATAACCTGGTTATCACGAATAACCCGTAATAAATCCTCACGGACCGCAAACGCCGGCAAGAACTCTCTCTGCTCACGCAGCGTCTTGCTCTTACTAAACGCACTCTGCCCACCCTCATCCTTCTTCATATGCTTCGCAAACTTATTCCCACCCTTATACTCCTCATCAACCGGCATAGCAACAGCACTATCCCCCTCATCCTCCTTAACCCCCATCAAATGCCCCAATGCCGTACCCGCCACAGTAGTCGCATCCTGAGCCTGCTTCTGCCGCTCTCTCTGCTGACGCCGGTCCCGAACAACCTTACTCCCCTTCCGACTAAACACAGCCATATCACTCTGCGGATCGCGTACAGCGGAGACCGGCTCCAGCTGCTTTGTGAAAATCGTTCGGCCATCGAGGAAAGGCGGTCGTAGGTCGTGGACGAGTAAGTGGACTCTGGTTCCTTCTTCGTCTTCGGGGGCAAAGTCGCCGTTGAAATCTCGTCGTTGGGCAACGCCCGATGTCAGCATTCGATTGGTTTCCCAGTCGTCGATGTCTTTGCGCTTCGCGTCGCGCAGCTGTGGCGGTAAGTTGCTCTTCAGCCTTTTGGCTGGGGGGCCGTCGGAAGCCATGGTGGGTGAGGTAGGGATTAGGAGTAGTGGTGAAATGTTAATTCGGAGGAAAGGAAGGATATACAGGTGGCAGGAATGGCCACTAATGGTCTGCGCCGAAAAGTGATGAACTCGGAGGTTGAAGTTGATATCGTATCGCCGACGTGCAAACGGTGCAAACATGCTAGATGTCACGTGTGACTTGTACACATCGAGGGGTTTATCGAAAAAGATGTTCTTTTCTTGGGATACTATTGCACTTTTCAATTATTCTGAATTGTCTACTTATCTTTGTTTTGTATAATTTTAACATCGTTGTCGACCGTCTCCAGTGGAATCGGCCAACATTGACACCGCCGGCGAGTTCGTTGACCTCCATCATCTCCGATATCAAGCCCCGCGTCGCAGTTCACAGCTTCACGCCGCACATAATTCAATAAAACACCATGGCTAGCCAACCGCAAATCAACCCCAAGAAGCAGCAGGGTTCGTTTTAATCCCCTTCATTCTTTTGAGACGGGGCATACGGGTTCTGGAGAGACTGACCAAATCTCCGTGAACAGAGCTGCAGCTTCAATACACGAACTTCAAGAACACCCTGCAACAAATGGCACAGAAGATTGGTGATATGGAGCAAGAAGGAGAAGAGCACAGGTGAGCTTTCTTGGACATGCATAGGTCTTGGTGACGACATGGTGGCTACAGAGTGGTTGCGCCTGCAGCTGGCTTCCCTGATTTTCAAAACTCCGGGGCTAATACTTGGTTCCTCTAGACTTGTCATCGAGACCCTCGAACCTCTCCCTAAAGAACGAAAGTGCTTCCGCATGGTGAACGGCGTGCTGGTCGAGCGCTCAGTCGCAGACGTCCTCCCCGCCCTCAAAACGAACTCTGATGGATTAAAGCAAGTGCTAGAGGAGATGCTGAAGCAGTACAAGTCGAAGCAAACAGAGCTGGATGGATGGAAGGTAGGTTTAACCTCGACAGTCGATATGGCATTACGGGATTGTGGACGTGATATTAACCTGCCGGTTTTACAGAAAAAGAACAACATTCAGGTCGTGCAGCCATAGACGGGATAATACGTTTTTCTTGTTATGTTCGCAACTCGCCTCATTGTATTTCTTCGAGTCACATATTGGGTCACTGTATGATTGAGACCAGCAACGGCGTTAGGGGTTTCTGGAATCACAAAAGACTTGGACATTCGAATCACTGATATCTCTTGATCCTCGCCTTATTTCTTTTGATGAAATTCAACAGCGCGGTCGTGCCCAAGCTCTCAGACTTGGAGGGAAGTGTATGACTGATACTCCATACGTCAGCAGGTTGGACATGTTGATGCGAACGCGCGCAGGGATAGGATTGTAGCGATAAGGCGGGGGTTTTTGAGACGCATTTGTGCCCAAGTATCTGGATCTAGACTGGATGAGTATATCAGGCGTTAATCAACAGCCTGAGGCGAGCAATGTAGAGCTTCACACATTTACTTGGTAACCAATCAGAAATCCTACATATATATATATAAAATCAGGATTGTTGCTTCCCCTTTGACTAGTACTAATGTCATAAGTGCCTCATGCAATCTATAGTAAGGTCCGAATGAGTTGGCAAACAGTGTTGGGTCCGGAAAACGCCCATGCATGGAAGGCTGTTGTGGCTGCATTTCGGTTTTAAATTAGTTGAGACAGACAGATCTGATTGGTGGCATTATCGAAGTCTTTCAGCATCAATTGCTGGACATCGAGCCCTTCAGGAAATCTCGAACCGTCCATTGGCATTGGTGCCCTGCTTCACATGAGCCTTGGGCAGTGATACTCATGCCTCAATACCGAACAGAATCAAGTACTTTGTCCGTACTGCGTATATGGCTGTCCGTCAGTTGACTTCGAGATGGCACGCATGCCTGACGCGCTAATAGAGGGGACCCCCGCATTGCAATTTGGAATCACGGCCGGAGGATGACACATTTGACAGGGAGCATGGTTCTACTTCGGATCCCTCGATGTCAGCTACTGCGCCGCAAAGAGATGCGGATTGTTATTGGTCCCAGATTCCCGGCAGCTTTGGTGAGTCCCAGGCAAACCATGCGAAATAAACAGCTTCCAGACATGGTCCTATCGAAGCCATTGATCATACCAGGATCTCGGATACAGTTCCATGAGAACCCAGTTGGTTTGGGTGCAAATATTGCCGCAGCACGCTCCGTTCAGTTTTGTCTGATTCCGAGGGTTTTCCTTTGTCACATCCTTGTACTTTTTTCCAAAGCATGCCGAGCTCGAACTTAGTCCGGTAAGATATATGACTGCGGAGACGGACTCGATGCCTGATGCAGTATCTCCGTCAAGTTTGCCCAAACAGCAAGTGATTCCTGAGATTAGATCCATCTGTATGCACTTGTTAGTGGATCTGATAGTTCCTATTCGTCTTCTCATGCATGCAACCAGAAGCATCGAACAGACCAGGGCCTGGCCTTATCGATCACGCACTACTATCGCGAGTATCGTCCACAACACGGTCCAAGCCGTGGTCCCATGTACTTTTGCAGCACAGCTATTCTTGTTGGGTCCGAATAGTAATATGTAGGTAGTAATGGCAAACAACCATATGGTCGGGTTCAGTCTGTCAAGTTCGAGGTCACGTTTCTTACCATACCATACATATCTCGTTCCGTGACCCCTCGATTCCCCAGAGAGCTTAATCCCAAATAGGCAATCCGTAAGATACCAAGGCGTATGACTGGTGTAATAGACACCTCAGGCCTTAACCACAGCCTTGTTAATTCTCCGGAGTCATTGACTTCTTTCATCCTATCAACATCCTTCCCTCATCAGATCCATCTTTTAGAACTGCGCGCAAAGAACCAAATAGAGCGTTGTTTGTATATCCGTCTTATTCGGCGTTGTATTGACCCGCGTACCACTTTCTGGCTCTTGTCGCTGTGGTTCGCCAATTGCGGCCTCCAGTTTTTTTTACCGGCCAGCAGCGCTTCTGTGTGGACGACGCGACCTGCTCTCCCCCAAGCTTCCTCTCTCGTTGGTCAACTTCGTGCTTGTTTCTCGGTTTTTTGGCTCAGCGCAACGTGCCACCATATTTACATTTATTTGACCCACTGCGCGCGTTGCATTATCGCCCGTTTTCCTGTCCAGATTATCTCGAGCAGGGGGCGCGCATAGTTGACGTTATACTGCTGCGGTACTCGGTACTCTCTTGTGTACGTGCTTTTTTCCCCGTTCCATACAATCTTATTCGCCCGTTGAATTTCCCTATACTCCGTGTGACTGGGTATCAAGTCCCTATGTTTTGATCGCTGGAGAATATACCCTCAAGGATTCTTATTTACAAAAAAAATTGGGAAAAAATGACTGGCGCGCTCATCGCCAAAATACCAATCAATCCACCCATCAGCATCGGCATGGCATTTGTCAATCCCCCACACGACTAATCACTACCCTTTTGCCTTCTTTCACAATGATCCATTCAGGCTGCTGTGAAGCGAGTCGCTGCCCAGCCAGATACGCGCATCTTCCCTGAACTGCCCCATTCATTCCCCCCTGACGCAAAACATCCTAGTGCTTTGGAATCACAAGCTATTCTTTCGCGCACGCGCATCTCTGACGTGGACTGCCAACAGAGCAATCAGACACTCCTAATCCGTCCGATTTTCCGAAAGCTTTATATTCAAACAGCTAAAAAGTCATGTCGTCGACCTCTCCCTCGAAGGAACCGGAGGTGGACCCGGAAGCGCAGTCAAATGAAGACGCGGAAATGGATAAGGATCCAGATCAAGTGCATGGTCAAGAGTTCGAGGTGAAGGAGCAGGACCGATGGCTCCCGATTGCAAATGGTTAGTTGCGTTTTCCTTGCAGCCTTTCCTGACTTCCTGATTTGCGCGTACCTTACGTTCAACTGCTGGGCAACGGCCGTTTGCGCACCCCTCTTTTTAATTTCATTCTCCCCTCCATACAGACGTCTGGATGGGAATGCATTTAAGCGCATGCGCTTCTATTCGTTCTGGCGATATATTTCTTTTATTCGCGCGTCGAGCCCGTTGAAACGATCTGTCAACATCCAACACTACCGTTTTTCGCAACAATACCACACTTTATTTTGCTTGCGCTTGAACATGCTGACATTTATTTCAAGTTGCGCGCATTATGAAGACGGCTCTGCCTGAAAATGCAAAAATCGCAAAAGAGGCCAAGGAGTGCATGCAAGAATGCGTGAGTGAATTCATCTCGTTTATCACCAGTGAAGGTTAGTAGCAAGCGTCTTTCTTTTGGCTCCTTTCGACAAAGTTACTAACGCGCATGGATGATGCTAGCCTCCGAAAAATGCCAGCAGGAGAAGCGCAAGACCGTCAACGGCGAGGATATTCTGTTCGCTATGACGTCGCTCGGGTTCGAGAACTATGCTGAGGCTCTCAAAATCTATCTTTCTAAGTATCGCGAGGTAAGACCCTTGAATACCATGCTTACCTTACCAACGATTTTGTGAAAACCTGATTCTAACGGATTCGCTCTTTCTAGACCCAGTCCGCAAGAGGAGAGAACCAGGGCCGGCCACCGAGCAGTTACAGTGCGGCCGGACGTCCTGGTACCGCTGCCTCGGGAGGCTTTCCCGATGCTGCCAACAATGCCAGCATTCTGAACCCAGCCCTCGATCCATCTGAGCAGGATACTGCCACCTACGGATACCCACCCATGCCTCACAACGGAGCCGGTGGGGAATCTTACTAGTTCAAGCAACGAGGCCATCCGCGGGATATTGATATCAGCCAGCAGCTCCCCTGGGGCTAACTGGCTGTGTCGCATGGCAGCGCACGCCTCAGCTGTCCGCAGAACACCCCTGCGGATAGATTGGGGCTTGTGCGGGGGTCATCTACTAGTCTCCGGGTGTTACTTGCTACGCAGTATTCTGACGGCATGATGTGACGGGTTTCTATGGGTTAGCGACAGATGCGACACGGGCTGCATATTACCTTTTCTTTTACGCTTCAGACGACAGCTCGGGTCAATTTCTTTTTCACGCAATGGTTTGAAAGAGACAAAATAATCGACCTCGGGGTACTTTGGGTGCGGAGTCGGTGTTTTCTTTTTTTCTGTAATTATGTCCAGGGCTTGCGAATGGGTTCTTGTTGTGGGAAATATTTGAGGGACAGATAGAGGCACATACAAGGACTTCATTGTCCAACTGAGCTTCTCCATATCTTTTTTATGTCTTTTGATATCCTCTCTTTGGCTTGTTTTTATAGCTGTTATCGGGTCTACAGCAGCGCATTTTCTGATTGGCTGTGGTGCTATCGATATGTTATCAACGATTTTCAGTGAATTTCACCCGTTATTTCTCTTGCATCCTAACAATCTTCTATCTCCATCTTACATTAGCACGAAATACGGAACGTTGCATTGGACGCTTCTCCGCAAGTGCACGTGAGTCAACCCCAGACGTCCCGCGCTGATCGCCGATAGATACCCTCGATTTCCGCTTCCTCTTCTTTCTTCTTCGTATTTACACGGCTTGCTTTCGCTATGCCTCGATATACCCCATAAGCCACGGCTGGCTCTTGATATCCTATTTTCCGCGTTGCATGATGAAGCATCCAGTATTCGCGCTTGCAACAATCCCATGCTTTTGCGATGACACCTGCAGCGCACAACGGCCACTCGCCTACCGGTGACGGCGTGACCAAGCGCAAGTCGAGTATGAAGTTGTGGTCCTTGACAAAAAGTCCCGAGGATAGTATTTTAACTAACACGCCTTTCTGTTTCTGCTCTAGCCTCCGCAGCTTGCGTCCACTGTCATCGTCGCAAAGTCCGATGCGACGCCCGCGTAGTCGGTCTGCCTTGCACCAACTGCCGTTCCTCTGGCAAAACCGATTGCCGTATCCACGAAAAGAAAAAGCGTTTAGCCGTTCGTTCAATTCTTGATCCAGTCCCGATTCGTTGTCGTCCGCCGTCTGTGTCTGAACCTGAATCCGTTGCTGCGAAATCTCTCTCTCCGAACCCCGCCGGTCAACAGCAGACCACTCTTACAACACCCGCGCCGGGTAATACATTGAATAATAATCATGGAAGTCCTCCGATATCTGCGCCCCAGACGTATCAGCAGCAACTGACTCCAGGCCCGGCGGGTGACCCAGATGCACATACAGACTTGGAGAAACGGCTGGTGAATCTTATCGATGATGGTGATAGTGGGAGACGGGAAATTCAGAGAGGTGTGCGGGCAATCTATGTTGGACATGAATTGTCGAACATGTCTTTCTTGATTCGCCAGCAACGGGATAAAGATGACGATGTGTATCATTTTGCTGGAAATGAGATCCCGCGACGACAGCTGAAGATTGGCCATGATCAGCTTATCATGGACGCTCTGACTTTACCGGAGCAGGCTCTTGCGGATGAGCTGGTACAGGCATATTTTACATACGTCAATCCGGGATATCCTATCATCGATGAGGATTTGTTTATGGCCCAGTATCGCAATCGAGACCCGGCTGATCCTCCACCAATTCTGCTCTTACAGGCCATTCTGCTGGTGGGGTCCCATGTCAGTCGTCCGAAAGCTGAGCGAGATGCTCTTAAAGAGATCTTCTTCCGCCGCACAAAATGGCTGTTTGACAGTCGAATCGAGCGGAACCGTGATATTATGGTCCAAGCTGCGCTCCTCATGACCTGGCATACAGAAAGTGCCGACGACGATGTGGCCTCGAATGCCCATTACTGGGTTGGCGTCGCTGCCAGGATTGCAACTGGCCTTGGTATGCATCGTAATCCTGTCTCGAGTAGATTTGTTCCTCGGGATAGACACATGTGGAGGAGGCTATGGTACATATTGGTGCAGTTTGATGTCATGGTCTCGTTGTCATATGGTCGACCACAGGCTATCAATCTGGAGGACTCTGATGTGTCGCCATTGACCCCTGCTGATTTTGAAGGCTGTGGATCCAACGTGCAAATCGAATATGTGATCCATTTCTCGGAATTATGCATCATGATATCGCATATCGTACGTGAGCGATTCGGATTGCGCGTCAGCCCTGAACGACGCAAAGCGGCTCTCCAGGAGGCCGACGAAGCTTTAGCGAACTGGTCACTGAAACTGCCGGATAACCTACGTCTCCGTGCGTCAGATATGGATCCGTGGTCTGCGATGCTTCACCTAACATACAACAACTTCTTGATTCTCCTCCATCGACCTCATCCAAGAGCATCTGCATATTCAGACGATTATGGGCCTCATGATGCAGAGATCTGCAGTGCAGCTGCAGGAGTTATTGCTTCTATCTTCGAAGAACTGCGTCTTAATAGCCGACTGAAATTACTATGGTACTCCGGCGTCCATACTCTCTTTACAGCCATGATCCAAGTACGGGTTGAGCTTCGATTTTCCAATCCTGTTCTTGCAATCAATGCGCTACGTCGTTTTGATTCAGCATCGCATTCTCTACGTGAGCTCTCCCAGTATTGGGCTCATGCTGCTACTATCCTCCGATTATTCGAAGATTCCAAGCGCCTCCAGGAGGACTTGCGAACAGCCACCACCGAAAGACCCCGCCAATTCAACGGACCCCAGGAACGTCGAAACACCAATCCCAACCCCCTTTCCACCCCCGCCCCCGAACAATCTCCTAACATACCCCCTCCCACTCCCGACATATCCCAACTACGCAGTACATTAAACCAACCACAACAATTCGACAACTGGATTCCACCACCAACAACACTGCCATCAGTCGATCCAATCGACCATCCGCGGGAACTTCTCGACTGGAGACAGTTGTTCTCGTTCACGGACCCCGATCAACCTGTTCCCATGGCTTTTGAGGGTCTTCCGGAGTTGGAGGATGAGTGGAGGCAGATTTATTGGCAGGAGATGCCGATGGCTGATCTGCTTCAGGATGGGGGGTGGATGCATAGTTGACTTTGTTTACTCTTGCCTTTGATTACTTTTAATGATAATAACGCATTAGGTCTTGGTCGTGTGGACTTTTCTGTTACCATACCACATGCACCGTTTGCATTTATAACATTTCGACGGCAAATGAGGCTTTACAGAACCGACTTTATGAATTTTATGTCTTTATTAATTTCAGGTTCAAGCTTTAAACACATCCAATAAGCCACGGTTAATGGCATGTTCAAAATACTCAAGTACACCATGCAATGCTTTCATAAATACAAACTCTGGGAATATGCAATATAAATCCATCAACCCCCCCCCCCCCAATAGACTCTACCCATGAACAAACCTCCTCCAATTATCCCCCAACTTCCTAACCCCCTCCTCCAACCCCCACCCTCGAATCTCACAAATCCTCCTTACAACATCCTCCAAAAGCCCATCCATCACCGGCCCCGCCGTATGCAAATCACTCTCCACAAGAACTCTATCATCCGGCAACGCCTTAACGACATCAATCGCCTTCTGCGCCCCCGGCGCGGAGAAATTAATCACATTCGAGAAGGAGAAATAGACATCAGATGGATTGGCCAGGTGCAGGAATTGCTTCACTGCTTCCACGGGTCCGGAGTATGAGTGCATGCAGATGCGTGGTGGGAAGGGAAGTGACGGCTTCTTCTCTTCTTCTTCTGATGTAGATTTGGATTGAGATGCCTTAGCGGCATCCTCATCACTTTCCTCATACGCCCCCGCAACACTCCCCCTCCTCCTCTCCTTCCTACTCGCAACCCTCCTCTCATACCCCTTCCATAGTTCCTTAAACACATCAAACACAGCCCCATGCGCCTGCACACTATGTATAGACACCGCCCTCCCCATCTCCCCCGCCAACCGTAACTGAGCCCTCAACACAACCTTCTGGTGCTCCAAGTGTACCCGGTACGGAGACAGTTTCCTTCCCTCCCGCGACCCAGGTGTCACGGTATTATCGCGGGTTTCGAAGTCCTTGGTTGTCCAGGGGTTGGGCAGGCGGAAGGCGCGGTCGAGGCCTATTTCGCCGATTAGGGCGGTTGGGTGGGTGCTCAGGCGGGTGCGGGTTTGGGTTATGAGGTTGGAGAGGGGTTTTGGGGATGGGAGGGAGGATATGAAGTGGTTTCCTGTGTCGTCGTCTTTTGGGGAGGGTGTTAGGACTTTTTTGTAGTGTGCTTTTTTCAGGTCGTCGTCGTCTTCGTCTGTTGATTCCGGTGTTGTGGTGTCGTCGAGGATTTGATATGAGAACCATGGATGCCAGCCGAAGCATGGGAGGATGCGGCCCTCATTCCCCCCATTGTTGCTGTTTTCCTCTTTTGAGAACTTTGAGGCGATATTGAATACAAGATCCTGGTCTTCCCCGCGCGTAGACATAACCGTAAGCTTCCTCGCTTTCATCTGCGGGATCTCGGCGATCGAGGCCATGATATCTGTTGGGTGGCAGTGGGCGTCGTAGACACCCAGTTCCCAAGGGAAAGGGTCATTGTGTGTTTCTTTCCCGGGGCTGTCATCTTGGGACATGGTCGTTTGTCTTGCTAGAAGCGCTTGAGGTCAGTTTTGTACCGGGTATGCGCTTTGGAAAATGGTTGTTGATGTTGGCGGTGACGTAATTTTATATTGTTGCCTGAGGCATACATAATGTGTAGTTAGCTAACTAGTTATTCTATAGGGCTGTATCTAGATCATCACGCCTTTATTCTGTTTCTGGTTCAGATAGTGGTTTTTTTTCAGATGGCAATGGCTGCAAATCCAATAGCAGAGATAGCGATGGCGCATATGCAGACCCGCTGTATGCATATCCCCAATGCGCACTCAACAGCCGTGCGAATCTCAGACCCAACTGGAGTATGTTGTCTACACCTTATCTCCACCGTCATAGAGTGACTCAGCAATAGACTTGCTATTCTCTGGAAGCACGTCTCGCAAAATGGGGAGAAACATTGATCTTTTAATTGCATCAGATACTTTGGACCCGACAACGTTTGCCACAATGGAACATGCGCTCAGCAGGAATAGCACAATGGGAATATCCTGTTGCTTCGATGACACTTTCAATGCCAAAGTCTGAGTGGCCTCCAGAGCTCCAAAGGCCAGCCCAACGAAAACTTCACACACGATCGTGTCTGCTATGCTCGAATTGCGTCCATTTTGGCCAACGTGGATCATTAGGCCGAACCCGAGAATCGTTAAAGGCAGACAATACAAGCAGAGAGCCTTAAACTGCCGAGTGAAGTATACGACAACACCGAGCAGCGCATTCGACAATATCGCGACAGCAGGGGCGACGTTGGCGACATCGAGAGCCGTTGATGTTGTGAGATCGTAGATCACAATGCCGAGCATTTGAATAAGAAGACAATAAAGATGAAAACAGAAATGGTGGATGAAGTTGAACATGAAAACACCGGCAATAGTACGATCCCTGAGGCTTGCACAGTCAAGCAATCTATCCTGAGCACCATAACTTTCCCATAAGAAAAACCCACATAACAGACAAGCCCCTATGACGAGCAGTGCGATGAATTGCGGAAAATCATACGTGACATGGTCGATAATTTCCACAAGATTGATAGATAATAGGATGAGTACATAGGCCGCCTTAAGTAGGACAGATCCCGTTATTAGATGCCTTGTAAACGCAATGACAAGCCAATGAGCGATGTGGTAAACTACAATAATTTTCATAGACATAACGAGCAGTTGACCGAGGGTCTCTGAATCTTGCTCGTGTATAAGCTCCCTTTGCCCTAGCCACCTGCAGGTAGAATCGAAGGACTCATGCTAACGAAAAGGGTGCCACGGGTGTTATAATGGCACAGGTCCCGTACGTCAAGCGCCAGTTACCCTTTACCGCTTGTAGAAATGGATCACCGATTACCCGCTTCGTAGTAAGGTTGATTATTGATGGGATGCCGGTAAGCCCCAGTGCAAGCGCTCTGTGGCTGACTTCAGTGATATCAATGAAGAAGATGCTGAGGATGAAGGTGATTATCTCAGACCCAAGCGTCCTGAAGGTGTTGCCGACAGCATATGTTGTGTAATCATTGCACGATGCCAGGACCACGATTCCAAGTAGGTAGACGCAGACGAAAATCATGAAACCCTCCGTTTGACCCCAACCGTAAGAAGCGATGAAGCAAGGCTGGGAATGCAGGTCATATCCCGATCTGTACAGAGTTTGCCTGCGCCTTCAGGGATGATCAGATAAGCTTGCAAGGAATATCGCACTCGGATCTTGTGTGCCAGAGCATGGCGCTAAACCTGCATTTGAGGCTGTGATTAAGTCTCAAGGACTGTTGGAGTGCAGGAGTGCATGTCAGAAAGCTGTGCCAAGTTTGGTGATGAAACGCCTGCTGGCAGTGAGACCAAAAAAAAAAACATGGTCAGCATTATCTGATATCACGCTGGCTTTCCCCCATCGCCGTCCAGATTGACAGCCGAGATTCTCCATCGCAAGGTCTGCCGCTTAAAAAAAAAAAAAAAAAAAAAAAAAAAAGGGATTGAGAGTGATGGTTGAAAAGGGGTTGGGTGCAGCATGTTGTGTAGAAGCATATTTATTGTCTATATTATATATGCATCCTGTACACGTATAGAAACAAACCAAAGCCAAACAGACAAAACTACAATCCCAACTCATTACCATAACACATATATATCATCTTCCTGAAATGGTACAATCTATACTCACGGTCTCCTGTCTCTCTCCTTCCGATTAACATCTTCCATCTCCTCTAAGATCGTCTTGTTAAACTCTTCATGTCCGTCCAAGTAGACGTGGTGTCCAGATCTCTTGATAACTACCACCTTGGCTGAGCCGTTATCTGCCTTGCGCTCTTCCGCGGTGGCATCTTGTAGAATCCGTCGTCTCTCCTCTTCGATCTTGTGTTTAGCTGCCAGGCCGCCTGCGGCATCCATCCAGTCATGGTCTCCGTACATGAAGACTACTGGGATGCCGTTCTCGCGTTTGATGAGCGTAGACTGGCCATCGGTACGACTCGTCGGTGCGTCATTAGGTTGGCTTAAAGCTGGCCGAGGAGATGGGACCTGCGAAGCATCTGTCACTTCGGCCGGCTCCCAGTTCGGAGAGGATGAAGAAGGCTGGATCATCTGTCGTCCAACGTCCTGGATGCGTCTGATCAGAGGACTGCGAGCGAATGCTCCCGGGGCGAGAATGTATGCCAGTGCATACTCCCCACTGCCTCGAAGACTGAAGATGGAGTAAGAATAGTCGTGTAACGACTTAGCCTCCTCAGCGGGAAGATGCGAAAAGCGTCGCGACGTCCAGCCGGAGACAATTCGCGGTCCAAAGGGACCTGCCCAGCGCACGAGCGTGAAAGGTGAGATGTTCTGGTCCCAGAGGTAGGCAAACCACTTGGGAAGCGTTCGACGAGGTGGACCGCTCGGCGCCGTGGTGGCGGCTCCCGTAGCATTCGCAGAACCCTTGAGAAGGACATTATTGTCACCCTTTTGTAATTCCCCCGGAAGGGGAGGAGTGACGGCCGCGGTTGTGGTGCGCTGCTGATCCTGGGTGACTTCGCTGGGCAGAGTCGACTCTGATGGCTCGGGCATTTCAGCGGTCACGGCATGGGGATCTTCAGGGATACCCACGGGCGAGGCAAGAATGAGTTTGTTCAGACGACCAGGGTATTTGAGCGCATAGGCAACGGCCATGTATCCTCCAAGACTGTGGCCAAGAAGGGTAAAGCGCTCGATCTTGCGCTTGATGCGCCACTCCTCCAGGGCATCCACAAACCAGTCCTCAGCCTCCTTGATCGCATCTTCCCGCTTTTTGGCATTGATACGAAACGAGGGGCGGGTGCTGCGACCCATGCCCAGCATATCCAGCGCATGCAGTTGCCATCCTTTGAGCCGACTCAACGGTTCGAAGTTCTTGTAGAAAAATCCCAAACCAGCACCATATCCATGTAGCATAACCAAATGTTGATCAGCCTCTTCCCCAAGTCGTTCTACCGAGAATTCGTTGAGCGCGCGGTCCTTGCCACTCAACTCGACCATGCTGGACTTCCATCGACGGGGCCCGTACGGATCACCGAGGGAACTGGCGGCCACTTCGCTCTGCTGACTGGTGTCTGTATGTTGCAAACTGTCGACCGTTCCATCCGTTGCGTCTGTCGTTTTACCTGTCTGTTGATGCGTCGGGGGTGTACGTTGCAAATATGGTAGATGGGAGAGCACCTTGTGCTCTGCGACAGCAGCCGGGATACTAGCCCACTGAGACAGCCCAATAAGTTTCAGTGACTGCCTGATTTCACAATAGAGTATTACAGACACATCACGAAAAAACAAGCACGTACCCATTGACTGAAGCCTTCTCTGTATCCTAAGGGAAACCAGCCCGAACCCGCTGCCAGGCCACCGCGAGCAGCATATGGAGTGCTGTCGCGACGGCCATGGTCATGGGCGTGACTTTCTGATGAATCCAACCTTTCCGACGCCATGGAGGATATCTGTCGCAGCGAAGAACCCGGCTCGAGCGATGCGAAGGATGCGGAATGACGAAGAGGCGAGTCGGTCTGCCGGGCGACCTGCAAAGTAAGCAAAGGAAGTCGTAGTGAGAACACTTTGTTGCACGGGAAGAAAGGAAAGAGTGACAGAGAGAGAGCAAGAGGATCTCCTGTCACTCGATGCGATCAAGAAGACGAGTTCATACAAAGTGGCAAAGAGGAAAGAGTGTGGAAGATGACAGGAATCGGAAAGTTGGCGGCGCGAAAGAAAACCGTTGATCCGACGTCACATTCAAAACAACAATACAGAACAGGAATAATTCAATTACATATACTAGCAGTATGAAAACAAATATATACTTAGCATAGAAATAGAAATAGATAAATACCCCGCAAAACACATGACAACAGTACTTTGTCGTTCTTAACAGCTTCATCTTTTACCTGTTTCGGCTTCTTCTCCTTTCCTCTTCTTACTCTTCTCCAAGGAAAGACTCTCTTCCTTCTTCTGTCTCTTTTCGTCCATGCCATGAACTAGCATTTGGCCGCGAAGGCCGTGCTTCTGTTTGTTTCCACCTCTGAATCTATATTCCGTTCATTATAACCAATCATCCCGGCTGCTGCTGCTGCTGCTGCTGCTGTACAATGGCCACTTCCGCCAACCTCGACCAGCTGGTCAAGGGATCTACTCCCTCTTCTAATCACACTCTCTCAGCTCCTGCTCCTTCGTCCTCATCTTCTTCCGAAATATCCGACTCGTCATCCTTTGCTCCCCAATCCTCGTTCACCGCATCGCCCGATCTCACCTCATCATCGCCATCCCCGGCATCCCCGCCGGATCCGCTGTCGACCCTGCCTTCCTCCCCTCCTCAGATCTATCTGAACCTTCTTATCCTCGAAAGCTCTCTACGGGCTCAATTTCTCGCATTACGCGAACGTCGCCGTCAAAATACCTTTTTCCTACTTTTGCTGGCTGCCTGGATTACCTACTTTGGTTATGCACTGTTCCTCCGGCCGCGAGAGGATGGCCGCGGCGTGGGCGGTTCCGTATACTGGGTGGTTGAGATGGGTGAGAAGGTCGCTTTGCTAGGAGGCATCGTTACAGCGCTACTGGTCTGGGGTACTGGTCAATGGGAGCGTGGAATTCGCTGGCCGCGGCGCTGGCTCGCCGTCGCCAATCGCGGCCTGCGTACCATGAACACCAAGATTGTGGTCATTCGCGGGCCCTGGTGGCAGGAGCTGCTTGGCTATTTGTCCTTCCTCTTCCCGTTTTCGACTCCGTTCTTCCCATCGCCAACCGGGAACTTCCGCTACGTTGACCGAAATCTGTCCGAGAAGCGCGGGGGTCGGCCGCATTACCCGCAGTACTATAGCAGCGTGGACGATGAATCGGGACTGGTGGAGGAAGACCTCAGCCCGGGAGGTGACTATATTAGGTTGCTCCTTTTACCCAAGTCTTTCTCTCCGGAATTCCGCGAGAATTGGGATGACTACCGCGCCGAATTCTGGGATAAAGAAAACGAACGACGTGCGCAGCTGCGGCAGAAGCTGCACGAGCGGGAGCGTCAACAGGCACAGCAGAATAAGAGTAGATTCTGGTGGATGAGTTTTGCATGGAAGTCTTCATCCCCTGCGTCGCCGTCGCAGCAGCGTCGACGGCCTGCAGCAACGGGAACACCCCAGCATCATCGCCACCACCATAGCTCGAGCTCGAATCCCAAATCTGCCACCCGTCGCAGTACACGCTCGGAATCCCATTCGCGCACGCCCTCTCGCAGCACTACTCCCGTGGACGCGGACGAACGTCCACCCTCGCGCTCGGGCACCACCGGCCGTCCACGACGAGGAAGTACAACTCCGTCCTCCACACCGATAGGCACTGAGCGTCGAAAGAGGAGCAATTCCAAGACTCTTCCTTCGCATGGGTTGTCGCCTTTAACTCAGGCCCAAATTAGGGAGGGAGTGCCTCAGGAGATTCGAGAAGTAGGGAATGCAGGATAACACTTCCTTGCGTGTGAATATGTACGGCCGTTTTGCCGTGCAGCCATTGTTATACTACTAATATGCTTTTTTCTTTCTTTGTATGTTTTATGTGCATGTCTAGGATCACTGAGCAGCCTGGGGTATATAGGCAGTTTCACTGTGACACGTTTAATTTGAGATAATGGAACTAAATATAACATAATTCCTTCTTCCAGCCTGTATAGACTTTTGGAAGCGTATGTACCATGTACCAACTCGAGCATTGAGGCTAGGGTTTCTGTCATGCCCTGGTCCAGTTCGTTACAAGGAAGACCCTGGGCTTCAGACAATCTTAGCAATGCGATTGGCTCATTCAAGCCAGGTAGTACATGAATGTACTGCGCTATCTTATGGGAGCTTACGGATCGTCTGCCGGGAGTTGATCACGACCCCATATCCGTAGATACAATGCCAATCAGTCAAAGGCTGCGCTGAGGGCTCTATCGTACACGTGAGGCGAGCAGTTCATCACATGTGACAACTGGCCTTGTATGGGAAGAACAGTCACCAGATAAATCGCTCATATAAATGCTCAGGTTCTCTCGGATCCAAGGCTTGGAGGTCGATTACTACTGGTGCAGCCAGTGCTTATCCGCAATTGAGCTGACTAGGGTAAATAATGGCTCATCGTAAATATAAATGAATGATTCTTCCCACTCCCAATATCAAACGTTGATTCCATATTACAGATCTAAGCTAGATCTTCTATCTTCCCTAGTCCCCGTAAAAATGGGCATCTCATCTTACCATTCAAATGGTCAAAGACCACTCGGCCCAGACAGCACAGTCCCTAAGGAAGAATGCGAACGCATCATCCAAACCCTCCTCCAAAAGGTCTCCTATAAGTACCCCAAGCTCGAGCATCGCAGCGATCTCAAGCCCAAACTCGAAAATAACCTCCGCGCCCTAGGGCTAGGAGACGATCTAATCCAACGCCACAACGGCGCAGCCATTAGCACCACTCTGCGTCATCCAGTCATTTTACTCACATGTCTCCATATATCTCCAGGAAACCATAGCCACGTTCACAGCAATCACCGTTCTAACCGGCGACCTCGCTGCGGAGATACGGGGTCCTCTTCACCGCTACGCGGGACAGCTCGTTAAAGGCGAGCAGCATGAGCATGTCCTTCTCATAGCTATGACTAGATGGTTGGCTCAGCATGCGAGAGAATTCGGAGTGTTTGGCGGGAATATGCTCATCAAGTCCACGGTGGATTGTATCTCGGCTAAGCACATGCGGTTAGTTAGGATTGTTGATTAGGGCACCAATTTGCTCGTCATGGAGGCAAAATGCTTCTGTTTTGTTCTCTCAACATTGATGAATTGGCCGAGGCATGTTACTCGTCAACCTAACTTCAAATGGGAATATCCCGACATTCTCCTCAGGCCTCTTTTTTGCGGGGTTCTCGACATGTTTGACGAAAGGGAAAAGGGAACTGGACATGAACTTGCTCATCTTCCGGCCAAACAACTCTGATGATGTGGGACACAGACGGACCTATTTGAGCTTTGATGATAACCAGCTTTTTTTTATTGAACAGCTGATAAAATTTCCTGGATGCCTTTGCGAACGAACGTCTCGCCCATCTCTCATAGCTTGTTTATGAGACTGTTCCTGAGCTTGACTTCGAAGTTAGTCAAGTCTATGATCTGTAAGTGAGCCAGAAAGGCCACCATTCGGCTCGGAATAACTCGCTATAGTTCCGGTCTACACAACGAGTGTACGAGGAATGGAAGCCGGGTAACGGACAGGTACAGCTTCAAATCGACGATTGCCTTAAGGGGATACCGTTAACGACAAAGTACAATTGCCGTTGTTCTCACTTGTCCACCCACGATTGCCAGCAAGTGCCTTCACTACATCTGAAACGAGTGGTTTTACGCTTGTTTCATTTGTCAAGCTGAGACTCTGTCTCAACAAAGGGGATCATTCAGAAACCTTCTCCAAAATGGGAAATATGATCCTCGCACGCGCTCGCGGATCACCACGGTTCCAAATGTGTGTAAGTTTTACATGACGAGAATCAAAAACCTTGCACACACCGAGTTTTCGCAAGGAATACGCCTCTACAGAGGTTAAACGCAACGAGTCAGTAAATCGTATATCCTGATTACACCAGAATGTTGCAAGATTTTATCGCGTGCATAACTAACCAGAATGCACTCATTCAACCTATGCTATATGATAGGATACAGCAAATTAAGCCGTATATGTTGTATGCTTATGCTCCAATCACCCAACAAGGGCTTCTGTGTTGACATAGGGCTTGAGGCAGCCATACTGGCTTTGGTCGTATACCACCATGATTCAGGAGATTGTATCGAATCCCAAAATATTCAGAGTTGACATTGCTAGAGTTTATCGCATGCATAAACTATCCAGAATGAAGACCTATTCCAAAGAAAATTTCGCCACTGACAGCTGCAATCTGGACGCCGGTTTCAAGAGGTTCAAGGTGGATTATTTTCTTGGATGTGATCTAACGCCCACACATGATATTAATCATTTAACATATACTCGTTAAAGCAAACCAAAACCTCAAAATGTAAAGTAAAAGGATATTATTCTATAATCATAATCAAATCAAATCCGATAAACTGTCTCATCATCCTCAAGGTACCTGTCGAGTCACATTATGTTAGCTATTGTCCAAGCAGGTAAAGGGAAGAAGGGTACTCACATCAACTGATTCGTCTCATTCATAGCCTTCAGCGCTTGAACCGCCTCAGATCTCTGGAACACAGCACCCTCGCCAAGCCCCGGCGCGTTACGCACAGAAGTATTCACAGCGCCAATAAGCTCCTCGACATCTGCCGTGTCACCATCAGCAAACAACCGCGATCCCATCAATGAACCAAGAGTCTGGCGGAAGATTGCCAGACGAGGTGGTTGGATTGGTTGCGATGCTGCTGCTGCGCTCTGGGACTGCGAGGTATCTGACATGAGTTGCGATGCGGGCTGGGACGAAGCCACTGACATCTGGGATTGGGATTGGGATTGGGACTGTGTTTGTGTTTGTGTTTGGCCGGTCTGGCTCGAGCGCATGTGTTGGCCGCGGGGGCTGGCTTCGTATAAGCCGTCGCCGTCCTCTGATATGTCTTCGCCTTCTGCGTCGGCGTTGTCGTTTGTGCTGGAACGGGTTGCTTGTGTGCGTGTTCGCAATGTCCCACCCCGTCGGGTGCTGCGAGGAGTAGTGGTAGCTGGGGTTTCGTCATCGTCGTCAGAGTCCTCATCACTGGAGTCAGAGTCATTGTCAAAGGTCGTGACCTTTCTTCTTTTCTGGCGCTTATCCTCAACGACTTCCTTGAACATGGCGAAACGCAGAATGGATTCAGCATTCTTGGCATCTTTCTCATCGACGCGGCTGGACAGTCGTGCTTTGGCGTGCGCTGTAGACAGACGAATCAAGGTTTCCAGTGTACGTGCGGTGATAGGCGCGGTTCTGCGTTGGCTGCCCGAGAGTTCATCGTTACGCAGAGCAGAGTATGTGGCAACAATGTGGTCTGCGGCTCCCTTGGTCAAGACAGGCTTTATTCTGGACTTGGCATACTGGATATACTTCTTGACGAAAGGGATGCTCAGGATTTCGAGATTCTTCTTGCCTCTGTCTCTGTTCATGTTTGCAATTCCAGCGTGGAGCATAACGTTGAACTTCTCATAGACATCAGTGGGCTGGTTTGAGTCTTGGGCCTCTTCGAGGCCAACACCCAGACTCTGGTTGAGTTGCTCCCGAACAGGCACGCCCTCCTCGACACCGGGCTGACGGTAGCGGTGCATACGCAAGACGTGTTCTGAGACCATGCGGTCCTTGGAATCTTCAATGTCATCGGTGATAACGAAGAGCAAATCGAAACGCGACAGGAGGGAGTCTGGCAAAGCAATGTTCTTGTGCGGATCCTTGTGAGGATCATATTGTCCGTAGATAGGGTTGGCGGCGGCCAAAACGCTGCACCGGGCGTTCAAACTCGTATGGATACCGGCCTTGGCGATGGTAACTGTTTGCTGTTCCATAACTTCGTGGATAGCCACACGGTCGACGTCGCTCATCTTGTCGAATTCATCAATGCAGACAACACCACGGTCACCAAGAACCATTGCACCAGCCTCCAATCTACGCTCTCCCGTCTCCTTGTCGGAAGTAACAGCAGCAGTCAAACCGACACCGGAAGATCCTCGACCAGTCGTAGCAATTGCGAGAGGAGCGGTATTCAAAACGAATCGAAGAAGTTGCGACTTCGCCGTCGATGGATCACCAACCATCAGGATGTTAATGTCACCACGCAAGTGAGTACCGTTGTCCAAGTTCTTTTCCATACCACCAAGCAACATCAACAGCAATGCCTTCTTGACGTAGTCGTGCCCGTAGATACTCGGTGCGAGGGAGTGCGAAAGGAGTTCGAAGACGTTCTTCTTCTTGGAGATCTTGTTGATATTCCGGATGTCTGTGTCGGTAATGGTCGCCTGTGCAATTCCACCACCGGACTTCGAAGACAATTGGATGATGTTGTTCGCCATGACGAGGGTGCGGAAAGTGGATGACCCGTTCCCAGCGTTTCGGTTACCCAGCGTACGATATGTTCCCACCAATTGAATTCTGTCACCGGGTTTGGCACGGTCGACCAGGTCGTCGTCAAGGATCACATCGACGCTGCGCGGAAGCTGGCCTGCTGGTGCTCTCTCGGGCATTTCCTGGATAGAGATCGTTTGGTGGTCCATGTATGTGGAATAACCGTACTCTGTAATAATCTGGTGGAAAATACCCATTAGCTATCGCCAACCTGCCTTATCTTGTAACCTGAGCATACCGGGTTCTTTTCATCATCTTCTTGCGGGTAGACATTCAAACTCGTCGCCCCACTAGCACTCATAGTCTGGTCCCTATACCTCCTAGACAAGAAGCGATCCTTCTTTTCGCTATAGTGCACACTCTGTATAATCTTTGGACGAACCAACGAGCATTTCGTAACAATACCCTCGAGCGAGATCATCCGGTTCAAGTGAATCGACCCCAGTGTTCTGGGATTGCAGGAGAATTCGCCGAAAGCGCCGACATATGCGCAGTAATAGTTCTGAAAAACCATTAGTTGTATGCGTTGGTTCACTGGGTCTGAGGATATCGTACCACATCGTCTCCCGTTTCTCTCGATGGCCGGTTCGACAATGTCTTGATAACATCCGTCAGGGCTTTGTCGAATGCTATCGAGTATTCGAAGGGCGAGGTGAGAAGCCTGCGAATCACCGATAGTTGTTAGCACTAGCGGTCAAAAATAGAAAGAAAAATCTGTGACTACCTACCCATCTGCAAGTTCGCGGTTATGCGCTCTGATTTCATCAATGCTAACCTGTAGAGAAAAACCAATTAGCTGACCATAGTCTCCCTACTAAAGGTAGGGCGCCATACTAATAGACGACGCAGCCCCCGGTTAAGCATCAACACAACATCCGCTCGATAACTGTCGGCTTGTTAGAAAGGGCGCCGGAGTCGGGCTTCTCAAAGGTAAAATCACGAACCTGCGCGCTCTAGCATCGGCTGTCGCAATTTCCAGTCAGCGAAATCCTAGCCGGTATAAAAACAAGAGACAATAGCATACTTGGATCAAGGAACTCGACGGCCGCTCGGACTCGATCCTGAGCGGCCTCGTCACGGAGCTGCACCCCATCGTCCATGGCGAAACTGGTTGTAGAGGCTGTGGAAGAATGGGCGACAGGTTGCCAAGGGGTCCGGAAATTGTGAAAGTATTGGTTTATGTTCGGGTCGTTGAGGTGGTGATAGCGATTATGCTGCCCTGCGGAGTGGGATGGCGGAGGATCTTTCTTTTGGTGCCGGCGACGCGCGTTTCCAAATTGGGAATAATTAGAACGCGTCGCGCGCGACTTCTATTGATGATTAAGCTGTCAATTAATGGTACACGTGATCTACGGCGAAATGGTTGTAAATGATAATTTTGAAGAGAAAAGATCCAAGAGATTGGAGAAAAAATTGAATAGAGAATATCTACTATACATTCCCAACCGCGCTGTAATGCTTCTATGCTCTTCATACTTCGTGACAATGCGCACTATACAAAATATGGACGTAGATCATACATGTCAAAAACTATCTATACATTTGAAGAAGATTCAGAGAAAATATACAGGACCTAAGACCGTTCATCAGGCTCCTTCTCTTCGGTATGCTTGAGGCCTTGCTCCTCGTCGGTTGCTTCAACATCTTCCGCATCTTCTGCAGCATCGGGTTCTGATACGTCGTCTGCTGGCTCATCTGCTGGTTCTTCTGCTGGCTCGTCCAGCTCTTTGGACACCGGCTCCTCCTTCACAAAGGGTAGTCTGAAAACATACAAGCTATCAGGCTTCCTGAGATACCGTGACTCATCATCGGGATCAACAAGGCCGCTCGTTGCTTCATAGCTAGTTTCGGTCTCGATGTCGTGCTCGTCTTCTGGGTCGAAAGTCTTAGGAGGAGGGGAGCCCTCGGGTTCATCCTTCTCTGAGACGGAGGCCCTCGCTTTCGACTTGATGTCAGCGACGAGTAGATCTAATCCGCCAGCAATACTTGTTCTAGCGGCTGCTTCGTTGGAGAGAACGAGAGCAGAAGCTCTAGGACGACCTCCAACGCCAAGGACACCACCGGTCCATACCCAAGGCTCCCATTGAAGGGGAGCTTTCCTTTTATCGCGTTGCTGTTGACGAGAGCGGAGCAATACGCCCTGGAACTTTTCGCGGATATAAGGCATGCTACCCAATGCCTCAAGAGTGTTGGGGGCCCCGTTATACAAGGATTGCAGTTCCGCACCTCCTTCGACGACACTTCTCTCTCGAAAATCAAGCAAGGCAGAGGCGAGGTAGACCATGGAAATATAGGTGGGATGCATGAAATCCGGCTGGATTTGGTTCCAATATCTTCGCCCTTCTTTGAAGAGGTGATCGCGGCGCCTTCCATGTCTACGATCCTCGAGCTCTGCAATTGCTTTGGGAACCCCTGGAGGTTTGATGCTGAGTCCACGGCGAATAAATTTCCATCCCGGGAAATTAGGCATGAATTTCTCCTCAAAGACAGCAAATGCCTGAAGTTGATGTGATGGGTTGTCAGACGTTGCGAGCAGCTGGACATAACTCGACCAATTATGAGTGGACAGACTGAATCCTGCACGCTCAACTTCAGCCACAACCTGCGGGATCCTTTCGAGCTCATTGCGATACGCCAACGAACGCAAGTACAGAGAGAGGGGTTTTGATAGCATGAACGTATAAGACGGGAGAATTCTATGTTTCTTTGAGATGAGCTCCTCTGACAAATCAGAAGCATCGGAATCCACGAGCAAATCATGGCTGCCTTGGGAAGACTGGGGTAGAGAGGGACGGGGAGGGTAGAGGCTGTCTGCCGGTGGCAAATGGGCAGAAAGCCATTCATCAACGTTGAGAGGAGTGGCCAACTTGATCGCACGAGGAAATACCAGACGCCAGCAATCCTCAACTTCTTTATATTCGTCAGCCCGCAAGTGCGCGAGCATCAGGGTGTTAAGCAAGCGAAGAGGCGCGATTTCTTCCACATTGTCTGAAGAGCGTAGAGTTTTCTGCCGGCTGATGAACTGGTCGAATAACTCCCGTACTTTCCGAGACGCTCCCTTAGTTCCATATGCATTCATGACGTATTCATAGAACATGCTGGGGAAGGCTTCCATGGCGGATTGTCTTCCGGTGGCTGGCATCGGCTCCTTTGTAGCCAGTTTCGTAGTGTCGAAGTCCGCGATGGTCTCAGCAAGGAACTTTTCGGCGTTTTCAAGGCGTGCACTGGCACTCTCCTCGGGCTTTCCACCAGACCTGATGGATTGCAAGTCTCTCTGCAACTGGTTCTTAAGGAAGAGGAGGCTTGAGCTGGAGCCAGGTCGCTGGAAACGTTCCTTAATCTCACGGAAAATAATGTGTACCATGTCACGATTCCGCTCTCGAACGTAACCGTACAGAATGATGGTGTAATGAAACTCGGTTGCATGCACGCGCTTGTTTCGGTGAAGGGACCGGAAAATTCGACGAGCAGAATTGGTCTTGCCAATGAGCGCCAAGCTGAGCATCAAAGCGGCATATGTCATGCCATCAGGTAAAAGTCCTGCCTTGTCCATTCGTGAACGGATTCGTGAGACGGCTTCTAAGTCGAGTCTGAATGCGTAGTGCCAAAGTAGCATGTTCCACATTCGTACCCGCGAGCCCTGCACGTCCAAGCCGAGGCAAGTCTCGGCCACGCTTTCAGCCACGTCAAACTTTCCATTGCGGCAGTACGCCTCTACGATTGGATCAATCATAGGAGCCGTAATCTGCATCTGGCGTTCTTTCGCCATAGCTAGCAGACGGCGGACATTGTCGATATCACCTCTGTTGGCACAGACGCCCATCAAAATACCGAATGTATGGGAGTTCAGTTCCACCCCGCTTTTAAGCATTTCATCGAAAGTTTGGAAAGCCCCACTAACGTCACCCGCATTCGCGTGGGCAGTGAGCAGATTGTTCCAGCACACCGTATTCAATTCAAGGCCATATTCCTCTGGAATCCGGTTGAATTCTCGACGGGTCTCTTGAATGTTTCCAACCCTTGCCTGGACGTAAAGAAGCGGAGTTAGCAGCCTGCGGCTGCGCGGCGGTCCATGGTCGGATACGAGCTTGTCGAAGACTTCGCGGACTTTTGCGACATCACCGGCCCTTGAAAATGCAACGAGAGCATTCTTATACACATCGGGGGTGGGTTTTCCATGAAATTGCGAGAACTCCTCCATGAAATACGTCATACCGTTGGTGATGTCAAACGACACAAGAGTCCTCATCATGGCACGAATGATTTTCGCTGGAGGCACCTCGTCCGGCAACTGCCAACGAAACGTACGGTAAATGACAATGGACCGAATGAATGTCGTTCGAAGCTCCGAAGACTGGGAAGTCTGGATCAATTTGTAGAAATGTTCCGCGGTGACAATGCCGAGTCCTTTGTATCTGCGTAGAAGGAGAAGAATATTTCTGGAGGACGTGTTTTCGATGGCTTTCAATGACGAGAAAGCATGATCAATAAGGATGCCCACAAGTTCGCGAGCAGGGCAAACATCACCTTGGGCTTTGAGGAAGTCCGCTAGGCCAACTATATTTTTGAGGAATAACGATAAATCCACCTGGGAAACGACAGAACGCAACCATTCACTGTCGGGAGACCGCTCGTCTTCAAAAGATTTCGGCCGTAAATTCCACATATCTTGAGCAATATCCCATTGCGCATTGTTTACCAAGGTTGCGATAGTAAAGGCCAAGCACAGGTTTCCCACCCCGTTCGATACAGCTCCCTCGCATAATTCCTTTAAATCCGGAAATGTTCCAGCAGTCACACATGATTCCGCTAGGCGCAGGTAATCGTGCGCAGAGCGATGTTCGACAGGGATTTCGTCAAATATCTGTTTCGTCCGGTTACGGTCGAGCGGCCGTTCTGAACGACTAAGGTAATCGAGGAGAGCCGATTTCAAATCGAGGGGCCGGCCGGCAACTGCATATAGCGTCCAAGCTTCTTCATAGTCTCCCAACCTCCGCTGGTTGAACAACACTCCAAGACTGTCCCTTGCGCGTCCCCGTTCATCATCTTCACCCGGCTTTTCATGTTCCTCTAACACTCCCTGCCCCGCCTGGGCACTTTGATAACGACTAGCACTTTTCGAGACGTAATTTCTGGATAGACCGGGTACCGTTTTCCTCCTCCGCCGAGAACCAATTCTCTTCGAGGCGTGAAATAAACATGAGGCTGCAAAGGTCTTGGTTTGTGGTGGGTACAGGAAATCGAGAAACGGCGTTCGTGTATTTGAAGTGGCGCTCAGGCTATACGAGCCCCGCAGGTCGGAAATCTGCACGAAGGCCAAAAGCCAGGAAGGAAAATCTGCACTTGCTCCATTGTTGTGTCCGAGAAGAGGATACAGTGACCTTGAATGTCGAATGGCGCCATTGGAATCCCGGAAGAAACGCCGTCCTGCGTTCTCGAGGCATCCGGCAGCCCGTTCAAGCATCACCCTCGACTGTTATACCCTAAAGTCACCCGAAATATATCACACCGCGTAACATATCGTCTATCGACGGCCTGAAGTCAATGAATAAAGTCAGATCATATTCTGTTGCTGGAGCTTTCGTGATCTCAGGAAGAAGCGACGCACTGGGGAAAAAATATGAGCGGGAGCTCTATTCGCAGATCAAGCTTCGCGGATTCGCAACAACCAATTTTCAAGCACGAAATCTCTTCTCAATAAACAAGCAGAAGAGCAAGGAAAGCAGTAAAGATCAATGATTGTATCGACTGATGGCCAAAGACGGGATTTAGGAAGGCCTGGCAGGAAAAAGACTAAGGTTTCCCGCAGCGGCGGCCGGGCATTTATTTGGCCGAGACCGGGGACTTCCGCACTTTATGTCCCCTCCGCCAGACACCGTGTCCCAAGCAGCTCTTAATCAACATTCAAGCCAGCATGGAGATTACGGACTTTGTTTTCAATCAAAGGGAGGAGTCCCTCGTGGTCGGGGACTACAACGCCTACCGGGCGCACGCCACGCGCAAACTACACAAGCTGCGCAAGAAGCTCGGGCAGACTACACCCAAAGGCCGTAAATATACAGCCAAGCCTCCAGTGAGCGCAGGGGATATTGGGAACAATGTGACGTATGTCCTTGCCTTTTTCTTCCACGTGTGTGCAACATATAAATCAAAACTGTGCTGACTGTATGTATCAAAGCTACGCACACCTCTTACTACTCAGCTCGGAGCGGGCCTGGGCACAGGCAATGCAGATGAAATCTACACACTCCGCGGACCCTTCTGCAAAAGGAATCGTCGGTGCAGCTAGACGTCACATTATCTCGCGGCTGAACAAGGCCACCGGCTACTCGGAGCAGCTCGTCAACCTGCTACAAGACCAGTCTACGTCTGGTGCTACCGATACCGATATTGTTGAAGCGCGCGCATACTACGCTTCTCTCTGCGGAGCCCTGAACTTGGAGAAGAGGAAATGGGAACAATGCCTTCAGCACTACGCAGTTGCGAGAATCGTGTATACGACACTTGGTCAAATGGCCAAGAAGGACGCTTTCCGAGACCTTCTTTCCGGCACCGTGGATCCCAGTATCAGATATGCGGCGTATCAAATGAAACTTCCGCGCTCGAAGCCTCTTCCGTCATTGGCTATCAACTATTTCCCATCGAATACCGACGTTCGATCCGAAGTGGAGAAAGTCGATCCCAACTGTCTGAAGGAGGATGCGGCAGGAACCCGACGGACTGCTGATGGAGAGGTGCAACAGCTCCCGGAGACTATTGAATGGAGGTCGCGAACTGTGTCTTTGGAGGATGCGTCGATTTCTCAGGCCCTTGCTGCTGCTGCGGCAGCCGAAGCCCATCTTACTGCATGGTTGGCAGAACCTGCGGGCAAATCCGCTTCATCTAAAGATAAGGCTGCTGCTTATGATAACGTGATCATCGCCAGTCAGGATGCGGTTGATGCCACAAAAACTGCCATTGATGATCTTACCAGTGAGGGAGTTGACCCTGGTGATAAGAGGATGCAGTCGCTGCAAATCACTCGCACCGCAGTCAACTATGCTCTTGTGGGATGGCGTGTTGGTCGCAACCGGGTGCTGTGTGGGGAGCAGGATGATTCCTCGTTTGATGCCAACGCGACAAAGGCCTCTCGGGGCAACAAGGCCGGTAGCCGACGCGAGGAAGGCCATGGGAAGAAGTTGACACAGCTGCGGGAGAGGGTCGTCCTCTACGATTCTACGCTGCAGAGTCTGGATTTTGTGTTCGAGCTTCCGGGTGTTGTTGCTGACAATGCTCTTGTTGCGGAATTGGAGGCCAAACGGGCTTACTTCCGGGCTTTGAGGTATGCTCTTATTCTTTTCTCATGAGATAGACTCTCTAACCGTTAAAACAGGTGTCTTGCAATTGGTCGATCTCATGGCTTCCTCGGGAAATCGAAAGAAGCCCTGGCACTCTTTTCTCAAGCGCTGAAGCTTGCGTCGACTGCTACGTCTACTCAAACATCGGATGTTGAGGGACCACCCCGACTGGATGTTTCCCGCGCCCAAGCACAGACGCTAGCAACCACGCTGCGGGACCTTGTCGCACAGTACCGGGGTCTGGTTACTTTGGAACGGATGTCAGAGGAAGAAGCGTCCAAGTTGGCTAGCGAGCGGCCTGTGATTGAACGCCTGCATGAATACTCTGGAAACGGGTTAGATCTCAGCCATCTGGTTCCTGCCCTCCCTCAGCTGCAGCCCGTGCCGGTGAAACCACTGTTCCTGGATGTTGCATGGAACTACATTGACTACCCGCGTGAGGACCAGGGACCGAATCAGGGCACGACCGCTGAAGAGGCACCAGAGGAGAGAAAGAGTAGCCGGCGTGGTTGGTTTGGCTTTGGGCGGTGAAGTCGCATTCATGATTCATGTAACTAGTTATTTTACCATAGTGATGAGTCAGCAAGTGACATACACGTGCCAACCACGACCCTACTTGTAGTTAATCTGTTAGCCTTAACAAACTAGCATGGGGCGGGCTGACCAATCGGGAAGAGGACAACCGAATCAGCTGCTTTTTTGGAGCTCGGATAGCAAAACGTCAGCTTGGCGCCAAATCAGATGATGGCTTTATCCACTTGTTAGGGCCATTAATGCTATCAGTTATTATTAAACGGAACTATATGAATGTAGGACGCTTCATAACCCTATCTACATGAAATAATGCATGAATAATGCCGAGTTGTGAGGGGTTCATGCTATGCGCCCAGGTGTTCTTCTGGTATTTTTTTCTTTTCTTTTCTTTTTTTTCTGCCAAGACACACCGCCGGCCGCCATTCCGTCCGTTTAATTTCGCGGCTCCACCGCAGGAACACGGCCGGATGTTCTTCGTCCCGGTCCCTGAGAGCGTAAATACCGTATTTGCTGTACCCTTTTAAATACACGGCTTAGGACGCGCACACCAGGGCTGATTTTTTTTTTTTTTTTTCGGTACCTTAATATATTTCTTAAAGTAGTGTTAGTTAACTAACTATTGGCGCCGTGGGATTATTAATCGAACAGTACCTGCATGGCTGACTGTATCCGTGGTCCTCCGCCCGCCGCAACGGTGAATGTTACCGTACGTATTGGTATTACATGCTATACACTCCATTCCCCAATAGGATCCCCAGAGAATCTTCTTTCTTTCTTCTCCCTTTTCCATTCACTCACTTCACTCGCTCTCCTCATTCCTTTGTTTCCTCCTCTCCTCTCCTCTCCTCTTTCCCTCTTTGCCCTCCTTTCCCTTCTCCCCATCCTTCTTTTCTCTCCTCTCTTTTCCTTCTTTCCTCCTTACCTCATCTTTCTCGGGAGTTGCGTGTTGTTTTGTGGTCTGCCCATTATGGCTACCGTCAACGGGAGCTTTGTCTCCCCTATCGCTGATGCCACCATCTTCCCCAAGGTCTTTGAGCCTTCGGGGTTGGTCGCTTCTGTGTTCCAGGGCGTCTCCGTCTGGAAGGCTTTGTTGACAATGTTGGTTGGTGCTGTTGTTTATGATCAACGTAAGCCTCTATTTTTCTTTTATCTTTTGTCGCGTTGATAAAACTCGACCATATTCGATCATATCTAACAACTCAATTTACCCAGTGCGATACTTCTACCTCAAGGGCTCCATTGTCGGTCCTTCTTTCAAGATCCCATTCATGGGCCCGTTCCTTCAATCGGTCAATCCCAAGTTCCACGAGTACAAGGCGAAATGGGATAGCGGTGAGCTGAGCTGTGTTTCCGTCTTCCACAAGTAAGACATCCTACTGGTTTGCGCCAACAAATTGCTAGTCTATAGCAGCTGACTGACTTATCACCGTAGGTTCGTTGTCATCGCGTCCACTCGCGACACGTCTCGGAAGATCTTCAATTCGCCCGCCTTTGCCAAACCCTGTGTCGTCGATGCGGCCCACAAGCTTCTCGGAAAGACCAACTGGGTGTTTTTGGACGGTAAAGACCATGTTGAATATCGCAAGGGTCTGAATGGCTTGTTCACGCGCGCCGCGCTCAGCTGCTACCTCCCGCGCGTGGAGGAGGTCTACAACGAGTACTACCAGCGCTTCCTCAAAAAGTCCAAGGAGACCAACTTTGAGCCTACCGCTTGGATGTCTGAATTCCGTGAGCTCATGTGTGCCATCTCGTGTCGCACCTTTGTTGGCCACTACATGACCGCTGAGGCTATTCAGAAGATCGCTGATGACTACTACCTGATCACGGCTGCGCTGGAATTGGTCAACTTCCCCTTCGTTCTTCCGTACACCAAGATCTGGTATGGAAAGAAGGCTGCGGATATGGTGCTGGAGGAGTTCTGCAAGTGTGCTGCCAAGAGTAAGGCGCGCATGGCTGCCGGCGGTGAAGTCTCCTGCATCATGGACGCCTGGATCAAGGCGCAGCAAGATTCCGCCAAGTACCGTGCGAAGGTTGCTGCAGGTGAGCCCGCTGAGAAGCCTCCGCAAATCCTACGTGACTTCAGCGACTACGAGATCGCGCAGACCATCTTCACCTTCCTGTTCGCCTCTCAGGATGCCACTTCGGCCGCCTCCACCTGGTTGTTCCAGCTTATGGCTGACCGCCCCGACGTTCTGGACAAGGTTCGCGAGGAAAACCTGCGCGTTCGCAACGGTGACCGCACGGTGCCCCTCTCGATGGACCTGTTGGACAACCTGCCCTACACCCGTGCCGTCGTCAAGGAGACTCTCCGCTACCGTCCTCCCGTCATCATGGTTCCCTACTTGGCCAAGCGCGACTTCCCCGTCACGGACAAGATCACTGTGTCCAAGGGCTGCATGGTTATCCCCTCGATTTGGCCCGCTCTTCACGACGAAGAGGCATACCCAAACGCAGACTCTTTCGATCCAGACCGGTGGGTGACCGGCACTGCTGAGAAGCAGACCAAGAACTGGCTAGTTTTCGGCACTGGCGCCCACTACTGCTTGGGTCAGAACTACGCCACTTCCAGCCTGATGGCTATGATTGGCAAGGCCAGTATGGAGATGGACTGGGAGCACACCCCCACTCCTCTGTCCGAAGAAATCAAGGTGTTTGCCACCATCTTCCCTCAGGTACGTTTCTTTCTTCCATGTTTCTCTGCATTGGTCAAATTGCTAATGACCACCAGGATGACTGTCTCCTTACTTTCCGTCCTCGTCCCTAAACACCTTCTATTCTCTATTTCTCGAATAACAGCCTGGTGAGGTTCGTTTCGCATCAAGCGTTGCATATCACATTGGAACCAAGATACCCGAAATGCGACGCTTGAGTTTGAGACTTCCCTCGCCATTGTTCTTTTCCTATGCTGGAGATGAAACGACCAATGACACCTTTTTCCCTTCTCGTGATATAGTACTATTGCCCCATTTGGGGATTTCTTTGGGGTTTGATGATGCGACCTGACATAGCGATGGTTTTATTCTTTATTCATTTTTCTTCTTTTCCAGCTACTGTTAACTGGGGATCAGGACTTCCGAAACTGTATGATTTTGCAACGACCCATGTGGGATCGTCCATCTCGACTGATTATCGTCAGTGGAGCGTTTTCTCATTTTCATTCTTCTATTCCCCGTTTCTTGAAAATGGCGTTGCATTCTAGATCCCGCGACATAGATTTAATAATAATTGCAGGCCTTTCATGTTTTTGTCACGCCAAAAAATCGTTATTGTGTTGTAATATGCCTTCCTGTATCTAGTTTTTACATATGTTATTGACTTTGACCAATTGTATTTGCACATGTGACAACCATTTACCATCTCCGGCAGGCGGTACATTGCGGCAGCCTGACATCACTTCCATCTTAACCGAACCCCCCAAAGCGTATATCAACCACACCTGTCTTCCAGACAACAAGAAGCTTTACATTCAAAAACGATTGATTAGTTAGTCAAGCGAGGCAATCCTCCGACACAATGTCCGCATCAACCCTCCGACGATTCTTCACCCTCAACGCCCGCCTCGGCAAGCAGGCGCAATCTTCCTCGGCCCGCCGCAGCAGCAGCGCATTGCAGAATGGAACCCCATTTTTGGCGCTGAAAGCTGCTCGTGCTGGACAGAGGTGTCTCTGGACATCATCGAGGACCAGCGTGCTTGCACCTTTGCGCCCCAGTTTCACCTCCCAGGAGTTCATCCGCTGGAATAGCGGTAAGAGTGGGCAGGGGTGGAAGCAATGGAAATTCGAAGACGTATGTCCATCTACCTTCCCCAGTAACCCCTAAATACCAAGCTAACAACAAACCAGATAAACGCTTCCCTCCCCGCCGACACCCCCAACTCCCCCTCTCAAACCCCGCAAAAGAACCTAATCCTCGTCGACGTCCGCGAACCCGCCGAACTAAAAGGCGGCATTCTCCCCTCCGCCGTCGCCGTCCCGCTAGCCTCGCAACCAGATGCGCTCTTCCTGTCCCCCGACGAATTTGAAACGCGCTTTGGATACCCGAAGCCTGGTGTGGAGGGAGAGGGGGATATCGTGTTTTATTGTAAGGCGGGGGTTAGGGCGCGGGCGGCGGCGCAGTTGGCGGTGCAGGCGGGGTATGATGTTGAGAGGGTGGGGGTTTATGATGGGAGTTGGTTGGATTGGGTTAAGAGGGGTGGGAAGGTTGAGGAGTGGGAGGGGGAGGATTATTGATTTCGTCTGAGGGTTTGAGTTGAGGGGGTAGAGACTGGGTGGTGGAATATTGTACATATGCGGTTATTATACATATCAAAATGTGAAGTGTTAAGCAAGTGTCGGCCACCTATATCAGCTCGCTGCTATATGATATAGCAATGGTCTGTCAAGAACAACATATTCCGTGTTTGTTCTTCAGACATAAGCATCCTCCAATTTCTTGATCCAAAACCCCCAACAAACCATACATGTCCACTCTTTCGCCTGATGATTGACACGTCAAGGGTTATATCCCAAAGTAAGATCTTTACCTTCAACAAAACTCGATTCGGCAGCTTGGTTTCCAGTAAGGTGGACATTGTCAACCTAGAATGCCCTAATGAGCAACATCTGTTCAAGGCCAGATCATAAAAGTCTGACATCCATTCGCAAAACTTGCTGGATGATTGGAGTACCGCATGCGTTCAGACTGCTCAGTCTGTTCGGTCTATTCGAATGGGGGTAAACCGCGTATTTCCTCCAGGGTACTTCCATCTCGTCAATCGTACGTCGGACAAATCATTCTGTGTACGTGTTAGATTTCCATGCCTCCTTTTTGACGGACTCGCGTGGGATTTTTGCCACGGAGGGTGACGGCAACATGAAGATTGCTAAGTGCAGTCTTCAAAGGCAAGCAGCAAGTTATTGGTGTACCTGTGGGTGATGATTAAAAGGTCATGATACTAATGCGAATTTTTGACTGATGGCGGTTTGTATCAAAACCCTGAGCGGCTAGAGCGAGAGATGAGAGCTCTTCTAGAGTGATTAGCTTGGTTTGATTATCGTCTCAAAATTGTTGGGGCTCATCAGTATATACAACGCATAACGGTCAAGCGATAACTCCGTCTATAAAGGGACCTCGCATCCCTACAGCTGATGGTGATGTGGGGAATTTGGTCAGTGGTCTTGAACTGGACAACACGCCCCAGATTCCCGGATATTCTGAACTGCTGGTAGGATAGTCTGGTCCCATATAATAGATACCAGATGCACGACCTTGCGTGCCATCACCGCTGTATGGAAAGTCGGATGAGTAGAATGCCAGGGTCATTGCGTCCCAGACTGCAGTCTATGATTCTGTAATGCCGATTGCTATGAGACCCTCTGGCAAAAAGGCCATCTCGCGTGTAAGTCGTTTCTCTCTGCCGTCCGCAGTAAGTAGCGGCATTTTGGGTGCTTCTTTAGTAGCAATGTCACCGGAACATTTAGCAACGCCAGTTGTTCTATCCTCTTTGACTCGATTAAATATGGACGCTCTTGTTTGGAGCGTGAGAAAGGATTCTTGTCCTGCATTCCACGAGCTTCTACAGCTTCTGCTTGCTCTCTGTGGTTACATTGATGTCTGGTAATTAGCCTGATCCTATAGTTACGAGGGTTGACTTGTCAAGAGACCCTTTCATGTCGACCATTGATGTCGCTTATTCACCTAAGGGAAAAGTGTTTAGACAGGCAAGTCTTTCTTCTTCCCTTAACATCCACCGATTGTCCATCAGTTTTGGCTTGTTTGACATTGCCGTTGGCTGCGATGATGAGACTCGTACCTCTAGTGTGCTATGTATGACCAAAGCAAAAACCTCTCGTGGGTGCCCGCACAAGTATATTAAAATGTAGACCAAGAATTGTCGTAACCTGATATCGGAGCATATATACCGCTGTAGAGTCTTAGGGGGACGTCTGCATTGTCCCAACTGTTGAAAAAGCAAGCGGCCTCTTGGCCGAACACTCTACCAAGACAAAATTAGCAAATGTCAGTATGGCTTCTTGTCTGAAAGAGCCAGCTTTGAGCGTCGCTGCTTACTTTTTCACGAAAAAAAGAAAAATAATAAATAATAAATAAAAACGATAGAGACAGGGAATCGAACCTCCAACCACCAGAAAAATGGACGTGCGGGGATTCGAACCCCGGACCTGGTGTCTACCTAGACAAACGCTCTTCCCGACTGAGCTACACGCCCTTCTTTGTTATTAAACGTTACATTTAAATGGTATATGTGTTGTGTGCTAGGCAGCAGTATGTGCTCTGGGAATAGCATAAAAAATTGGCATAAAGGAGGATTGAGCGAAGAGGAGGGCAGGATATAGCTTAGTGCCTAAAACGATTATTGAGCATGCGACATGTGGGTCTTTTCAGCCCTGGTGGGGACTGTGGAGAAGTCGTTATGAGGCTCAAGTCCTAGTATCATTCTAGAAGTATGTATTATCATTATGTATTTATGTGAACGCAAAAATAATTACAAGTAGTAAGCACATGAAAAAAAAAAAAAGAATCACGGTCGACACGATCCCACAATATCCTTCACAGCCGGCACACTCAACCCCGAAGTCTTTCCCTCAGCATTATCCCCCTTGATTATCCACCAACTCATATGACACTTCTTTTCATTTGAGTCCCACGTCCACGCCAAGCAGAAGTCTGAACGCTCCTCGCGGCATATCTGCTTGCATGTGTCGACAGAGGTCACGTCTTCAACTGACTGTGTCCACTCGTCTAATCGGCCGACGTAGTCCCAGTTCTTGTGGCCGGTATCATATATCGGGTCGTCGAAGAGGGACGTTGAAGCTTTGGGGAGAAGGCCACTGGCACTATTGTCACTAATAGGGATATTCCACAGGTCGACCCAGAGAACCTGCTCCGTGGCATGCTCAAAGGTCTGGCTGACAGTGAGCATATCCGATGACGACGAAAGTCCGTGAAACGAAAGAACCGGCGTGCATAGTCGCTCCTTGGTGATCTTGGAAATATGAGGACTCTCGCCGTTAAAAAAGGTTGCGTATTCTTCGTTGATGTAAATTTCCAATCGGTTCAATGATACCGCCAGACGCTTATCACCCCACGTCTCGTCCAGGGATTCCCGGTGAGCCATGGCCAGGTACTCGTGGTCGGATATGAGATGGCTAACGGCTCTGTGCGACAGGATTATGGATGATCCTCCATGGGCAAAGCGGCAGTCCTCTCCGCCTACCGGATTCCCGAGATATTGCTCGCGGTTAGGGTTGAAGTGTTCGATGAGACGCTTGAATGAGGGTTGTATGAGGTACGTGTCGTCGTCTGCCATGATGTACCATTTCTTATCCGGGAATCGGTTGTGGAGGAGTTCCATGCCGGAAAGGAACTATGCCATTAGCAGAACACTCACACATGCGCGGTAGATGGTAAGTACCTTCATCGCATCAAGCTCCCACCCAAAAGACCCAGACATCTTCCGCGCAGCATCCACATCGCCGCGATCAACAGCCCTCGTCAAATTATAATACTTCTCCAATCTCGGATGCTCCAATTCCGCCGCCAAATACCCCTTTCCAATCATCCAACCCAACACATCATGCACGGGCAATCGCCGGTCGCGATACTGGTACTCCTGCCCCGGCAACGTGGCAAAATCTCCGATGAGAAGCACATCGGAGAGTTCCATGTGCTCGTGCGCTTTCAGCCAAGAAGGGATCCGCTCTTTCGTCCCAACACCCGATTTTATTAACACCGCAACATCTTGGGAGAAATCCACCGGGTATGCACCGGGTTTGTTGATGAGCCACCAGCGTTTCTCGAAGAGAGCAGATGCTGCGCTCACAATAGCAGCGCGAGGGCTGAACGGATTGTCGTATGGTAAAAGGAATACGAGGATGACGAAAAGCAGCACCACGGCCGGAGTCGATCTAAGCTTCCGCAAGTACCGACGCATGGTTCTGGTTCTGTCGGGGTCACCGGATGGATGAGAACATGGCAAGAAGAACAAGAACAGATGGAAACTTGGATAGGACCTCTCAATTGTTACGCGTCATCTTAGTCACTGTTTGTGAGTGAAGACTGCAGACACAGATTGGGCTAGAACCGATCTGTATGCAGAAGACACATCAATCATATCGCCATCTGTGTGGTTGGTTCCTGTCCAGTCCTATGGATCCACCTTGAAGATTTGCCAGTCTAACCAATCACAGTTAAATTTATTCTCGGGGCTCACGTCCGTCATAAGATCACAATTGGCTGAACTCAATTCTTGGCATTCCGTCACCGTCACCGTGAGCTGTTATGCTGCACAACTAGCTACATAAGCCGTCATAAGCTCCCCGCAACTAAATACATACTCCCTTGCTTGCTTGCTCTCTACTCCGTGCCATTCTAACCTCAAATAACACTCCTTTAACACTAACTACAACCAAAACATAATGTCCACCTACTCCCAATCCCTCCTCCCCCGCCGCTCCTCCGTCCCCAAAGCCCGCACCGTCCTCAAACCCCCCGAGCGCCCCATCGCCCTACGCCGCGAATACATCACCGACACAAAAACCCTCCTCACCCTCAACCCGCAAGGCGACTCCAACTCCTCAAAAGCCTATAAGATACTAGACGATGAAGGCGCGGTCGTATTCACAGCTACGGGGTGGAAATTCAGCGACAGGAGTTGCCGCGAGTTCCGGGATGCGTCGGGACTACCGCTGTTCGAGCTGCATCGCAATTGGTTCAAGTTTAGGCATAAGTGGTGTGTTACGTTGCCGGGGGTTGAGCCTGGTAGCGATGGAAGCAGTAGTAGTGGTGGTGGGTTTGGGGATAGTTGTAATAATGGGGGAGTACTTGCGACGGGGTCGCATCGGATTCGGGCCCTTGGGTATAAGCCTTCTGGGGGTTTTAGTATTGGGATTGAGAGGAATGCTGCTGCTGCGGATACAAAGAAGGAGGATGATAAGAAGCTCACGCTGGAGATTGAGAGATATGGGAATGTGTTGGCGCTTTTTGACGTCGTCGATGGGGATCGCAAAGTCGCGCAGGTGCGCGAGAGTATCAAGCATAACGAGAGACTGGCCCTAATCAGTTCGCGTGCGGATTATCGCCCTGTTTTGGATGTTATCGTCACTTCCGGAGTGGATTTGTCTTTGGTATGCTGTGTTTCAACTCGTGTCGTTGGTTGATGGCTAACTTATATAGATTGCTATCATTGCGGTGATTGCATCGGATTCTGTTTTTACGGCGAATATGTAATGACTTACTCTAACATCGATGATCTTGTTACGACTTTATATAATCATATAATATAGCATCTAGTTTGGAATAGAAAACATCGCATTGAATCATCATAATAACAAACAAGCTGGTATCGACCACGTTCATTATACACATCTAATCAACCAAGTCGCGGCCATTCATGCAGACATAAGACTTTTTGCAAGACGCAAATAAAAAATTCGTTGCGCTTTTGTTCCTGCCATCGAGGCAGAGCCATCGTCTCATTTACCATGGACATGCAAAAACACGCCCATAACTTTTCCTGAGTCGGCTACCCCTGCGCTTGAGAATCTGATCAACTGCCGTGCACCCTTTCTAAGGGAGATTCGACTTGAACAGACCCAGCACGTTGTCTTGGGCATCACCCAGACGTCACCTGAGAACCGATGAAACCAGCTCAAGGAATTTCGAACACAGGCTTGAGCTTCTTGACAAGAGCCCATTCCTCCATCGACACTTCGGGTCGGTAGAACTCCTTGAGCGTGTCGATACTGGCACGCGAGATGCGCGAGTACAATTGGTCCTTCTCTTCGAGGTGACGGCCGTACATGGGCTGGTTGGATCCCTCGATCTTGACAGCAACAGAGGGCTGACCTCTTTTGGTGACTTGGACCGGCTTGTGGTCACGCTCAATGGACACACTGTATCGAATTAGCACCTTGTTAAAATATTAAAGGAAAGAGACTTACACTCTGCCGATGTCAAGGATTTCCTTCTGTCCAGTCGCGTTTGTCTTGATGGCGCAAAGAGGTGCGTTCATCCGGAGACTTCCCTCAATCACATCGACACCAATGACAATGGGGTCCTTCTTGTTGAAGACAGCAACGGGCTTGAGCACGCAAGGGAAGACAGCAAGCAGCTTGCTCTCCTCCTTCCGTTGCTCGGTCAGTTCAGCCATGTGCTTGGTGAAGTCATCGAACAAGTGGTAAATAATGTCGGCCGTGAAAACCTTGACGCCAACTTCCTCAGCATAGGCGTACGCTTCCTTATCCACCTTGACATCGAAGCACAGCATGACCGCGAATTCCTTGGCCTTCTCCAGCATGGTTCCAGCCATCATCACATCACGCTTGTAGACAGGGCCAATGGAGATGTTGGCAACAGGAATCTTGGACACACGAAGGAATTCCAGCAACGCTTCAAGCGAACCAAGGGTGGAAGCCTGGACGCTAACACCACGCTGGTCCTTGGAGACCTTGCTAAGCAGCTGCTCTAGGTCAGACATGACCTCTTCCTCAATGTCTTCCTCGTCATCGTCAGGTCCAACAACCATCAGACGAGAACCAGCAATGGCTTGTTCAAGATCGTTGGCGGCGATTTTCACACCCAGGGAGGCCTTGACCTCCTTGTTGTGGACGTATGCTGACTTCAGACGAAGTTCCTTGAGCGGTGCTGGTGTCAAGAGTGCTCGAATGTTCGTTGATATAGGCCCGTTAAGACCGCACAGTACAACTCGATCACCTTCGCGAAGGATACCGTTCGACAGGACAACGTCAATGGTGGTACCGAGACCCTCAATGACCTTGACTTCAAGGACGGTACACTCGATCTCCGAGAGATACATCAGGGCGTTGGTCATACGCTCCTGGGTCAAAGTGGTTAGCAGCTTCAACATGTCAGGAATACCCTCTCCGGTGTGGGCCGAAGTGGGGACCAGGGAGACGTTCCGGGACATCGACTTGTTCTCGTAGAAGAGCTCCGAGTTGAAACCCTGTTCAGCGAAAAGAAGCTTAGTGTGGTCGAGACGGGTACGGAACTCGTTCTGAACACCCTTGTTCTGCATCGCCAAACTGTCCTGGAAGCCGTTGTTGTCGATTTTCTTCCAGCCGTACAAACGATCGATCTTGTTCAGAGCAACGATGAAAGGCGTCCGACGGTCACGGAGCAATCTCATGGACTCCAAGGTCTGAGGCTCGAGACCGTGCATAATATCGACGACCAGGATGGCAATGTTACAGAGAGACGAACCACGCGAACGCAAGTTGGAGAAAGACTCGTGACCAGGAGTATCGATAATCAACAGACCAGGGATCTTAAATTCGAACTTGCCATCCTTGTTGACGACGGCAGTCTTGGTCTGAAGGGCATCAACGGGGAAGTAAGTAGCACCAATCTGTTGGGTAATACCACCAGCTTCACCTTCCTGGACATTGGTCTGACGAATCTTGTCCAGCAGCTTGGTCTTTCCTGTGTCGACGTGTCCAAGAATACAGCAAATGGGGGAACGGAGGTTGTCCTTTGACCGAGCAGCCATAGCCTCCTCGTGCTGCCTCTTTCTCCGCTCGGCGGCTTCGGCTTTCCGTTGAGCAACGGCCCGCTTGGCAGCCGACTGCTCCTCGTCCTCGGACTCCGATTCAGATTCAGACTCCGACTCGCTCTCGGATTCGTCCTTCTTGGGGGCGGCAGTTTCTGCGGGCTTCTCGGACTCCTTCGCAGCAGCCTTCGGCTTCTCCCCCTCTTCATCAGAGGGAGCATCCCAGCTGTCCTTGACGTCGTCAGCATCGGCCATCTTCTCCCAATCTTCACCCTCGCTCTCTTGTTCTTGTGCAGCAGCAGCGGCAGCAGCGGCAGCAGCCTCGGCTTCTTCCTTGGCCTTCCGCTCCTCTTCCTCCTTCTTGCGGCGCTCTTCCTCAGCTTCACGCTGAGCCTTAGCACGAGCAGCAGCGGCCTCAAGGTCCTCCTCCTGCTTCTTCGGGCCCTTCTTCTTCTTGGTGTCGTAAACGGGTCTCTTCTTTTCGGCCTGGTTTGCTTCGAGACCTGCAACCGTACCCACACCAGCCGCAAGCATTTGCTTCATACGTATTTCATTGTGTTGCTGAGCTTCCCTCTGGGCCTTGCTGAGCAGCTTGCCTTCACGTCTGAGTTGTTCTTTCTTCTCCTTCTCCTTCTCCTTCTTCTTCTGACGAGCTTCCTCCTTCTGCCTCTCTTCTTCCTCATCAAGGACGCGTTGTTCCTCTAGCGCAGCCCTCTCTTCGGCGCGAATTCGCTCCTCTTCTTCACGCTGTTTCCGAAGTGCTTCCTGCTGCTTCTGGATAGCTGCCAGGTGGGGGGGGAGCTTCTTCTTCTTGCCGCCGCCGGCGAGTTCCGGGGCAGGAGTAGCGGCGGGGGAAGGCTCTGGAGAGGCTTCATCCTTGGGCGAAGCGGCTTGTTTGGCGGGTTCTTTCTTGTTGTCTCCAGGCTTCTTCTTGGTAGCGGCCTAGAAATAGGAAATAGACATATTAGTATCAATGTACACGGGAGCACAATACAAATGAACAAATAGGAGAAATAGCCTACCTGTTCTTTCTTACGCTGCTTTTCTCTCTCCTTCTTTTCCTTCTCCTTCTCCTTCTTAGACTTCACACGGAACTCACCCTCAGGCTCCTCGGTCTTCTTAGCCTTTGCTGCGGCGGCGGCAGCCTTGGCGCTCTTCTGGTTTCCGGCGAACACATCCTCCTCTTCATCTTCGAAGGAGCCTTCTTGCGGTGCCTTGCTGGCCAGATCAACAGCATCGTTTGCCTCCTCTGTAGGATCTTCACCCTCAACAAAGTCGTTATCCTGCTTCCCCTTCTTGGCTTTCTTGGTCTTGTTTTTCCGGAGCGCAGCGAGAAGACCGCCGCTGCCACTCGTCTCTTCCTCTACTCCCTCGGCGGCAGGTTCTTCCTCGGGCTGGGGCTCCGCAGCGGGTGCATCTTCTCCCAATTCTGCCTCCCAGT